GTGATGGGCGTTACAAGAGAGGGCGATGGCCAGAGGACGCGAATGGGACGGGGAGGCGATCGCGTTGGGGGGGGGGTGCGCGACACGGCTCGGGCCCGCCAGTGCCCCAACGGGGCCCTAGTCTTTCTTTCTTTCTTTCTTTTTCTTATTTTTCCTCCCCTTTGAAGGGGAAAATGGCCCACTTCCCACTGGCGAAAACTCATGAAATTTGGCAGGACGACCGGGCCTGGTAAAAAATTCGATATTCTGAAGTCGCTGAAAAAATTATTTGCAAAATGGGTATTACCTTCAGGAAGCCCAAACACCCCAAATATTTTTTTTTTCATTTTACATTTTTTTTGTATGTAACCAACTCCAAAAGGTCTGAAACATGTTCCTAAAAAGGTTTTGGACAGTGATTTTAACCCTAACGCCAAAAACCTCAAACCTTACCCTAGCCCCAAAACCTAATATTAGGGTATTACCTCCAGGAAGCCTGAAAACCCCAAATATTTTTTTTTCATTTCTCTTTTTTTTGGGTCTAACTGACTCCAAAAGTTTAGAAACAGTTCCTACAAAGGTTTTGGACAGTGATTTTAACCGTAACGCCAAAAACCTTAAACCTTACCATAGCCCCATAACCTGACACCCGGGTATTACCTTCAGGAAGCCCGAACACCCCAAATATTTTTTTTTAATTTTACATTTTTTTTTCGGTGTACAAACTCCAAAAGGTCTGAAACGTGTTCCTAAAAAGGTTTTGGACAGTGATTTTAACCCTAATGCCAAAAACCTCAAACCTTACCCTAGCCCCAAAACCTAATACCCGGGTATTACCTTCAGGAAGCCCAAACACCCCAAATATTTTTTTTTCTTTTTTCTTTTTACATTTTTTTTTTGGTGTACAAACTCCAAAAGGTCTGAAAGGTGTTCCTACAAAGGTTTTGGAAAGTTATTTTCACCCTAATGCCAAAAACCTTAAACCTTACCCTAGCACCAAAACCTAATACCCGGGTATTACCTTCAGGAAGCCCGAACACCCCAAATATTTTTTTTTCTTTTTTCTTTTTTTTTTTGGTCAACCTAACTCCAAAAGGTTGGAAAAGAGTTCCTACAAAGGTTTTTGGACAGTGATTTTAACCCTAACGCCAAAAACCTTAAACATTTCCTAAGCCCCATAACCTAATACCCGGGTATTACCTTCAGGAAGCCTGAACACCCCAAATATTTTTTATTTCATTTTTCATTTTTTTTTGGTCTAACGAACTCCATAAGGTTGGAAAAGAGTTCCTACAAAGGTTTTGGAAAGTTATGTTCACCCTAACGTAAAAAACCTTAAACCTTACCATAGCCCCATAACCTGATACCCGGGTATTACCTTCAGGAAGCCCGAACACCCCAAATTTTTTTTTTTCATTTTACATTTTTTTTTTGGTGTACAAACTCCAAAAGGTCTGAAAGGTGTTCCTAAAAAGGTTTTGGACAGTGATTTTAACCCTAATGCCAAAAACCTCAAACCTTACCCTAGCACCAAAACCTAATACCCGGGTATTACCTTCAGGAAGCCCGAACACCCCAAATATTTTTTTTTCATTTTTTTTTTTTTTTGGTCTAACGAACTCCATAAGGTTGGAAAAGAGTTCCTACAAAGGTTTTGGACAGTGATTTTCACCCTAACGTCAAAAACCTTAAACCTTACCATAGCCCAATAACCTAATACCCGGGTATTACCTTCAGGAAGCCCGAACACCCCAATATTTTTTTTTTCATTTTACATTTTTTTTGTATGTAACCAACTCCAAAAGGTCTGAAACATGTTCCTAAAAAGGTTTTGGACAGTGATTTTAACCCTAACGCCAAAAACCTCAAACCTTACCCTAGCCCCAAAACCTAATATTAGGGTATTACCTCCAGGAAGCCTGAAAACCCCAAATATTTTTTTTTCATTTCTCTTTTTTTTGGGTCTAACTGACTCCAAAAGTTTAGAAACAGTTCCTACAAAGGTTTTGGACAGTGATTTTAACCGTAACGCCAAAAACCTTAAACCTTACCATAGCCCCATAACCTGATACCCGGGTATTACCTTCAGGAAGCCCGAACACCCCAAATATTTTTTTTTAATTTTACATTTTTTTTTCGGTGTACAAACTCCAAAAGGTCTGAAACGTGTTCCTAAAAAGGTTTTGGACAGTGATTTTAACCCTAATGCTAAAAACCTCAAACCTTACCCTAGCCCCAAAACCTAATTCCCGGGTATTACCTTCAGGAAGCCCGAACACCCCAAATATTTTTTTTTCTTTTTTCTTTTTACATTTTTTTTTCGGTGTACAAACTCCAAAAGGTCTGAAAGGTGTTCCTAAAAAGGTTTTGGACAGTGATTTTAACCCTAATGCCAAAAACCTCAAACCTTACCCTAGCACCAAAACCTAATACCCGGGTATTACCTTCAGGAAGCCCGAACACCCCAAATATTTTTTTTTCTTTTTTCTTTTTTTTTTTGGTCAACCTAACTCCAAAAGGTTGGAAAAGAGTTCCTACAAAGGTTTTTGGACAGTGATTTTAACCCTAACGCCAAAAACCTTAAACATTTCCTAAGCCCCATAACCTAATACCCGGGTATTACCTTCAGGAAGCCCGAACACCCCAAATATTTTTTTTTTCATTTCTCTTTTTTTTGGGTCTAACTGACTCCAAAAGTTTAGAAACAGTTCCTACAAAGGTTTTGGACAGTGATTTTCACCCTAACATCAAAAACCTTTAACCTTACCATAGCCCAATAACCTAATACCCGGGTATTACCTTCAGGAAGCCCGAACACCCCAATATTTTTTTTTTCATTTTACATTTTTTTTGTATGTAACCAACTCCAAAAGGTCTGAAACATGTTCCTAAAAAGGTTTTGGACAGTGATTTTAACCCTAACGCCAAAAACCTCAAACCTTACCCTAGCCCCAAAACCTAATATTAGGGTATTACCTCCAGGAAGCCTGAAAACCCCAAATATTTTTTTTTCATTTCTCTTTTTTTTGGGTCTAACTGACTCCAAAAGTTTAGAAACAGTTCCTACAAAGGTTTTGGACAGTGATTTTAACCGTAATGCCAAAAACCTTAAACCTTACCATAGCCCCATAACCTGATACCCGGGTATTACCTTCAGGAAGCCCGAACACCCCAAATATTTTTTTTTAATTTTACATTTTTTTTTCGGTGTACAAACTCCAAAAGGTCTGAAACGTGTTCCTAAAAAGGTTTTGGACAGTGATTTTAACCCTAATGCCAAAAACCTCAAACCTTACCCTAGCCCCAAAACCTAATACCGGGGTATTACCTTCAGGAAGCCCGAACACCCCAAATATTTTTTTTTCATTTTTCTTTTTACATTTTTTTTTTGGTGTACAAACTCCAAAAGGTCTGAAAGGTGTTCCTAAAAAGGTTTTGGACAGTGATTTTAACCCTAATGCCAAAAACCTCAAACCTTACCATAGCACCAAAACCTAATACCCGGGTATTACCTTCAGGAAGCCCGAACACCCCAAATATTTTTTTTTCTTTTTTTTTTTGGTCAACCTAACTCCAAAAGGTTGGAAAAGAGTTCCTACAAAGGTTTTTGGACAGTGATTTTAACCCTAACGCCAAAAACCTTAAACATTTCCTAAGCCCCATAACCTAATACCCGGGTATTACCTTCAGGAAGCCTGAACACCCCAAATATTTTTTTTTCTTTTTTCTTTTTTTTTTTGGTCAACCTAACTCCAAAAGGTTGAAAAGAGTTCCTATAAAGGTTTTTGAACAGTGATTTTAACCCTAACGCCAAAAACCTTAAACCTTACCATAGCCCCATAACCTGATACCCGGGTATTACCTTCAGGAAGCCCGAACACCCCAAATATTTTTTTTTAATTTTAAATTTTTTTTTCGGTGTACAAACTCCAAAAGGTCTGAAACGTGTTCCTAAAAAGGTTTTGGACAGTGATTTTAACCCTAATGCCAAAAACCTCAAACCTTACCCTAGCCCCAAAACCTAATACCCGGGTATTACCTTCAGGAAGCCCGAACACCCCAAATATTTTTTATTCCTTTTTTCTTTTTTTTTTGGTCTAACTAACTCCAAAAGGTTGGAAAAGAGTTCCTACAAAGGTTTTTGGACAGTGATTTTAACCCTGATGCCAAAAACCCTAAAACTTTCCAAAGCCCCATAACCTAATACCCGGGTATTACCTTCAGGAAGCCCGAACACCCCAAATATTTTTTATTCCTTTTTTCTTTTTTTTTTTGGTCTAACTAACTCCAAAAGTTTGGAAAAGAGTTCCTACAAAGGTTTTGGACAGTGATTTTAACCCTAACGCCAAAAACCTTAAACCTTACCATAGCCCCATAACCTGATACCCGGGTATTACCTTCAGGAAGCCCGAACACCCCAAATATTTTTTTTTCATTTTACATTTTTTTTTGGTGTACAAACTCCAAAAGGTCTGAAAGGTGTTCCTAAAAAGGTTTTGGACAGTGATTTTAACCCTAATGCCAAAAACCTCAAACCTTACCCTAGCACCAAAACCTAATACCCGGGTATTACCTTCAGGAAGCCCGAACACCCCAAATATTTTTTTTTCTTTTTTTTTTGGTCAACCTAACTCCAAAAGGTTGGAAAAGAGTTCCTACAAAGGTTTTTGGACAGTGATTTTAACCCTAACGCCAAAAACCTTAAACATTTCCTAAGCCCCATAACCTAATACCCGGGTATTACCTTCAGGAAGCCCGAACACCCCAAATATTTTTTTTTCATTTTTCTTTTTTTTTGGTCTAACTAACTCCAAAAGGTTGGAAAAGAGTTCCTACAAAGGTTTTTGGACAGAGATTTTAACCCTGATGCCAAAAACCCTAAAACTTTCCAAAGCCCCATAACCTAATACCCGGGTATTACCTTCAGGAAGCCTGAACACCCCAAATATTTTTTATTTCATTTTTCATTTTTTTTTGGTCTAACTGACTCCAAAAGTTTGGAAAAGAGTTCCTACAAAGGTTTTGGACAGTGATTTTAACCCTAACGCCAAAAACCTTAAACCTTACCATAGCCCCATAACCTGATACCCGGGTATTACCTTCAGGAAGCCCGAACACCACAAACATTTTTTTTTCATTTTACATTTTTTTTTTGGTGTACAAACTCCAAAAGGTCTGAAAGGTGTTCCTAAAAAGGTTTTGGACAGTGATTTTAACCCTAATGCCAAAAACCTCAAACCTTACCCTAGCACCAAAACCTAATACCCGGGTATTACCTTCAGGAAGCCCGAACACCCCAAATATTTTTTTTTCTTTTTTCTTTTTTTTTTTGGTCAACCTAACTCCAAAAGGTTGGAAAAGAGTTCCTACAAAGGTTTTTGGACAGTGATTTTAACCCTAACGCCAAAAACCTTAAACATTTCCTAAGCCCCATAACCTAATACCCGGGTATTACCTTCAGGAAGCCCGAACACCCCAAATATTTTTTATTTCATTTTTCATTTTTTTTTGGTCTAACTGACTCCAAAAGTTTGGAAAAGAGTTCCTACAAAGGTTTTGGACAGTGATTTTAACCCTAACGCCAAAAACCTTAAACCTTACCATAGCCCCATAACCTGATACCCGGGTATTACCTTCAGGAAGCCCGAACACCCCAAATATTTTTTTTTAATTTTACATTTTTTTTTCGGTGTACAAACTCCAAAAGGTCTGAAACGTGTTCCTAAAAAGGTTTTGGACAGTGATTTTAACCCTAATGCCAAAAACCTCAAACCTTACCCTAGCCCCAAAACCTAATACCCGGGTATTACCTTCAGGAAGCCCGAACACCCCAAATATTTTTTATTCCTTTTTTCTTTTTTTTTTGGTCTAACTAACTCCAAAAGGTTGGAAAAGAGTTCCTACAAAGGTTTTTGGACAGTGATTTTAACCCTGATGCCAAAAACCCTAAAACTTTCCAAAGCCCCATAACCTAATACCCGGGTATTACCTTCAGGAAGCCTGAACACCCCAAATATTTTTTATTTCATTTTTCATTGTTTTTTGGTCTAACTGACTCCAAAAGTTTGGAAAAGAGTTCCTACAAAGGTTTTGGACAGTGATTTTAACCCTAACGCCAAAAACCTTAAACCTTACCATAGCCCCATAACCTATTACCTTCAGGAAGCCTGAACACCCCAAATATTTTTTATTTCATTTTTCATTTTTTTTTTGGTCTAACTGACTCCGTGTTTGGAAAAGAGTTCCTACAAAGGTTTTGGACAGTGATTTTAACCCTAACGCCAAAAACCTTAAACCTTACCATAGCCCCATAACCTGATACCCGGGTATTACCTTCAGGAAGCCCGAACACCACAAATATTTTTTTTTCATTTTACATTTTTTTTTTGGTGTACAAACTCCAAAAGGTCTGAAAGGTGTTCCTAAAAAGGTTTTGGACAGTGATTTTAACCCTAATGCCAAAAACCTCAAACCTTACCCTAGCACCAAAACCTAATACCCGGGTATTACCTTCAGGAAGCCCGAACACCCCAAATATTTTTTTTTCTTTTTTCTTTTTTTTTTTGGTCAACCTAACTCCAAAAGGTTGGAAAAGAGTTCCTACAAAGGTTTTTGGACAGTGATTTTAACCCTAACGCCAAAAACCTTTAACATTTCCTAAGCCCCATAACCTAATACCCGGGTATTACCTTCAGGAAGCCCGAACACCCCAAATATTTTTTTTTCATTTTTCTTTTTTTTTTTGGTCTAACGAACTCCATAAGGTTGGAAAAGAGTTCCTACAAAGGTTTTGGAAAGTTATTTTCACCCTAACGTCAAAAACCTTAAACCTTACCATAGCCCCATAACCTAATACCCGGGTATTACCTTCAGGAAGCCCGAACACCCCAAATATTTTTTTTTTCATTTTACATTTTTTTTGTATGTAACCAACTCCAAAAGGTCTGAAACGTGTTCCTAAAAAGGTTTTGGACAGTGATTTTAACCCTAATGCCAAAAACCTCAAACCTTACCCTAGCCCCAAAACCTAATACCCGGGTATTACCTTCAGGAAGCCCGAACACCCCAAATATTTTTTATTCCTTTTTTCTTTTTTTTTTGGTCTAACTAACTCCAAAAGGTTGGAAAAGAGTTCCTACAAAGGTTTTTGGACAGTGATTTTAACCCTGATGCCAAAAACCCTAAAACTTTCCAAAGCCCCATAACCTAATACCCGGGTATTACCTTCAGGAAGCCCGAACACCCCAAATACATTTTTTTTCTTTTTTCTTTTTTTTTTTGGTCAACCTAACTCCAAAAGGTTGGAAAAGAGTTCCTACAAAGGTTTTTGGACAGTGATTTTAACCCTAACGCCAAAAACCTCAAACCTTACCCTAGCCCCAAAACCTAATATTAGGGTATTACCTCCAGGAAGCCTGAAAACCCCAAATATTTTTTTTTCATTTCTCTTTTTTTTGGGTCTAACTGACTCCAAAAGTTTAGAAACAGTTCCTACAAAGGTTTTGGACAGTGATTTTAACCGTAACGCCAAAAACCTTAAACCTTACCATAGCCCCATAACCTGATACCCGGGTATTACCTTCAGGAAGCCCGAACACCCCAAATATTTTTTTTTAATTTTACATTTTTTTTTCGGTGTACAAACTCCAAAAGGTCTGAAACGTGTTCCTAAAAAGGTTTTGGACAGTGATTTTAACCCTAATGCCAAAAACCTCAAACCTTACCCTAGCCCCAAAACCTAATACCCGGGTATTACCTTCAGGAAGCCCGAACACCCCAAATATTTTTTATTCCTTTTTTCTTTTTTTTTTGGTCTAACTAACTCCAAAAGGTTGGAAAAGAGTTCCTACAAAGGTTTTTGGACAGTGATTTTAACCCTGATGCCAAAAACCCTAAAACTTTCCAAAGCCCCATAACCTAATACCCGGGTATTACCTTCAGGAAGCCTGAACACCCCAAATATTTTTTTTTCATTTTTCTTTTTTTTTTGGTCTAACGAACTCCATAAGGTTGGAAAAGAGTTCCTACAAAGGTTTTTGGACAGTGATTTTAACCCTAATGCCAAAAACCTCAAACCTTACCCTAGCCCCAAAACCTAATACCCTTCAGGAAGCCCGAACACCCCAAATGGAGTTCGTTAGACCAAACCTTACCATAGCCCCATAACCTGATACCCGGGTATTACCTTCAGGAAGCCCGAACACCCCAAATATTTTTTTTTAATTTTACATTTTTTTTTCGGTGTACAAACTCCAAAAGGTCTGAAAGGTGTTCCTAAAAAGGTTTTGGACAGTGATTTTAACCCTAATGCCAAAAACCTCAAACCTTACCCTAGCCCCAAAACCTAATACCCTTCAGGAAGCCCGAACACCCCAAATATTTTTTTTTCTTTTTTCTTTTTTTTTTTGGTCAACCTAACTCCAAAAGGTTGGAAAAGAGTTCCTACAAAGGTTTTTGGACAGTGATTTTAACCCTAACGCCAAAAACCTTAAACATTTCCTAAGCCCCATAACCTAATACCCGGGTATTACCTTCAGGAAGCCCGAACACCCCAAATATTTTTTATTTCATTTTTCTTTTTTTTTGGTCTAACTGACTCCAAAAGTTTGGAAAAGAGTTCCTACAAAGGTTTTGGACAGTGATTTTAACCCTAACGCCAAAAACCTTAAACCTTACCATAGCCCCATAACCTGATACCCGGGTATTACCTTCAGGAAGCCCGAACACCCCAAATATTTTTTTTTCATTTTACATTTTTTTTTCGGTGTACAAACTCCAAAAGGTCTGAAACGTGTTCCTAAAAGGTTTTGGACAGTGATTTTAACCCTAATGCCAAAAACCTCAAACCTTACCCTAGCACCAAAACCTAATACCCGGGTATTACCTTCAGGAAGCCCGAACACCCCAAATATTTTTTTTTCTTTTTTCCACATTTTTTTTTTGGTGTACAAACTCCAAAAGCTCTGAAAGGTGTTCCTAAAAAGGTTTTGGACAGTGATTTTAACCCTAATGCCAAAAACCTCAAACCTTACCCTAGCACCAAAACCTAATACCCGGGTATTACCTTCAGGAAGCCCGAACACCCCAAATATTTTTTTTTCTTTTTTCTTTTTTTTTTTGGTCAACCTAACTCCAAAAGGTTGGAAAAGAGTTCCTACAAAGGTTTTTGGACAGTGATTTTAACCCTAATGCCAAAAACCTTTAACATTTCCTAAGCCCCATAACCTAATACCCGGGTATTACCTTCAGGAAGCATAAACACCCCAAATATTTTTTTTTCATTTTTCTTTTTTTTTTGGTCTAACGAACTCCATAAGGTTGGAAAAGAGTTCCTACAAAGGTTTTGGACAGTGATTTTCACCCTAACGTCTAAAACCTTAAACCTTACCATAGCCCCATAACCTGATACCCGGGTATTACCTTCAGGAAGCCCGAACACCACAAATATTTTTTATTTCATTTTTCATTTTTTTTTGGTCTAACTGACTCCAAAAGTTTGGAAAAGAGTTCCTACAAAGGTTTTGGACAGTGATTTTAACCCTAACGCCAAAAACCTTAAACCTTACCATAGCCCCATAACCTGATACCCGGGTATTACCTTCAGGAAGCCCGAACACCACAAATATTTTTTTTTCATTTTACATTTTTTTTTTGGTGTACAAACTCCAAAAGGTCTGAAAGGTGTTCCTAAAAAGGTTTTGGACAGTGATTTTAACCCTAATGCCAAAAACCTCAAACCTTACCCTAGCACCAAAACCTAATACCCGGGTATTACCTTCAGGAAGCCCGAACACCCCAAATATTTTTTTTTCTTTTTTTTTTTTTTTTTGGTCAACCTAACTCCAAAAGGTTGGAAAAGAGTTCCTACAAAGGTTTTTGGACAGTGATTTTAACCCTAACGCCAAAAACCTTAAACATTTCCTAAGCCCCATAACCTAATACCCGGGTATTACCTTCAGGAAGCCCGAACACCCCAAATATTTTTTTTTCATTTTTCTTTTTTTTTGGTCTAACGAACTCCATAAGGTTGGAAAAGAGTTCCTACAAAGGTTTTGGAAAGTTATTTTCACCCTAACGTCAAAAACCTTAAACCTTACCATAGCCCCATAACCTAATACCCGGGTATTACCTTCAGGAAGCCCGAACACCCCAAATATTTTTTTTTTCATTTATGTAACCAACTCCAAAAGGTCTGAAACGTGTTCCTAAAAAGGTTTTGGACAGTGATTTTAACCCTAATGCCAAAAACCTCAAACCTTACCCTAGCCCCAAAACCTAATACCCGGGTATTACCTTCAGGAAGCCCGAACACCCCAAATATTTTTTATTCCTTTTTTCTTTTTTTTTTGGTCTAACTAACTCCAAAAGGTTGGAAAAGAGTTCCTACAAAGGTTTTTGGACAGTGATTTTAACCCTGATGCCAAAAACCCTAAAACTTTCCAAAGCCCCATAACCTAATACCCGGGTATTACCTTCAGGAAGCCCGAACACCCCAAATACATTTTTTTTCTTTTTTCTTTTTTTTTTTGGTCAACCTAACTCCAAAAGGTTGGAAAAGAGTTCCTACAAAGGTTTTTGGACAGTGATTTTAACCCTAACGCCAAAAACCTTAAACATTTCCTAAGCCCCAAAACCTAATACCCGGGTATTACCTTCAGGAAGCCCGAACACCCCAAATATTTTTTTTTCATTTTTCTTTTTTTTTGGTCTAACGAACTCCATAAGGTTGGAAAAGAGTTCCTACAAAGGTTTTGGAAAGTTATTTTCACCCTAACGTCAAAAACCTTAAACCTTACCATAGCCCCATAACCTAATACCCGGGTATTACCTTCAGGAAGCCCGAACACCCCAAATATTTTTTTTTTCATTTTACATTTTTTTTGTATGTAACCAACTCCAAAAGGTCTGAAACATGTTCCTAAAAAGGTTTTGGACAGTGATTTTAACCCTAACGCCAAAAACCTCAAACCTTACCCTAGCCCCAAAACCTAATATTAGGGTATTACCTCCAGGAAGCCTGAAAACCCCAAATATTTTTTTTTCATTTCTCTTTTTTTTTGGGTCTAACTGACTCCAAAAGTTTAGAAACAGTTCCTACAAAGGTTTTGGAGAGTGATTTTAACCGTAACGCCAAAAACCTTAAACCTTACCATAGCCCCATAACCTGATACCCGGGTATTACCTTCAGGAAGCCCGAACACCCCAAATATTTTTTTTTCTTTTTTCTTTTTTTTTTTGGTCAACCTAACTCCAAAAGGTTGGAAAAGAGTTCCTACAAAGGTTTTTGGACAGTGATTTTAACCCTAATGCCAAAAACCTTTAACATTTCCTAAGCCCCATAACCTAATACCCGGGTATTACCTTCAGGAAGCATAAACACCCCAAATATTTTTTTTTCATTTTTCTTTTTTTTTTGGTCTAACGAACTCCATAAGGTTGGAAAAGAGTTCCTACAAAGGTTTTGGACAGTGATTTTCACCCTAACGTCTAAAACCTTAAACCTTACCATAGCCCCATAACCTGATACCCGGGTATTACCTTCAGGAAGCCCGAACACCCCAAATATTTTTTATTTCATTTTTCATTTTTTTTTGGTCTAACTGACTCCAAAAGTTTGGAAAAGAGTTCCTACAAAGGTTTTGGACAGTGATTTTAACCCTAACGCCAAAAACCTTAAACCTTACCATAGCCCCATAACCTGATACCCGGGTATTACCTTCAGGAAGCCCGAACACCCCAAATTTTTTTTTTTCATTTTACATTTTTTTTTTGGTGTACAAACTCCAAAAGGTCTGAAAGGTGTTCCTAAAAAGGTTTTGGACAGTGATTTTAACCCTAATGCCAAAAACCTCAAACCTTACCCTAGCACCAAAACCTAATACCCGGGTATTACCTTCAGGAAGCCCGAACACCCCAAATATTTTTTTTTCTTTTTTCTTTTTTTTTTGGTCAACCTAACTCCAAAAGGTTGGAAAAGAGTTCCTACAAAGGTTTTTGGACAGTGATTTTAACCCTAACGCCAAAAACCTTAAACATTTCCTAAGCCCCATAACCTAATACCCGGGTATTACCTTCAGGAAGCCCGAACACCCCAAATATTTTTTTCATTTTACTTTTTTTTTTGGTCTAACGAACTCCATAAGGTTGGAAAAGAGTTCCTACAAAGGTTTTGGAAAGTTATTTTCACCCTAACGTCAAAAACCTTAAACCTTACCATAGCCCCATAACCTAATACCCGGGTATTACCTTCAGGAAGCCCGAACACCCCAAATATTTTTTTTTCATTTTACATTTTTTTTTGTAACCAACTCCAAAAGGTCTGAAACGTGTTCCTAAAAAGGTTTTGGACAGTGATTTTAACCCTAATGCCAAAAACCTCAAACCTTACCCTAGCCCCAAAACCTAATACCCGGGTATTACCTTCAGGAAGCCCGAACACCCCAAATATTTTTTATTCCTTTTTTCTTTTTTTTTTGGTCAAACTAACTCCAAAAGGTTGGAAAAGAGTTCCTACAAAGGTTTTTGGACAGTGATTTTAACCCTGATGCCAAAAACCCTAAAACTTTCCAAAGCCCCATAACCTAATACCCGGGTATTACCTTCAGGAAGCCCGAACACCCCAAATACATTTTTTTTCTTTTTTCTTTTTTTTTTGGTCAACCTAACTCCAAAAGGTTGGAAAAGAGTTCCTACAAAGGTTTTTGGACAGTGATTTTAACCCTAACGCCAAAAACCTTAAACATTTCCTAAGCCCCAAAACCTAATACCCGGGTATTACCTTCAGGAAGCCCGAACACCCCAAATATTTTTTTTTCATTTTTCTTTTTTTTTGGTCTAACGAACTCCATAAGGTTGGAAAAGAGTTCCTACAAAGGTTTTGGAAAGTTATTTTCACCCTAACGTCAAAAACCTTAAACCTTACCATAGCCCCATAACCTAATACCCGGGTATTACCTTCAGGAAGCCCGAACACCCCAAATATTTTTTTTTTCATTTTACATTTTTTTTGTATGTAACCAACTCCAAAAGGTCTGAAACATGTTCCTAAAAAGGTTTTGGACAGTGATTTTAACCCTAACGCCAAAAACCTCAAACCTTACCCTAGCCCCAAAACCTAATATTAGGGTATTACCTCCAGGAAGCCTGAAAACCCCAAATATTTTTTTTTCATTTCTCTTTTTTTTTGGGTCTAACTGACTCCAAAAGTTTAGAAACAGTTCCTACAAAGGTTTTGGACAGTGATTTTAACCGTAACGCCAAAAACCTTAAACCTTACCATAGCCCCATAACCTGATACCCGGGTATTACCTTCAGGAAGCCCGAACACCCCAAATATTTTTTTTTAATTTTACATTTTTTTTTCGGTGTACAAACTCCAAAAGGTCTGAAACGTGTTCCTAAAAAGGTTTTGGACAGTGATTTTAACCCTAATGCCAAAAACCTCAAACCTTACCCTAGCCCCAAAACCTAATACCCGGGTATTACCTTCAGGAAGCCCGAACACCCCAAATATTTTTTATTCCTTTTTTCTTTTTTTTTTGGTCTAACTAACTCCAAAAGGTTGGAAAAGAGTTCCTACAAAGGTTTTTGGACAGTGATTTTAACCCTGATGCCAAAAACCCTAAAACTTTCCAAAGCCCCATAACCTAATACCCGGGTATTACCTTCAGGAAGCCCGAACACCCCAAATACATTTTTTTTCTTTTTTCTTTTTTTTTTTGGTCAACCTAACTCCAAAAGGTTGGAAAAGAGTTCCTACAAAGGTTTTTGGACAGTGATTTTAACCCTAACTCCAAAAACCTTAAACATTTCCTAAGCCCCAAAACCTAATACCCGGGTATTACCTTCAGGAAGCCTGAACACCCCAAATATTTTTTATTTCATTTTTCATTTTTTTTTGGTCTAACTGACTCCGTGTTTGGAAAAGAGTTCCTACAAAGGTTTTGGACAGTGATTTTAACCCTAACGCCAAAAACCTTAAACCTTACCATAGCCCCATAACCTGATACCCGGGTATTACCTTCAGGAAGCCCGAACACCCCAAATATTTTTTTTTCATTTTACATTTTTTTTTGGTACAAACTCCAAAAGGTCTGAAAGGTGTTCCTAAAAAGGTTTTGGACAGTGATTTTAACCCTAATGCCAAAAACCTCAAACCTTACCCTAGCACCAAAACCTAATACCCGGGTATTACCTTCAGGAAGCCCGAACACCCCAAATATTTTTTTTTCTATTTTCTTTTTTTTTTTGGTCAACCTAACTCCAAAAGGTTGGAAAAGAGTTCCTACAAAGGTTTTTGGACAGTGATTTTAACCCTAATGCCAAAAACCTTTAACATTTCCTAAGCCCCATAACCTAATACCCGGGTATTACCTTCAGGAAGCATAAACACCCCAAATATTTTTTTTTCATTTTTCTTTTTTTTTTGGTCTAACGAACTCCATAAGGTTGGAAAAGAGTTCCTACAAAGGTTTTGGACAGTGATTTTCACCCTAACGTCTAAAACCTTAAACCTTACCATAGCCCCATAACCTAATACCCGGGTATTACCTTCAGGAAGCCCGAACACCCCAAATATTTTTTTTTTCATTTTACATTTTTTTTGTATGTAACCAACTCCAAAAGGTCTGAAACATGTTCCTAAAAAGGTTTTGGACAGTGATTTTAACCCTAACGCCAAAAACCTCAAACCTTACCCTAGCCCCAAAACCTAATATTAGGGTATTACCTCCAGGAAGCCTGAAAACCCCAAATATTTTTTTTTCATTTCTCTTTTTTTTGGGTCTAACTGACTCCAAAAGTTTAGAAACAGTTCCTACAAAGGTTTTGGACAGTGATTTTAACCGTAACGCCAAAAACCTTAAACCTTACCATAGCCCCATAACCTGATACCCGGGTATTACCTTCAGGAAGCCCGAACACTCCAAATATTTTTTTTTAATTTTACATTTTTTCTTCGGTGTACAAACTCCAAAAGGTCTGAAACGTGTTCCTAAAAAGGTTTTGGACAGTGATTTTAACCCTAATGCCAAAAACCTCAAACCTTACCCTAGCCCCAAAACCTAATACCCGGGTATTACCTTCAGGAAGCCCGAACACCCCAAATATTTTTTATTCCTTTTTTCTTTTTTTTTTGGTCTAACTAACTCCAAAAGGTTGGAAAAGAGTTCCTACAAAGGTTTTTGGACAGTGATTTTAACCCTGATGCCAAAAACCCTAAAACTTTCCAAAGCCCCATAACCTAATACCCGGGTATTACCTTCAGGAAGCCTGAACACCCCAAATATTTTTTTTTCATTTTTCTTTTTTTTTGGTCTAACGAACTCCATAAGGTTGGAAAAGAGTTCCTACAAAGGTTTTGGAAAGTTATTTTCACCCTAACGTCAAAAACCTTAAACCTTTCCATAGCCCCATAACCTGATACCCGGGTATTACCTTCAGAAAGCCCGAACACCCCAAATATTTTTTTTTTCATTTTACATTTTTTTTGTATGTAACCAACTCCAAAAGGTCTGAAACATGTTCCTAAAAAGGTTTTGGACAGTGATTTTAACCCTAACGCCAAAAACCTCAAACCTTACCCTAGCCCCAAAACCTAATATTAGGGTATTACCTCCAGGAAGCCTGAAAACCCCAAATATTTTTTTTTCATTTCTCTTTTTTTTGGGTCTAACTGACTCCAAAAGTTTAGATACAGTTCCTACAAAGGTTTTGGACAGTGATTTTAACCGTAACGCCAAAAACCTTAAACCTTACCATAGCCCCATAACCTGATACCCGGGTATTACCTTCAGGAAGCCCGAACACCACAAATATTTTTTTTTCATTTTACATTTTTTTTTTTCGGTGTACAAACTCCAAAAGGTCTGAAAGGTGTTCCTAAAAAGGTTTTGGACAGTGATTTTAACCCAAATGCCAAAAACCTCAAACCTTACCCTAGCCCCAAAACCTAATACCCGGGTATTCCCTTCAGGAAGCCCGAACACCCCAAATATTTTTTTTTCTTCTTTCTTTTTTTTGGTCAACCTAACTCCAAAAGGTTGGAAAAGAGTTCCTACAAAGGTTTTTGGACAGTGATTTTAACCCTAACGCCAAAAACCTTAAACATTTCCTAAGCCCCATAACCTAATACCCGGGTATTACCTTCAGGAAGCCCGAACACCCCAAATATTTTTTATTTCATTTTTCATTTTTTTTTGGTCTAACTGACTCCAAAAGTTTGGAAAAGAGTTCCTACAAAGGTTTTGGACAGTGATTTTAACCCTTACGCCAAAAACCTTAAACCTTACCATAGCCCCATAACCTGATACCCGGGTATTACCTTCAGGAAGCCCGAACACCCCAATTTTTTTTTTTTCATTTTACATTTTTTTTTTGGTGTACAAACTCCAAAAGGTCTGAAAGGTGTTCCTAAAAAGGTTTTGGACAGTGATTTTAACCCTAATGCCAAAAACCTCAAACCTTACCCTAGCACCAAAACCTAATACCCGGGTATTACCTTCAGGAAGCCCGAACACCCCAAATATTTTTTTTTCTTTTTTCTTTTTTTTTTTTGGTCAACCTAACTCCAAAAGGTTGGAAAAGAGTTCCTACAAAGGTTTTTGGACAGTGATTTTAACCCTAACGCCAAAAACCTTAAACATTTCCTAAGCCCCATAACCTAAATAGTACCCGGGTATTACCTTCAGGAAGCCCGAACACCCCAAATATTTTTTTTTCATTTTTCTTTTTTTTTTGGTCTAACGAACTCCATAAGGTTGGAAAAGAGTTCCTACAAAGGTTTTGGAAAGTTATTTTCACCCTAACGTCAAAAACCTTAAACCTTACCATAGCCCCATAACCTAATACCCGGGTATTACCTTCAGGAAGCCCGAACACCCCAAATATTTTTTTTTTCATTTTACATTTTTTTTGTATGTAACCAACTCCAAAAGGTCTGAAACATGTTCCTAAAAAGGTTTTGGACAGTGATTTTAACCCTAACGCCAAAAACCTCAAACCTTACCCTAGCCCCAAAACCTAATATTAGGGTATTACCTCCAGGAAGCCTGAAAACCCCAAATATTTTTTTTTCATTTCTCTTTTTTTTGGGTCTAACTGACTCCAAAAGTTTAGAAACAGTTCCTACAAAGGTTTTGGACAGTGATTTTAACCGTAACGCCAAAAACCTTAAACCTTACCATAGCCCCATAACCTGATACCCGGGTATTACCTTCAGGAAGCCCGAACACCCCAAATATTTTTTTTTCATTTTTCTTTTTTTTTTGGTCTAACGAACTCCATAAGGTTGGAAAAGAGTTCCTACAAAGGTTTTGGAAAGTTATTTTCACCCTAACGTCAAAAACCTTAAACCTTACCATAGCCCCATAACCTAATACCCGGGTATTACCTTCAGGAAGCCCGAACACCCCAAATATATTTTTTTTCATTTTACATTTTTTTTGTATGTAACCAACTCCAAAAGGTCTGAAACATGTTCCTAAAAAGGTTTTGGACAGTGATTTTAACCCTAACGCCAAAAACCTCAAACCTTACCCTAGCCCCAAAACCTAATATTAGGGTATTACCTCCAGGAAGCCTGAAAACCCCAAATATTTTTTTTTCATTTCTCTTTTTTTTGGGTCTAACGAACTCCAAAAGTTTAGAAACAGTTCCTACAAAGGTTTTGGACAGTGATTTTAACCCTAACGCCAAAAACCTTAAACCTTACCATAGCCCCATAACCTGATACCCGGGTATTACCTTCAGGAAGCCCGAACACCCCAAATATTTTTTTTTAATTTTACATTTTTTTTCGGTGTACAAACTCCAAAAGGTCTGAAAGGTGTTCCTAAAAAGGTTTTGGACAGTGATTTTAACCCTAATGCCAAAAACCTCAAACCTTACCCTAGCCCCAAAACCTAATACCCGGGTATTACCTTCAGGAAGCCCGAACACCCCAAATATTTTTTATTCCTTTTTTCTTTTTTTTTTGGTCTAACTAACTCCAAAAGGTTGGAAAAGAGTTCCTACAAAGGTTTTTGGACAGTGATTTTTACCCTAATGCCAAAAACCTCAAACCTTACCCTAGCACCAAAACCTAATACCCGGGTATTACCTTCAGGAAGCCCGAACACCCCAAATATTTTTTATTTCATTTTTCATTTTTTTTTGGTCTAACTGACTCCAAAAGTTTGGAAAAGAGTTCCTACAAAGGTTTTGGACAGTGATTTTAACCCTAACGCCAAAAACCTTAAACCTTACCATAGCCCCATAACCTGATACCCGGGTATTACCTTCAGGAAGCCCGAACACCCCAAATTTTTTTTTTTCATTTTACATTTTTTTTTTGGTGTACAAACTCCAAAAGGTCTGAAAGGTGTTCCTAAAAAGGTTTTGGACAGTGATTTTAACCCTAATGCCAAAAACCTCAAACCTTACCCTAGCACCAAAACCTAATACCCGGGTATTACCTTCAGGAAGCCCGAACACCCCAAATATTTTTTATTTCATTTTTCATTTTTTTTTGGTCTAACTGACTCCAAAAGTTTGGAAAAGAGTTCCTACAAAGGTTTTGGACAGTGATTTTAACCCTAACGCCAAAAACCTTAAACCTTACCATAGCCCCATAACCTGATACCCGGGTATTACCTTCAGGAAGCCCGAACACCCCAAATTTTCTTTTTTCATTTTACATTTTTTTTTTGGTGTACAAACTCCAAAAGGTCTGAAAGGTGTTCCTAAAAAGGTTTTGGACAGTGATTTTAACCCTAATGCCAAAAACCTCAAACCTTACCCTAGCACCAAAACCTAATACCCGGGTATTACCTTCAGGAAGCCCGAACACCCCAAATATTTTTTTTTCTTTTTTCTTTTTTTTTTTGGTCAACCTTACTCCAAAAGGTTGGAAAAGAGTTCCTACAAAGGTTTTTGGACAGTGATTTTAATCCTAACGCCAAAAACCTTAAACATTTCCTAAGCCCCATAACCTAATACCCGGGTATTACCTTCAGGAAGCCCGAACACCCCAAATATTTTTTTTTCATTTTTCTTTTTTTTTTGGTCTTACGAACTCCATAAGGTTGGAAAAGAGTTCCTACAAAGGTTTTGGAAAGTTATTTTCACCCTAACATCAAAAACCTTAAACCTTACCATAGCCCCATAACCTAATACCCGGGTATTACCTTCAGGAAGCCCGAACACCCCAAATATTTTTTTTTTCATTTTACATTTTTTTTGTATGTAACCAACTCCAAAAGGTCTGAAACATGTTCCTAAAAAGGTTTTGGACAGTGATTTTAACCCTAACGCCAAAAACCTCAAACCTTACCCTAGCCCCAAAACCTAATATTAGGGTATTACCTCCAGGAAGCCTGAAAACCCCAAATATTTTTTTTTCATTTCTCTTTTTTTTGGGTCTAACTGACTCCAAAAGTTTAGAAACAGTTCCTACAAAGGTTTTGGACAGTGATTTTAACCGTAACGCCAAAAACCTTAAACCTTACCATAGCCCCATAACCTGATACCCGGGTATTACCTTCAGGAAGCCCGAACACCCCAAATATTTTTTTTTAATTTTACATTTTTTTTTTCGGTGTACAAACTCCAAAAGGTCTGAAACGTGTTCCTAAAAAGGTTTTGGACAGTGATTTTAACCCTAATGCCAAAAACCTCAAACCTTACCCTAGCCCCAAAACCTAATACCCGGGTATTACCTTCAGGAAGCCCGAACACCCCAAATATTTTTTTTCTTTTTTCTTTTTTTTTTTGGTCAACCTAACTCCAAAAGGTTGGAAAAGAGTTCCTACAAAGGTTTTTGGACAGTGATTTTAACCCTAACGCCAAAAACCTTAAACATTTCCTAAGCCCCATAACCTAATACCCGGGTATTACCTTCAGGAAGCCTGAACACCCCAAATATTTTTTATTTCATTTTTCATTTTTTTTTGGTCTAACTGACTCCGTGTTTGGAAAAGAGTTCCTACAAAGGTTTTGGACAGTGATTTTAACCCTAACGCCAAAAACCTTAAACCTTACCATAGCCCCATAACCTGATACCCGGGTATTACCTTCAGGAAGCCCGAACACCCCAATTTTTTTTTTTTTTCATTTTACATTTTTTTTTTTGGTGTACAAACTCCAAAAGGTCTGAAAGGTGTTCCTAAAAAGGTTTTGGACAGTGATTTTAACCCTAATGCCAAAAACCTCAAACCTTACCCTAGCACCAAAACCTAATACCCGGGTATTACCTTCAGGAAGCCCGAACACCCCAAATATTTTTTTTTCATTTTTCTTTTTTTTTTGGTCTAACGAACTCCATAAGGTTGGAAAAGAGTTCCTACAAAGGTTTTGGAAAGTTATTTTCACCCTAACGTCAAAAACCTTAAACCTTACCATAGCCCCATAACCTGATACCCGGGTATTACCTTCAGGAAGCCCGAACACCCCAAATATTTTTTTTTAATTTTACATTTTTTTTTCGGTGTACAAACTCCAAAAGGTCTGAAACGTGTTCCTAAAAAGGTTTTGGACAGTGATTTTAACCCTAATGCCAAAAACCTCAAACCTTACCCTAGCACCAAAACCTAATACCCGGGTATTACCTTCAGGAAGCCCGTACACCCCAAATATTTTTTTTTCTTTTTCTTTTTTTTTTGGTCAACCTAACTCCAAAAGGTTGGAAAAGAGTTCCTACAAAGGTTTTTGGACAGTGATTTTAACCCTAACGCCAAAAACCTTAAACATTTCCTAAGCCCCATAACCTAATACCCGGGTATTACCTTCAGGAAGCCCGAACACCCCAAATATTTTTTATTTCATTTTTCATTTTTTTTTGGTCTAACTGACTCCAAAAGTTTGGAAAAGAGTTCCTACAAAGGTTTTGGACAGTGATTTTAACCCTAACGCCAAAAACCTTAAACCTTACCATAGCCCCATAACCTGATACCCGGGTATTACCTTAAGGAAGCCCGAACACCCCAAATACATTTTTTTTATTTTTCTTTTTTTTTGGTCTAACGAACTCCATAAGGTTGGAAAAGAGTTCCTACAAAGGTTTTGGAAAGTTATTTTCACCCTAACGTCAAAAACCTTAAACCTTACCATAGCCCCATAACCTAATACCCGGGTATTACCTTCAGGAAGCCCGAACACCCCAAATATTTTTTTTTTCATTTTACATTTTTTTTGTATGTAACCAACTCCAAAAGGTCTGAAACATGTTCCTAAAAAGGTTTTGGACAGTGATTTTAACTCTAACGCCAAAAACCTCAAACCTTACCCTAGCCCCAAAACCTAATATTAGGGTATTACCTCCAGGAAGCCTGAAAACCCCAAATATTTTTTTTTCATTTCTCTTTTTTTTGGGTCTAACTGACTCCAAAAGTTTAGAAACAGTTCCTACAAAGGTTTTGGACAGTGATTTTAACCGTAACGCCAAAAACCTTAAACCTTACCATAGCCCCATAACCTGATACCCGGGTATTACCTTCAGGAAGCCTGAACACCCCAAATATTTTTTTTTAATTTTACATTTTTTTTCGGTGTACAAACTCCAAAAGGTCTGAAACGTGGTCCTAAAAAGGTTTTGGACAGTGATTTTAACCCTAATGCCAAAAACCTCAAACCTTACCCTAGCCCCAAAACCTAATACCCGGGTATTACCTTCAGGAAGCCCGAACACCCCAAATATTTTTTTTTCTTTTTTCTTTTTACATTTTTTTTTTGGTGTACAAACTCCAAAAGGTCTGAAAGGTGTTCCTAAAAAGGTTTTGGACAGTGATTTTAACCCTAATGCCAAAAACCTCAAACCTTACCCTAGCACCAAAACCTAATACCCGGGTATTACCTTCAGGAAGCCCGAACACCCCAAATATTTTTTTTTTTTTCTTTTTTTTTTTGGTCAACCTAACTCCAAAAGGTTGGAAAAGAGTTCCTACAAAGGTTTTTGGACAGTGATTTTAACCCTAACGCCAAAAACCTTAAACATTTCCTAAGCCCCATAACCTAATACCCGGGTATTACCTTCAGGAAGCCCGAACACCCCAATTTTTTTTTTTTCATTTTACATTTTTTTTGTATGTAACCAACTCCAAAAGGTCTGAAACATGTTCCTAAAAAGGTTTTGGACAGTGATTTTAACCCTAAGGCCAAAAACCTCAAACCTTACCCTAGCCCCAAAACCTAATATTAGGGTATTACCTCCAGGAAGCCTGAAAACCCCAAATATTTTTTTTTCATTTCTCTTTTTTTTGGGTCTAACTGACTCCAAAAGTTTAGAAACAGTTCCTACAAAGGTTTTGGACAGTGATTTTAACCGTAACGCCAAAAACCTTAAACCTTACCATAGCCCCATAACCTGATACCCGGGTATTACCTTCAGGAAGCCCGAACACCCCAAATATTTTTTTTTTCATTTTACATTTTTTTTGTATGTAACCAACTCCAAAAGGTCTGAAACATGTTCCTAAAAAGGTTTTGGACAGTGATTTTAACTCTAACGCCAAAAACCTCAAACCTTACCCTAGCCCCAAAACCTAATATTAGGGTATTACCTCCAGGAAGCCTGAAAACCCCAAATATCTTTTTTTCATTTCTCTTTTTTTTTGGGTCTAACTGACTCCAAAAGTTTAGAAACAGTTCCTACAAAGGTTTTGGACAGTGATTTTAACCGTAACGCCAAAAACCTTAAACCTTACCATAGCCCCATAACCTGATACCCGGGTATTACCTTCAGGAAGCCCGAACACCCCAAATATTTTTTTTAATTTTACATTTTTTTTCCGTGTACAAACTCCAAAATGTCTGAAACGTGGTCCTAAAAAGGTTTTGGACAGTGATTTTAACCCTAATGCCAAAAACCTCAAACCTTACCCTAGCCCCAAAACCTAATACCCGGGTATTACCTTCAGGAAGCCCGAACACCCCAAATATTTTTTTTTTTTTTCTTTTACATTTTTTTTTTGGTGTACAAACTCCAAAAGGTCTGAAAGGTGTTCCTAAAAAGGTTTTGGACAGTGATTTTAACCCTAATGCCAAAAACCTCAAACCTTACCCTAGCACCAAAACCTAATACCCGGGTATTACCTTCAGGAAGCCCGAACACCCCAAATATTTTTTTTTCTTTTTTCTTTTTTTTTTTGGTCAACCTAACTCCAAAAGGTTGGAAAAGAGTTCCTACAAAGGTTTTTGGACAGTGATTTTAACCCTAACGCCAAAAACCTTAAACATTTCCTAAGCCCCATAACCTAATACCCGGGTATTACCTTCAGGAAGCCTGAACACCCCAAATATTTTTTATTTCATTTTTCATTTTTTTTTGGTCTAACTGACTCCGTGTTTGGAAAAGAGTTCCTACAAAGGTTTTGGACAGTGATTTTAACCCTAACGCCAAAAACCTTAAACCTTACCATAGCCCCATAACCTAATACCCGGGTATTACCTTCAGGAAGCCCGAACACCACAAATATTTTTTTTTCATTTTACATTTTTTTTTTGGTGTACAAACTCCAAAAGGTCTGAAAGGTGTTCCTAAAAAGGTTTTGGACAGTGATTTTAACCCTAATGCCAAAAACCTCAAACCTTACCCTAGCACCAAAACCTAATACCCGGGTATTACCTTCAGGAAGCCCGAACACCCCAAATATTTTTTTTCTTTTTTTTTTTTTTTTTGGTCAACCTAACTCCAAAAGGTTGGAAAAGAGTTCCTACAAAGGTTTTTGGACAGTGATTTTAACCCTAACGCCAAAAACCTTAAACATTTCCTAAGCCCCATAACCTAATACCCGGGTATTACCTTCAGGAAGCCCGAACACCCCAAATATTTTTTTTTCATTTTTCTTTTTTTTTGGTCTAACGAACTCCATAAGGTTGGAAAAGAGTTCCTACAAAGGTTTTGGAAAGTTATTTTCACCCTAACGTCAAAAACCGTAAAACCTTACCATAGCCCCATAACCTAATACCCGGGTATTACCTTCAGGAAGCCCGAACACCCCAAATATTTTTTTTTTCATTTTACATTTTTTTTGTATGTAACCAACTCCAAAAGGTCTGAAACATGTTCCTAAAAAGGTTTTGGACAGTGATTTTAACCCTAACGCCAAAAACCTCAAACCTTACCCTAGCCCCAAAACCTAATATTAGGGTATTACCTCCAGGAAGCCTGAAAACCCCAAATGTTTTTTTTTCATTTCTCTTTTTTTTTGGGTCTAACTGACTCCAAAAGTTTAGAAACAGTTCCTACAAAGGTTTTGGACAGTGATTTTAACCGTAACGCCAAAAACCTTAAACCTTACCATAGCCCCATAACCTGATACCCGGGTATTACCTTCAGGAAGCCCGAACACCCCAAATATTTTTTTTTAATTTTACATTTTTTTTTCGGTGTACAAACTCCAAAAGGTCTGAAACGTGTTCCTAAAAAGGTTTTGGACAGTGATTTTAACCCTAATGCCAAAAACCTCAAACCTTACCCTAGCCCCAAAACCTAATACCCGGGTATTACCTTCAGGAAGCCCGAACACCCCAAATATTTTTTTTTCTTTTTTCTTTTTTTTTTTGGTCAACCTAACTCCAAAAGGTTGGAAAAGAGTTCCTACAAAGGTTTTTGGACAGTGATTTTAACCCTGATGCCAAAAACCCTAAAACTTTCCAAAGCCCCATAACCTAATACCCGGGTATTACCTTCAGGAAGCCCGAACACCCCAAATACATTTTTTTTCTTTTTTCTTTTTTTTTTTTGGTCAACCTAACTCCAAAAGGTTGGAAAAGAGTTCCTACAAAGGTTTTTGGACAGTGATTTTAACCCTATCGCCAAAAACCTTAAACATTTCCTAAGCCCCATAACCTAATACCCGGGTATTACCTTCAGGAAGCCCGAACACCCCAAATATTTTTTTTTCATTTTTCTTTTTTTTTGGTCTAACGAACTCCATAAGGTTGGAAAAGAGTTCCTACAAAGGTTTTGGAAAGTTATTTTCACCCTAACGTCAAAAACCTTAAACCTTACCATAGCCCCATAACCTAATACCCGGGTATTACCTTCAGGAAGCCCGAACACCCCAAATATTTTTTTTTCATTTTTCTTTTTTTTTGGTCTAACGAACTCCATAAGGTTGGAAAAGAGTTCCTACAAAGGTTTTGGAAAGTTATTTTCACCCTAACGTCAAAAACCTTAAACCTTACCATAGCCCCATAACCTAATACCCGGGTATTACCTTCAGGAAGCCCGAACACCCCAAATATTTTTTTTTTTCATTTTACATTTTTTTTGTATGTAACCAACTCCAAAAGGTCTGAAACATGTTCCTAAAAAGGTTTTGGACAGTGATTTTAACCCTAACGCCAAAAACCTCAAACCTTACCCTAGCCCCAAAACCTAATATTAGGGTATTACCTCCAGGAAGCCTGAAAACCCCAAATATTTTTTTTTCTTTTTTCTTTTTTTTTTGGTCAACCTAACTCCAAAAGGTTGGAAAAGAGTTCCTACAAAGGTTTTTGGACAGTGATTTTAACCCTAACGCCAAAAACCTTAAACATTTCCTAAGCCCCATAACCTAATACCCGGGTATTACCTTCAGGAAGCCCGAACACCCCAAATATTTTTTTTTCATTTTTCTTTTTTTTTTGGTCTAACGAACTCCATAAGGTTGGAAAAGAGTTCCTACAAAGGTTTTGGAAAGTTATTTTCACCCTAACGTCAAAAACCTTAAACCTTACCATAGCCCCATAACCTAATACCCGGGTATTACCTTCAGGAAGCCCGAACACCCCAAATATTTTTTTTTTCATTTTACATTTTTTTTGTATGTAACCAACTCCAAAAGGTCTGAAACATGTTCCTAAAAAGGTTTTGGACAGTGATTTTAACCCTAACGCCAAAAACCTCAAACCTTACCCTAGCCCCAAAACCTAATATTAGGGTATTACCTCCAGGAAGCCTGAAAACCCCAAATGTTTTTTTTTCATTTCTCTTTTTTTTGGGTCTAACTGACTCCAAAAGTTTAGAAACAGTTCCTACAAAGGTTTTGGACAGTGATTTTAACCGTAACGCCAAAAACCTTAAACCTTACCATAGCCCCATAACCTGATACCCGGGTATTACCTTCAGGAAGCCCGAACACCCCAAATATTTTTTTTTAATTTTACATTTTTTTTCGGAGTACAAACTCCAAAAGGTCTGAAACGTGTTCCTAAAAAGGTTTTGGACAGTGATTTTAACCCTAATGCCAAAAACCTCAAACCTTACCCTAGCCCCAAAACCTAATACCCGGGTATTACCTTCAGGAAGCCCGAACACCCCAAATATTTTTTTTTCTTTTTTCTTTTTTTTTTGGTCAACCTAACTCCAAAAGGTTGGAAAAGAGTTCCTACAAAGGTTTTTGGACAGTGATTTTAACCCTGATGCCAAAAACCCTAAAACTTTCCAAAGCCCCATAACCTAATACCCGGGTATTACCTTCAGGAAGCCCGAACACCCCAAATACATTTTTTTTCTTTTTTCTTTTTTTTTTTGGTCAACCTAACTCCAAAAGGTTGGAAAAGAGTTCCTACAAAGGTTTTTGGACAGTGATTTTAACCCTATCGCCAAAAACCTTAAACATTTCCTAAGCCCCATAACCTAATACCCGGGTATTACCTTCAGGAAGCCCGAACACCCCAAATATTTTTTTTTCATTTTTCTTTTTTTTTGGTCTAACGAACTCCATAAGGTTGGAAAAGAGTTCCTACAAAGGTTTTGGAAAGTTATTTTCACCCTAACGTCAAAAACCTTAAACCTTACCATAGCCCCATAACCTAATACCCGGGTATTACCTTCAGGAAGCCCGAACACCCCAAATTTTTTTTTTTCATTTTACATTTTTTTTGTATGTAACCAACTCCAAAAGGTCTGAAACATGTTCCTAAAAAGGTTTTGGACAGTGATTTTAACCCTAACGCCAAAAACCTCAAACCTTACCCTAGCCCCAAAACCTAATATTAGGGTATTACCTCCAGGAAGCCTGAAAACCCCAAATATTTTTTTTTTCATTTCTCTTTTTTTTGGGTCTAACTGACTCCAAAAGTTTAGAAACAGTTCCTACAAAGGTTTTGGACAGTGATTTTAAACGTAACGCCAAAAACCTTAAACCTTACCATAGCCCCATAACCTGATACCCGGGTATTACCTTCAGGAAGCCCGAACACCCCAAATATTTTTTTTTAATTTTACATTTTTTTTTCGGTGTACAAACTCCAAAAGGTCTGAAACGTGTTCCTAAAAAGGTTTTGGACAGTGATTTTAACCCTAATGCCAAAAACCTCAAACCTTACCCTAGCACCAAAACCTAATACCCGGGTATTACCTTCAGGAAGCCCGAACACCCCAAATATTTTTTTTTTCTTTTTTCTTTTTTTTTTTTGGTCAACCTAACTCCAAAAGGTTGGAAAAGAGTTCCTACAAAGGTTTTGGACAGTGATTTTAACCCTAACGCCAAAAACCTTAAACATTTCCTAAGCCCCATAACCTAATACCCGGGTATTACCTTCAGGAAGCCCGAACACCCCAAATATTTTTTTTTCTTTTTTCTTTTTACATTTTTTTTTTGGTGTACAAACTCCAAAAGGTCTGAAAGGTGTTCCTAAAAAGGTTTTGGACAGTGATTTTAACCCTAATGCCAAAAACCTCAAACCTTACCCTAGCACCAAAACCTAATACCCGGGTATTACCTTCAGGAAGCCCGAACACCCCAAATACATTTTTTTTCTTTTTTCTTTTTTTTTTTTGGTCAACCTAACTCCAAAAGGTTGGAAAAGAGTTCCTACAAAGGTTTTTGGACAGTGATTTTAACCCTATCGCCAAAAACCTTAAACATTTCCTAAGCCCCATAACCTAATACCCGGGTATTACCTTCAGGAAGCCCGAACACCCCAAATATTTTTTTTTCATTTTTCTTTTTTTTTGGTCTAACGAACTCCATAAGGTTGGAAAAGAGTTCCTACAAAGGTTTTGGAAAGTTATTTTCACCCTAACGTCAAAAACCTTAAACCTTACCATAGCCCCATAACCTAATACCCGGGTATTACCTTCAGGAAGCCCGAACACCCCAAATATTTTTTTTTTCATTTTACATTTTTTTTGTATGTAACCAACTCCAAAAGGTCTGAAACATGTTCCTAAAAAGGTTTTGGACAGTGATTTTAACCCTAACGCCAAAAACCTAAAACATTACCCTAGCCCCAAAACCTAATATTAGGGTATTACCTCCAGGAAGCCTGAAAACCCCAAAAAAATTTTTTTCATTTCTCTTTTTTTTGGGTCTAACTGACTCCAAAAGTTTAGAAACAGTTCCTACAAAGGTTTTGGACAGTGATTTTAAACGTAACGCCAAAAACCTTAAACCTTACCATAGCCCCATAACCTGATACCCGGGTATTACCTTCAGGAAGCCCGAACACCCCAAATATTTTTTTTTAATTTTACATTTTTTTTTCGGTGTACAAACTCCAAAAGGTCTGAAACGTGTTCCTAAAAAGGTTTTGGACAGTGATTTTAACCCTAATGCCAAAAACCTCAAACCTTACCCTAGCCCCAAAACCTAATACCCGGGTATTACCTTCAGGAAGCCCGAACACCCCAAATATTTTTTTTTCTTTTTTCTTTTTACATTTTTTTTTTGGTGTACAAACTCCAACAGTTCTAGAAGGTGTTCCTAAAAAGGTTTTGGACAGTGATTTTAACCCTAATGCCAAAAACCTCAAACCTTACCCTAGCACCAAAACCTAATACCCGGGTATTACCTTCAGGAAGCCCGAACACCCCAAATATTTTTTTTTCTTTTTTCTTTTTTTTTTTGGTCAACCTAACTCCAAAAGGTTGGAAAAGACTTCCTACAAAGGTTTTTGGACAGTGATTTTAACCCTAACGCCAAAAACCTTAAACATTTCCTAAGCCCCATAACCTAATACCCGGGTATTACCTTCAGGAAGCCCGAACACCCCAAATATTTTTTTTTCTTTTTTCTTTTTACATTTTTTTTTTGGTGTACAAACTCCAAAAGGTCTGAAAGGTGTTCCTAAAAAGGTTTTGGACAGTGATTTTAACCCTAATGCCAAAAACCTCAAACCTTACCCTAGCACCAAAACCTAATACCCGGGTATTACCTTCAGGAAGCCCGAACACCCCAAAAATTTTTTTTTCTTTTTTCTTTTTTTTTTTGGTCAACCTAACTCCAAAAAGTTGGAAAAGAGTTCCTACAAAGGTTTTTGGACAGTGATTTTAACCCTAACGCCAAAAACCTTAAACATTTCCTAAGCCCCATAACCTAATACCCGGGTATTACCTTCAGGAAGCCTGAACACCCCAAATATTTTTTTTTCATTTTTCTTTTTTTTTTTGGTCTAACGAACTCCATAAGGTTGGAAAAGAGTTCCTACAAAGGTTTTGGAAAGTTATGTTCACCCTAACGTCAAAAACCTTAAACCTTACCATAGCCCCATAACCTGATACCCGGGTATTACCTTCAGGAAGCCCGAACACCCCAAATTTTTTTTTTTCATTTTACATTTTTTTTTTGGTGTACAAACTCCAAAAGGTCTGAAAGGTGTTCCTAAAAAGGTTTTGGACAGTGATTTTAACCCTAATGCCAAAAACCTCAAACCTTACCCTAGCACCAAAACCTAATACCCGGGTATTACCTTCAGGAAGCCCGAACACCCCAAATATTTTTTTTTCTTTTTTTTTTTGGTCAACCTAACTCCAAAAGGTTGGAAAAGAGTTCCTACAAAGGTTTTTGGACAGTGATTTTAACCCTAACGCCAAAAACCTTAAACATTTCCTAAGCCCCATAACCTAATACCCGGGTATTACCTTCAGGAAGCCCGAACACCCCAAATATTTTTTTTTTCATTTTTCTTTTTTTTTTGGTCTAACGAACTCCATAAGGTTGGAAAAGAGTTCCTACAAAGGTTATGGAAAGTTATTTTCACCCTAACGTCAAAAACCTTAAACCTTACCATAGCCCCATAACCTAATACCCGGGTATTACCTTCAGGAAGCCCGAACACCCCATAATTTTTTTTTTCATTTTACATTTTTTTTGTATGTAACCAACTCCAAAAGGTCTGAAACATGTTCCTAAAAAGGTTTTGGACAGTGATTTTAACCCTAACGCCAAAAACCTCAAACCTTACCCTAGCCCCAAAACCTAATATTAGGGTATTACCTCCAGGAAGCCCGAACACCCCAAATATTTTTTTTTCTTTTTTCTTTTTTTTTTTGGTCAACCTAACTCCAAAAGGTTGGAAAAGAGTTCCTACAAAGGTTTTTGGACAGTGATTTTAACCCTAACGCCAAAAACCTTAAACATTTCCTAAGCCCCATAACCTAATACCCGGGTATTACCTTCAGGAAGCCCGAACACCCCAAATATTTTTTTTTCTTTTTTCTTTTTACATTTTTTTTTTGGTGTACAAACTCCAAAAGGTCTGAAAGGTGTTCCTAAAAAGGTTTTGGACAGTGATTTTAACCCTAATGCCAAAAACCTCAAACCTTACCCTAGCACCAAAACCTAATACCCGGGTATTACCTTCAGGAAGCCCGAACACCCCAAAAATTTTTTTTTTTTTTTTTTTTTTTTTTTTGGTCAACCTAACTCCAAAAAGTTGGAAAAGAGTTCCTACAAAGGTTTTTGGACAGTGATTTTAACCCTAACGCCAAAAACCTTAAACATTTCCTAAGCCCCATAACCTAATACCCGGGTATTACCTTCAGGAAGCCTGAACACCCCAAATATTTTTTTTTCATTTTTCTTTTTTTTTTGGTCTAACGAACTCCATAAGGTTGGAAAAGAGTTCCTACAAAGGTTTTGGAAAGTTATTTTCACCCTAACGTCAAAAACCTTAAACCTTACCATAGCCCCATAACCTGATACCCGGGTATTACCTTCAGGAAGCCCGAACACCCCAAATTTTTTTTTTTCATTTTACATTTTTTTTTGGTGTACAAACTCCAAAAGGTCTGAAAGGTGTTCCTAAAAAGGTTTTGGACAGTGATTTTAACCCTAATGCCAAAAACCTCAAACCTTACCCTAGCACCAAAACCTAATACCCGGGTATTACCTTCAGGAAGCCCGAACACCCCAAATACATTTTTTTTTCTTTTTTCTTTTTTTTTTTTGGTCAACCTAACTCCAAAAGGTTGGAAAAGAGTTCCTACAAAGGTTTTTGGACAGTGATTTTAACCCAAACGCCAAAAACCTTAAACCTTACCATAGCCCCATAACCTAATACCCGGGTATTACCTTCAGGAAGCCCGAACACCCCAAATATTTTTTTTTTCATTTTACATTTTTTTTGTATGTAACCAACTCCAAAAGGTCTGAAACATGTTCCTAAAAAGGTTTTGGACAGTGATTTTAACCCTAACGCCAAAAACCTCAAACCTTACCCTAGCCCCAAAACCTAATATTAGGGTATTACCTCCAGGAAGCCTGAAAACCCCAAAATTTTTTTTTTCATTTCTCTTTTTTTTGGGTCTAACTGACTCCAAAAGTTTAGAAACAGTTCCTACAAAGGTTTTGGACAGTGATTTTAAACGTAACGCCAAAAACCTTAAACCTTACCATAGCCCCATAACCTGATACCCGGGTATTACCTTCAGGAAGCCCGAACACCCCAAATATTTTTTTTTAATTTTACATTTTTTTTTCGGTGTACAAACTCCAAAAGGTCTGAAACGTGTTCCTAAAAAGGTTTTGGACAGTGATTTTAACCCTAATGCCAAAAACCTCAAACCTTTCCCTAGCCCCAAAACCTAATACCCGGGTATTACCTTCAGGAAGCCCGAACACCCCAAATATTTTTTTTTCTTTTTTCTTTTTACATTTTTTTTTTGGTGTACAAACTCCAACAGTTCTAGAAGGTGTTCCTAAAAAGGTTTTGGACAGTGATTTTAACCCTAATGCCAAAAACCTCAAACCTTACCCTAGCACCAAAACCTAATACCCGGGTATTACCTTCAGGAAGCCCGAACACCCCAAAAATTTTTTTTTCTTTTTTCTTTTTTTTTTTGGTCAACCTAACTCCAAAAAGTTGGAAAAGAGTTCCTACAAAGGTTTTTGGACAGTGATTTTAACCCTAACGCCAAAAACCTTAAACATTTCCTAAGCCCCATAACCTAATACCCGGGTATTACCTTCAGGAAGCCTGAACACCCCAAATATTTTTTTTTCATTTTCTTTTTTTTTTGGTCTAACGAACTCCATAAGGTTGGAAAAGAGATCCTACAAAGGTTTTGGAAAGTTATGTTCACCCTAACGTCAAAAACCTTAAACCTTACCATAGCCCCATAACCTGAATACCCGGGTATTACCTTCAGGAAGCCCGAACACCCCAATTTTTTTTTTTTCATTTTACATTTTTTTTTTGGTGTACAAACTCCAAAAGGTCTGAAAGGTGTTCCTAAAAAGGTTTTGGACAGTGATTTTAACCCTAATGCCAAAAACCTCAAACCTTACCCTAGCACCAAAACCTAATACCCGGGTATTACCTTCAGGAAGCCCGAACACCCCAAATATTTTTTTTTCTTTTTTCTTTTTTTTTTTTGGTCAACCTAACTCCAAAAGGTTTGAAAAGAGTTCCTACAAAGGTTTTTGGACAGTGATTTTAACCCTAACGCCAAAAACCTTAAACATTTCCTAAGCCCCATAACCTAATACCCGGGTATTACCTTCAGGAAGCCTGAACACCCCAAATATTTTTTTTTCATTTTTCTTTTTTTTTTTTGGTCTAACGAACTCCATAAGGTTGGAAAAGAGTTCCTACAAAGGTTTTGGAAAGTTATTTTCACCCTAACGTCAAAAACCTTAAACCTTACCATAGCCCCATAACCTAATACCCGGGTATTACCTTCAGGAAGCCTGAACACCCCATAATTTTTTTTTTCATTTTACATTTTTTTTTTGGTGTACAAACTCCAAAAGGTCTGAAAGGTGTTCCTAAAAAGGTTTTGGACAGTGATTTTAACCCTAATGCCAAAAACCTCAAACCTTACCCTAGCACCAAAACCTTATACCCGGGTATTACCTTCAGGAAGCCCGAACACCCCAAATATTTTTTTTTCTTTTTTCTTTTTTTTTTTGGTCAACCTAACTCCAAAAGGTTGGAAAAGAGTTCCTACAAAGGTTTTTGGACAGTGATTTTAACCCTAACGCCAAAAACCTTAAACATTTCCTAAGCCCCATAACCTAATACCCGGGTATTACCTTCAGGAAGCCCGAACACCCCAAATATTTTTTTTTCATTTTTCTTTTTTTTTGGTCTAACGAACTCCATAAGGTTGGAAAAGAGTTCCTACAAAGGTTTTGGAAAGTTATTTTCACCCTAACGTCAAAAACCTTAAACCTTACCATAGCCCCATAACCTAATACCCGGGTATTACCTTCAGGAAGCCCGAACACCCCATAATTTTTTTTTTCATTTTACATTTTTTTTGTATGTAACCAACTCCAAAAGGTCTGAAACATGTTCCTAAAAAGGTTTTGGACAGTGATTTTAACCCTAACGCCAAAAACCTCAAACCTTACCCTAGCCCCAAAACCTAATATTAGGGTATTACCTCCAGGAAGCCTGAAAACCCCAAATATTTTTTATTCATTTCTCTTTTTTTTGGGTCTAACTGACTCCAAAAGTTTAGAAACAGTTCCTACAAAGGTTTTGGACAGTGATTTTAACCGTAACACCAAAAACCTTAAACCTTACCATAGCCCCATAACCTGATACCCGGGTATTACCTTCAGGAAGCCCGAACACCCCAAATATTTTTTTTAATTTTACTTTTTTTTTTCGGTGTACAAACTCCAAAAGGTCTGAAACGTGTTCCTAAAAAGGTTTTGGACAGTGATTTTAACCCTAATGCCAAAAACCTCAAACCTTACCCTAGCCCCAAAACCTAATACCCGGGTATTACCTTCAGGAAGCCCGAACACCCCAAATATTTTTTTTTCATTTTACACTTTTTTTTTTTGGTCAACCTAACTCCAAAAGGTTGGAAAAGAGTTCCTACAAAGGTTTTTGGACAGTGATTTTAACCCTAACGCCAAAAACCTTAAACATTTCCTAAGCCCCATAACCTAATACCCGGGTATTACCTTCAGGAAGCCTGAACACCCCAAATATTTCTTATTTCATTTTTCATTTTTTTTTGGTCTAACTGACTCCGTGTTTGGAAAAGAGTTCCTACAAAGGTTTTGGACAGTGATTTTAACCCTAACGCCAAAAACCTTAAACCTTTCCTAAGCCCCATAACCTAATACCCGGGTACTACCTTCAGGAAGCCCGAACACCCCAAATACATTTTTTTTATTTTTCTTTTTTTTTGGTCTAACGAACTCCATAAGGTTGGAAAAGAGTTCCTACAAAGGTTTTGGAAAGTTATTTTCACCCTAACGTCAAAAACCTTAAACCTTACCATAGCCCCATAACCTAATACCCGGGTATTACCTTCAGGAAGCCCGAACACCCCAAATATTTTTTTTTTCATTTTACATTTTTTTTGTATGTAACCAACTCCAAAAGGTCTGAAACATGTTCCTAAAAAGGTTTTGGACAGTGATTTTAACTCTAACGCCAAAAACCTCAAACCTTACCCTAGCCCCAAAACCTAATATTAGGGTATTACCTCCAGGAAGCCTGAAAACCCCAAATATTTTTTTTCATTTCTCTTTTTTTTTGGGTCTAACTGACTCCAAAAGTTTAGAAACAGTTCCTACAAAGGTTTTGGACAGTGATTTTAACCGTAACGCCAAAAACCTTAAACCTTACCATAGCCCCATAACCTGATACCCGGGTATTACCTTCAGGAAGCCCGAACACCCCAAATATTTTTTTTTAATTTTACATTTTTTTTCGGTGTACAAACTCCAAAAGGTCTGAAACGTGGTCCTAAAAAGGTTTTGGACAGTGATTTTAACCCTAATGCCAAAAACCTCAAACCTTACCCTAGCCCCAAAACCTAATACCCGGGTATTACCTTCAGGAAGCCCGAACACCCCAAATATTTTTTTTTCTTTTTTCTTTTTACATTTTTTTTTGGTGTACAAACTCCAAAAGGTCTGAAAGGTGTTCCTAAAAAGGTTTTGGACAGTGATTTTAACCCTAATGCCAAAAACCTCAAACCTTACCCTAGCACCAAAACCTAATACCCGGGTATTACCTTCAGGAAGCCCGAACACCCCAAATATTTTTTTTTCTTTTTTCTTTTTTTTTTTGGTCAACCTAACTCCAAAAGGTTGGAAAAGAGTTCCTACAAAGGTTTTTGGACAGTGATTTTAACCCTAACGCCAAAAACCTTAAACATTTCCTAAGCCACATAACCTAATACCCGGGTATTACCTTCAGGAAGCCCGAACACCCCAAATTTTTTTTTTCATTTTTCTTTTTTTTTTGGTCTAACGAACTCCATAAGGTTGGAAAAGAGTTCCTACAAAGGTTTTGGAAAGTTATTTTCACCCTAACGTCAAAAACCTTAAACCTTACCATAGCCCCATAACCTAATACCCGGGTATTACCTTCAGGAAGCCCGAACACCCCAAATATTTTTTTTTCATTTTACATTTTTTTTGTATGTAACCAACTCCAAAAGGTCTGAAACATGTTCCTAAAAAGGTTTTGGACAGTGATTTTAACCCTAACGCCAAAAACCTCAAACCTTACCCTAGCCCCAAAACCTAATATTAGGGTATTACCTCCAGGAATCCTGAAAACCCCAAATATTTTTTTTTCATTTCTCTTTTTTTTGGGTCTAACTGACTCCAGAAGTTTAGAAACAGTTCCTACAAAGGTTTTGGACAGTGATTTTAACCCTAACGCCAAAAACCTTAAACATTTCCTAAGCCCCATAACCTAATACCCGGGTATTACCTTCAGGAAGCCTGAACACCCCAAATATTTTTTATTTCATTTTTCATTTTTCTTTGGTCTAACTGACTCCAAAAGTTTAGAAACAGTTCCTACAAAGGTTTTGGACAGTGATTTTAACCCTAACGCCAAAAACCTTAAACCTTACCATAGCCCCATAACCTGATACCCGGGTATTACCTTCAGGAAGCCCGAACACCCCAAAAATTTTTTTTTCATTTTACTTTTTTTTTTTTTGGTGTACAAACTCCAAAAGGTCTGAAAGGTGTTCCTAAAAAGGTTTTGGACAGTGATTTTAACCCTAATGCCAAAAACCTCAAACCTTACCCTAGCACCAAAACCTAATACCCGGGTATTACCTTCAGGAAGCCCGAACACCCCAAATATTTTTTATTCCTTTTTTCTTTTTTTTTTTGGTCTAACTAACTCCAAAAGGTTGGAAAAGAAATCCTACAAAGGTTTTTGGACAGTGATTTTAACCCTGATGCCAAAAACCCTAAAACTTTCCAAAGCCCCATAACCTAATACCCGGGTATTACCTTCAGGAAGCCCGAACACCCCAAATACATTTTTTTTCTTTTTTCTTTTTTTTTTTGGTCAACCTAACTCCAAAAGGTTGGAAAAGAGTTCCTACAAAGGTTTTTGGACAGTGATTTTAACCCTAACGCCAAAAACCTTAAACATTTCCTAAGCCCCATAACCTAATACCCGGGTATTACCTTCAGGAAGCCCGAACACCCCAAATATTTTTTTTTTCATTTTACATTTTTTTTGTATGTAACCAACTCCAAAAGGTCTGAAACATGTTCCTAAAAAGGTTTTGGACAGTGATTTTAACCCTAACGCCAAAAACCTCAAACCTTACCCTAGCCCCAAAACCTAATATTAGGGTATTACCTCCAGGAAGCCTGAAAACCCCAAATATTTTTTTTTCATTTCTCTTTTTTTGGGGTCTAACTGACTCCAAAAGTTTAGAAACAGTTCCTACAAAGGTTTTGAACAGTGATTTTAACCGTAACGCCAAAAACCTTAAACCTTACCCTAGCCCCATAACCTGATACCCGGGTATTACCTTCAGGAAGCCCGAACACCCCAAATATTTTTTTTTAATTTTACACTTTTTTTTTCGGTGTACAAACTCCAAAAGGTCTGAAACGTGTTCCTAAAAAGGTTTTGGACAGTGATTTTAACCCTAATGCCAAAAACCTCAAACCTTACCCTAGCCCCAAAACCTAATACCCGGGTATTACCTTCAGGAAGCCCGAACACCCCGAATATTTTTTTTTTTCTTTTTTCTTTTTACATTTTTTTTTTGGTGTACAAACTCCAAAAGGTCTGAAAGGTGTTCCTAAAAAGGTTTTGGACAGTGATTTTAACCCTAATGCCAAAAACCTCAAACCTTACCCTAGCACCAAAACCTAATACCCGGGTATTACCTTCAGGAAGCCCGAACACCCCAAATATTTTTTATTCCTTTTTTCTTTTTTTTTTTGGTCAACCTAACTCCAAAAGGTTGGAAAAGAGTTCCTACAAAGGTTTTTGGACAGTGATTTTAACCCTAACGCCAAAAACCTTAAACATTTCCTAAGCCCCATAACCTAATACCCGGGTATTACCTTCAGGAAGCCCGAACACCCCAAATAATTTTTTTTCATTTTTCTTTTTTTTTTTGGTCTAACGAACTCCATAAGGTTGGAAAAGAGTTCCTACAAAGGTTTTGGAAAGTTATTTTCAACCCTAACGTCAAAAACCTTAAACCTTACCATAGCCCCATAACCTAATACCCGGGTATTACCTTCAGGAAGCCCGAACACCCCAAATATATTTTTTTTCATTTTACATTTTTTTTGTATGTAACCAACTCCAAAAGGTCTGAAACATGTTCCTAAAAAGGTTTTGGACAGTGATTTTAACCCTAACGCCAAAAACCTCAAACCTTACCCTAGCCCCAAAACCTAATATTAGGGTATTACCTCCAGGAATCCTGAAAACCCCAAATATTTTTTTTTCATTTTTCTTTTTTTTGGGTCTAACTGACTCCAAAAGTTTAGAAACAGTTCCTACAAAGGTTTTGGACAGTGATTTTAACCCTAACGCCAAAAACCTTAAACATTTCCTAAGCCCCATAACCTAATACCCGGGTATTACCTTCAGGAAGGCTGAACACCCCAAATATTTTTTATTTCATTTTTCATTTTTTTTGGTCTAACTGACTCCAAAAGTTTGGAAAAGAGTTCCTACAAAGGTTTTGGACAGTGATTTTAACCCTAACGCCAAAAACCTTAAACCTTACCATAGCCCTATAACCTGATACCCGGGTATTACCTTCAGGAAGCCCGAACACCCCAAATTTTTTTTTTTCATTTTACATTTTTTTTTTGGTGTACAAACTCCAAAAGTTTGGAAAAGAGTTCCTAAAAGGGTTTTGGACAGTGATTTTAACCCTAACGCTAAAAACCTTAAACCTTACCATAGCCCCATAACCTGATACCCGGGTATTACCTTCAGGAAGCCCGAACACCCCAAATTTTTTTTTTTCATTTTACATTTTTTTTTGGGTGTACAAACTCCAAAAGGTCTGAAAGGTGTTCCTAAAAAGGTTTTGGACAGTGATTTTAACCCTAATGCCAAAAACCTCAAACCTTACCCTAGCACCAAAACCTAATACCCGGGTATTACCTTCAGGAAGCCCGAACACCCCAAATATTTTTTATTCCTTTTTTCTTTTTTTTTTGGTCTAACTAACTCCAAAATGTTGGAAAAGAGTTCCTACAAAGGTTTTTGGACAGTGATTTTAACCCTGATGCCAAAAACCCAAAACCTTTCCATAGCCCCATAACCTAATACCCGGGTATTACCTTCAGGAAGCCCGAACACCCCAAATACATTTTTTTTCTTTTTTCTTTTTTTTTTTGGTCAACCTAACTCCAAAAGTTTGGAAAAGAGTTCCTACAAAGGTTTTGGACAGTGATTTTAACCCTAACGCCAAAAACCTTAAACATTTCCTAAGCCCCATAACCTAATACCCGGGTATTACCTTCAGGAAGCCTGAACACCCCAAATATTTTTTATTTCATTTTTCATTTTTTTTTGGTCTAACTGACTCCGTGTTTGGAAAAGAGTTCCTACAAAGGTTTTGGACAGTGATTTTAACCCTAACGCCAAAAACCTTAAACCTTACCATAGCCCCATAACCTGATACCCGGGTATTACCTTCAGGAAGCCCGAACACCACAAATATTTTTTTTTCATTTTACATTTTTTTTTGGTGTACAAACTCCAAAAGGTCTGAAAGGTGTTCCTAAAAAGGTTTTGGACAGTGATTTTAACCCTAATGCCAAAAACCTCAAACCTTACCGTAGCACCAAAACCTAATACCCGGGTATTACCTTCAGGAAGCCCGAACACCCCAAATATTTTTTTTTCTTTTTTCTTTTTTTTTTTGGTCAACCTAACTCCAAAAGGTTGGAAAAGAGTTCCTACAAAGGTTTTTGGACAGTGATTTTAACCCGAACGCCAAAAACCTTAAACATTTCCTAAGCCCCATAACCTAATACCCGGGTATTACCTTCAGGAAGCCCGAACACCCCAAATATTTTTTATTTCATTTTTCTTTTTTTTTGGTCTAACGAACTCCAAAAGGTTGGAAAAGAGTTCCTACAAAGTTTTGGACAATAATTTTAACCCTAATGCCAAAAAACTGAACCCTTACCATAGCCCCATAACCTAATACCCGGGTATTACCTTCAGGAAGCCCGAACACCCCAAATATTTTTTTTTTCATTTTACATTTTTTTTGTATGTAACCAACTCCAAATGGTCTGAAACATGTTCCTAAAAAGGTTTTGGACAGTGATTTTAACCCTAACGCCAAAAACCTCAAACCTTACCCTAGCCCCAAAACCTAATATTAGGGTATTACCTCCAGGAAGCCTGAAAACCCCAAATATTTTTTTTTCATTTCTCTTTTTTTGGGGTCTAACTGACTCCAAAAGGTTGGAAAAGAGTTCCTACAAAGGTTTTGGACAGTGATTTTAACTGTAACGCCAAAAACCTTAAACCTTACCATAGCCCAATAACCTGATACCCGGGTATTACCTTCAGGAAGCCCGAACACCCCAAATATTTTTTTTTCTTTTTTCTTTTTTTTTTTGGTCAACCTAACTCCAAAAGTTTGGAAAAGAGTTCTTACAAAGGTTTTTGGACAGTGATTTTAACCCTAATGCCAAAAACCTTAAACATTTCCTAAGCCCCATAACCTAATACCCGGGTATTACCTTCAGGAAGCCTGAACACCCCAAATATTTTTTTTTCATTTTTCATTTTTTTTTGGTCTAACTAACTCCAAAAGGTTGGAAAAGAGTTCCTACAAAGGTTTTGGACAATAATTTTAACCCTAACGCCAAATAACTGAACCCTTACCATAGCTCCATAACCTAATACCTGCAGGAAGCCCGAACACCCCAAATATTTTTTTTTCATTTTACTTTTTTTTTTGGTGTAACCAACTCCAAAAGGTCTGAAACATGTTCCTAAAAAGGTTTTGGACAGTTAGTTTAACCCTATCGCCAAAAACCTTAAACCTTACCATAGCCCCATAATCTAATACGCGGGTATTACCTTCAGGAAGCCCGAACACCCCAAATAAATTTTTTTTATTTTTTTTATTTTTTATTGGTCTAACTGACTCGAAAAGGTTGGAAAAGAGTTCCTACAAAGGTTTTGGACAGTGATTTTAACCCTAACAACAAAAACCTTGACCCTTACCATAGCCCCATAACCTGATACCCGGGTATTACCTTCAGGAAGCCGGAACACCCCAAATATTTTTTTTTAATTTTACATTTTTTTTTGGTGTACAAACTCCAAAAGGTCTGAAACGTGTTCCTAAAAAGGTTTTGGACAGTGATTTTAACCCTAAGGCCAAAAACCTTAAACCTTTCCTAAGCCCCATAACCTAATACCTGGGTATTACCTTCAGGAAGCCCGAACACCCCAAATATATATATTTTTTTATTTTTTATTTTTTTTTGGTCATACTGACTCCAAAAGGTTGGAAAAGAGTTCCTACAAAGGTTTTGGACAGTGATTTTAACCCTAACGCCAAAAACCTTAAACCTTACCATAGTCCCATAACCTGATACCCGGGTATTACCTTCAGGAAGCCCGAACACCCCCAATATTTTTTTTTCATTTTACAATTTTTTTTTTTGGTGTACAAACTCCAAAAGGTCTGAAACATGTTCCTAAAAGGTTTTGGAGAGTGATTTTAACCCTAATGCCAAAAACCTCAAACCTTACCATAGCCCCATAACCTGATACCCGGGTATTACCTTCAGGAAGCCCGAACACCCCAAATATTTTTTTTTCATTTTACATTTTTTTTTTGGTGTACAAACTCCAAAAGGTCTGAAAGGTGTTCCTAAAAAGGTTTTGGACAGTGATTTTAACCCTAATGCCAAAAACCTCAAACCTTACCCTAGCACCAAAACCTAATTCCCGGGTATTACCTTCAGGAAGCCCAAACACCCCAAATATTTTTTTTTCGTTTTTCTTTTTTTTTTGGTCTACCTAACTCCAAAAGGTTGGAAAAGAGTTCCTACAAAGGTTTTTGGACAGTAATTTTAACCCTAACGCCAAAAACCATAAACCTTTCCAATTTCCTATTACCTTCAGGAAGCCCGAACACCCCAAATATTTTTTTTTCATTTTTCTTTTTTTTGGTCTAACGAACTCCATAAGGTTGGAAAAGAGTTCCTACAAAGGATTTGGACAGTTATTTTCACCCTAACTTCAAAAACCTTAAACCTAACTATAGCCCCATAACCTAATACCCGGGTATTACCTTCAGGAAGCCCGAACACCCCAAATATTTTTTTTTCATTTTACTTTTTTTTTTGGTTTAACCAACTGCAAAAGATCTGAAACATGTTCCTAAAAAGGTTTTGGACAGTGATTTTAACCCTAATGCCAAAAACCTCAAACCTTACCCTAGCCCCAAAACCTAATACCCGGGTATTACCTTCAGGAAGCCCGAAAATCCCAAATATTTTTTATTCCTTTTTTCTTTTTTTTTTGGTCTAACTAACTCCAAAAGGTTGGAAAAGAGTTCCTACAAAGGTTTTGGACAGTGTTTTTATCCCTAACGCCAAAAACCTTAAAACTTACCATAGCCCCATAACCTAATACCCGGGTATTACCTTCAGGAAGCCCGAACACCCCAAATATTTTTTTTTCATTTTACATTTTTTTTAGTGAAATCAGCTCCAAAAGCTTGGAAAAGAGTCCCTACAAAGGTAATACTAAGTATTACCTTCAGGAAGCCCGAACACCCAAAATATTTTTTTTTCATTTTACATTTTTTTTAGTGTAATCAGCTCCAAAAGCTTGGAAAAGAGTTCTTACAAAGGTTTTGGACAGTGATTTTAACCTTAACACCAAAAACCTTAAACCTTACCATAGCCCCATAATTCAATACCCGGGTATTACCTTAAGGAAGCCCGAACACCCCAAATATATATATATATGTTTTTTCATCTTTTTTTTGGTCTAACGAACTCCGAAATGTTGGAAAAGAGTTCCTACAAAGGTTTTGGACAGTGATTTTAACCCTAATGCCAAAAACCCTAAAACTTTCAAAAGCCCCATAACCTAATACCCGGGTATTACCTTCAGGAAGCCCGAAAACCACAAATATTTTTTTTTCATTTTTCATTTTTGTTTGGTCTAACTAACTCCAAAAGGTTGGAAAAGAGTTCCTACAAAGGTTTTGGACAGTGATTTTAACCCTAACGCCAAAAACCTTAACCCTTACCATAGCCCCATAATCTAATACCGGGGTATTACCTTCAGGAAGCCCGAACACCCCAAATTATTTTTTTTTCATTTTACATTTTTATTTTGGTGTAACTGACTCCAAAAGGTTGGAAAAGAGTTCCTACAAAGGTTTTGGACAGTGATTTTAACCCTCACGCCAAAAACCTTAAACCTTACCTTAGCCCCAAAACCTAATACCCGGGTATTACCTTCAGGAAGCCCGAACACCCCAAATATATATTTTTTAATTTTTCATGTTTTTTTGGTCTAACTAACTCCAAAAGCTTGGAAAAGAGTTCCTACAAAGGTTTTGGACAGTGATTTTAACCCTAACGCCAAAAACCTTAAAACTTACCATAGTCCCATAACCTAATACCGGTATTACCTTCAGGAAGCCCGAACACCCCAAATATTTTTTTTTCATTTTACATTTTTTTTAGTGTAACCAGCTCCAAAAGCTTGGAAAAGAGTTCCTACAAAGGTTTTGGACAGTGATTTTAACCCTGATGCCAAAAACCCTAAAACTTTCCAAAGCCCCATAACCTAATACCCGGGTATTACCTTCAGGAAGCCCGAACACCCCAAATACATTTTTTTTCTTTTTTCTTTTTTTTTTTGGTCAACCTAACTCCAAAAGGTTGGAAAAGAGTTCCTACAAAGGTTGTTGGACAGTGATTTTAACCCTAACGCCAAAAACCTTAAACATTTCCTAAGCCCCATAACCTAATACCCGGGTATTACCTTCAGGAAGCCCGAACACCCCAAATATTTTTTTTTTCATTTTACATTTTTTTTGTATGTAACCAACTCCAAAAGGTCTGAAACATGTTCCTAAAAAGGTTTTGGACAGTGATTTTAACCCTAACGCCAAAAACCTCAAACCTTACCCTAGCCCCAAAACCTAATATTAGGGTATTACCTCCAGGAAGCCTGAAAACCCCAAATATTTTTTTTTCATTTCTCTTTTTTTAGGGTCTAACTGACTCCAAAAGTTTAGAAACAGTTCCTACAAAGGTTTTGAACAGTGATTTTAACCGTAACGCCAAAAACCTTAAACCTTACCCTAGCCCCATAACCTGATACCCGGGTATTACCTTCAGGAAGCCCGAACACCCCAAATATTTCTTTTTAATTTTACACTTTTTTTTTCGGTGTACAAACTCCAAAAGGTCTGAAACGTGTTCCTAAAAGGTTTTGGACAGTGATTTTAACCCTAATGCCAAAAACCTCAAACCTTACCCTAGCCCCAAAACCTAATACCCGGGTATTACCTTCAGGAAGCCCGAACACCCCAAATATTTTTTTTTCTTTTTTCTTTTTACATTTTTTTGGTGTACAAACTCCAAAAGGTCTGAAAGGTGTTCCTAAAAAGGTTTTGGACAGTGATTTTAACCCTAATGCCAAAAACCTCAAACCTTACCCTAGCACCAAAACCTAATACCCGGGTATTACCTTCAGGAAGCCCGAACACCCCAAATATTTTTTATTCCTTTTTTCTTTTTTTTTTTGGTCAACCTAACTCCAAAAGGTTGGAAAAGAGTTCCTACAAAGGTTTTTGGACAGTGATTTTAACCCTAACGCCAAAAACCTTAAACATTTCCTAAGCCCCATAACCTAATACCCGGGTATTACCTTCAGGAAGCCCGAACACCCCAAATAATTTTTTTTCATTTTTCTTTTTTTTTTTGGTCTAACGAACTCCATAAGGTTGGAAAAGAGTTCCTACAAAGGTTTTGGAAAGTTATTTTCACCCTAACGTCAAAAACCTTAAACCTTACCATAGCCCCATAACCTAATACCCGGGTATTACCTTCAGGAAGCCCGAACACCCCAAATATATTTTTTTTCATTTTACATTTTTTTTGTATGTAACCAACTCCAAAAGGTCTGAAACATGTTCCTAAAAAGGTTTTGGACAGTGATTTTAACCCTAACGCCAAAAACCTCAAACCTTACCCTAGCCCCAAAACCTAATATTAGGGTATTACCTCCAGGAATCCTGAAAACCCCAAATATTTTTTTTTCATTTTTCTTTTTTTTGGGTCTAACTGACTCCAAAAGTTTAGAAACAGTTCCTACAAAGGTTTTGGACAGTGATTTTAACCCTAACGCCAAAAACCTTAAACATTTCCTAAGCCCCATAACCTAATACCCGGGTATTACCTTCAGGAAGCCTGAACACCCCAAATATTTTTTATTTCATTTTTCATTGTTTTTTGGTCTAACTGACTCCAAAAGTTTGGAAAAGAGTTCCTACAAAGGTTTTGGACAGTGATTTTAACCCTAACGCCAAAAACCTTAAACCTTACCATAGCCCCATAACCTGATACCCGGGTATTACCTTCAGGAAGCCCGAACACCCCAAATTTTTTTTTTTCATTTTACATTTTTTTTTTGGTGTACAAACTCCAAAAGTTTGGAAAAGAGTTCCTAAAAGGGTTTTGGACAGTGATTTTAACCCTAACGCCGAAAACCTTAAACCTTACCATAGCCCCATAACCTGATACCCGGGTATTACCTTCAGGAAGCCCGAACACCCCAAATTTTTTTTTTTCATTTTACATTTTTTTTTTGGTGTACAAACTCCAAAAGGTCTGAAAGGTGTTCCTAAAAAGGTTTTGGACAGTGATTTTAACCCTAATGCCAAAAACCTCAAACCTTACCCTAGCCCCAAAACCTAATACCCGGGTATTACCTTCAGGAAGCCCGAACACCCCAAATATTTTTTATTCCTTTTTTCTTTTTTTTTTGGTCTAACTAACTCCAAAAGGTTGGAAAAGAGTTCCTACAAAGGTTTTTGGACAGTGATTTTAACCCTGATGCCAAAAACCCTAAAACTTTCCAAAGCCCCATAACCTAATACCCGGGTATTACCTTCAGGAAGCCCGAACACCCCAAATACATTTTTTTTCTTTTTTCTTTTTTTTTTTGGTCAACCTAACTCCAAAAGGTTGGAAAAGAGTTCCTACAAAGGTTTTGGACAGTGATTTTAACCCTAACGCCAAAAACCTTAAACATTTCCTAAGCCCCATAACCTAATACCCGGGTATTACCTTCAGGAAGCCTGAACACCCCAAATATTTTTTAATTTCATTTTTCATTTTTTTTTTGGTCTAACTGACTCCGTGTTTGGAAAAGAGTTCCTACAAAGGTTTTGGACAGTGATTTTAACCCTAACGCCAAAAACCTTAAACCTTACCATAGCCCCATAACCTGATACCCGGGTATTACCTTCAGGAAGCCCGAACACCACAAATATTTTTTTTTCATTTTACATTTTTTTTTTGGTGTACAAACTCCAAAAGGTCTGAAAGGTGTTCCTAAAAAGGTTTTGGACAGTGATTTTAACCCTAATGCCAAAAACCTCAAACCTTACCCTAGCACCAAAACCTAATACCCGGGTATTACCTTCAGGAAGCCCGAACACCCCAAATATTTTTTTTTCTTTTTTCTTTTTTTTTTTGGTCAACCTAACTCCAAAAGGTTGGAAAAGAGTTCCTACAAAGGTTTTTGGACAGTGATTTTAACCCTAACGCCAAAAACCTTAAACATTTCCTAAGCCCCATAACCTAATACCCGGGTATTACCTTCAGGAAGCCCGAACACCCCAAATATTTTTTATTTCATTTTTCTTTTTTTTTGGTCTAACGAACTCCAAAAGGTTGGAAAAGAGTTCCTACAAAGGTTTTGGACAATGATTTTAACCCTAATGCCAAAAAACTGAACCCTTACCATAGCCCCATAACCTAATACCCGGGTATTACCTTCAGGAAGCCCGAACACCCCAAATATTTTTTTTTTCATTTTACATTTTTTTTGTATGTAACCAACTCCAAATGGTCTGAAACATGTTCCTAAAAAGGTTTTGGACAGTGATTTTAACCCTAACGCCAAAAACCTCAAACCTTACCCTAGCCCCAAAACCTAATATTAGGGTATTACCTCCAGGAAGCCTGAAAACCCCAAATATTTTTTTTTCATTTCTCTTTTTTTGGGGTCTAACTGACTCCAAAAGGTTGGAAAAGAGTTCCTACAAAGGTTTTGGACAGTGATTTTAACTGTAACGCCAAAAACCTTAAACCTTACCATAGCCCAATAACCTGATACCCGGGTATTACCTTCAGGAAGCCCGAACACCCCAAATATTTTTTTTTCTTTTTTCTTTTTTTTTTTGGTCAACCTAACTCCAAAAGTTTGGAAAAGAGTTCTTACAAAGGTTTTTGGACAGTGATTTTAACCCTAATGCCAAAAACCTTAAACATTTCCTAAGCCCCATAACCTAATACCCGGGTATTACCTTCAGGAAGCCTGAACACCCCAAATATTTTTTATTTCATTTTTCATTTTTTTTTGGTCTAACTGACTCCAAAAGTTTGGAAAAGAGTTCCTACAAAGGTTTTTGGACAGTGATTTTAACCCTAAAGCCAAAAACCTAAAACCTTTCCTATTCCTATTACCTTCAGGAAGCCCGAACACCCCAAATATTTTTTTTTCATTTTTCTTGGAAAAGAGTTCCTACAAAGGTTTTTGGACAGTGATTTTAACCCTAACGCCAAAAACCTTAAACCTTTCCTATTTCCTATTACCTTCAGGAAGCCCGAACACCCCAAATATTTTTTTTTCATTTTTCTTTTTTTTTTGGTCTAAAGCCGCGTTCAGACCAGCCGCGACCTGACGCGACTTGGCGACGGCTCCCAATGCAAAGTCTATGGCCAGCCGCGACCTGATGCGACTTGGCGACCGCCGGCTTCCTGCGACGCGGCCATGCGCGACCGGGCGACCGGTCGCCAAGGCGCCAAGGCGCGTCCCCGAGGTCGCGTCGCCGAGGTCGCAGGACGCCGAGGTCGCAGGACGCCAAGTCGCGTCGCTCCCAAAGTTCAAATATTTGAACTTTGGGAGCGACTTCGTGCCGCGACAGCCAATCAGGGCTCTGCTTACGTCAACAAACCGGCGAAACAAGGAAGAGGAGAAGAAGAATCACAATGGAGGAGCAGTTAATCACATCCGTTAGCTACCACCCAGCTAACTGCCCCTGCTTGCTAGGCTACATGTTTCAACGTATGTGTGTGTGTGTCTTTGCAGTGGATGTGTGCCGCAAGCGGTGGAAGGGGCTTAGAGACGTTTATATGAGGGACAGACAGATAGACAGGCGCTCCGAAGCTGAGATGGAGCGCCTGTATTTCGTGTCCAGGCGGGAGATGCTGCTTCCCACCTGGGCGAGGAGGTCCTCGAACTGCGCCGTCGACACACGGCAATACCGCTGGAAGCGGCCGTCGTCCAGGCGGAGTTCCTGGAGCAAGCGGTGAAATTCACCCAGCTCCGTCCTCCTCCGGATGGTTTCATGCACCCATAAACGCCGGCGGCGTCTACTGCGGATGTACAGATATGCAGCAGCACTGATGAACTGAAAACTGAGCTAGTGACATGGATGACGTCACCGGCGACCAGCCGCGACCTGCGACTGCAACTTTGGACCCGGTGTGAACACACCAGAGCACCACGCGACGCGACCTGACCGACCAACGCGACGCGACGCGACCTGGTCGCGTTTGGTCTGAACGCGGCTTTACGAACTCCATAAGGTTGGAAAAGAGTTCCTACAAAGGTTTTGGACAGTTATTTTCACCCTAACGTCAAAAACCTTAAACCTTACTATAGCCCCATAACCTAATACCCGGGTATTACCTTCAGGAAGCCCGAACACCCCAAATATTTTTTTTTCATTTTACTTTTTTTTTTTGGTTTAACCAACTGCAAAAGGTCTGAAACATGTTCCTAAAAAGGTTTTGGACAGTGATTTTAACCCTAACGCCAAAAACCTTAAACCTTTCCTAAGCCCCTTAACCTAATACTTTCAGGAAGCCCGAAAACCCCAAATATTTTTTTTTCATTTTTCATTTTTTTTTGGTCTAACTAACTCCAAAAGGTTGGAAAAGAGTTCCTACAAAGGTTTTGGACAATAATTTTAACCCTAACGCCAAATAACTGAACCCTTACCATAGCTCCATAACCTAATACCTGCAGGAAGCCCGAACACCCCAAATATTTTTTTTTCATTTTACTTTTTTTTTTGGTGTAACCAACTCCAAAAGGTCTGAAACATGTTCCTAAAAAGGTTTTGGACAGTTAGTTTAACCCTATCGCCAAAAACCTTAAACCTTACCATAGCCCCATAACCTAATATTAGGGTATTACCTTCAGGAAGCCCAAACACCCCAAATATTTTTTTTTCATTTTTAATTTTTTTTTGGTCTAACTGACTCAAAAAGGTTGGAAAAGAGTTCCTACAAAGGTTTTGGACAGTGATTTTAACCCTATCGCCAAAAACCTTAAACCTTACCATAGCCCCATAATCTAATACGCGGGTATTACCTTCAGGAAGCCCGAACACCCCAAATAAATTTTTTTTATTTTTTTTATTTTTTATTGGTCTAACTGACTCGAAAAGGTTGGAAAAGAGTTCCTACAAAGGTTTTGGACAGTGATTTTAACCCTAACAACAAAAACCTTGACCCTTACCATAGCCCCATAACCTGATACCCGGGTATTACCTTCAGGAAGCCGGAACACCCCAAATATTTTTTTTTAATTTTACATTTTTTTTTGGTGTACAAACTCCAAAAGGTCTGAAACGTGTTCCTAAAAAGGTTTTGGACAGTGATTTTAACCCTAAGGCCAAAAACCTTAAACCTTTCCTAAGCCCCATAACCTAATACCTGGGTATTACCTTCAGGAAGCCCGAACACCCCAAATATATATATTTTTTTTTTTTTTTTTTTTTTTTGGTCATACTGACTCCAAAAGGTTGGAAAAGAGTTCCTACAAAGGTTTTGGACAGTGATTTTAACCCTAACGCCAAAAACCTTAAAACTTACCATAGCCCCATAACCTAATACCGGTATTACCTTCAGGAAGCCCGAACACCCCAAATATTTTTTTTTCATTTTACATTTTTTTTAGTGTAACCAGCTCCAAAAGCTTGGAAAAGAGTTCCTACAAAGGTTTTGGACAGTGATTTTAACCTTAACACCAAAAACCTTAAACCTTACCATAGCCCCATAATTCAATACCCGGGTATTACCTTAAGAAAGCCCGAACACCCCAAATATATATATATATTTTTTCATCTTTTTTTTGGTCTAACGAACTCCGAAATGTTGGAAAAGAGTTCCTACAAAGGTTTTGGACAGTGATTTTAACCCTAATGCCAAAAACCCTAAAACTTTCAAAAGCCCCATAACCTAATACCCCGGGTATTACCTTCAGCATGCCCGAACACCCCAAATATATATTTTTTTATTTTTCATGTTTTTTTGGTCTAACTAACTCCAAAAGCTTAGAAAAGAGTTCCCACAAAGGTTTTGGACAGTGATTTTAACCCTAACGCCAAAAAACTGAACCCTTACCATAGCCCCATAACCTAATACCTGGGTATTACCTTCAGGAAGCCCAAAAACAACAAATATTTTTTTTTCATTTTTCATTTTTGTTTGGTCTAACTAACTCCAAAAGGTTGGAAAAGAGTTCCTACAAAGGTTTTGGACAGTGATTTTAACCCTAACGCCAAAAACCTTAACCCTTACCATAGCCCCATAATCTAATACCGGGGTATTACCTTCAGGAAGCCCGAACACCCCAAATTATTTTTTTTTTCATTTTACATTTTTTTTTTGGTGTAACTGACTCCAAAAGGTTGGAAAAGAGTTCCTACAAAGGTTTTGGACAGTGATTTTAACCCTCACGCCAAAAACCTTAAACCTTTCCAATTTCCTATTACCTTCAGGAAGCCCGAACACCCCAAATATTTTTTTTTCATTTTTCTTTTTTTTGGTCTAACGAACTCCATAAGGTTGGAAAAGAGTTCCTACAAAGGATTTGGACAGTTATTTTCACCCTAACTTCAAAAACCTTAAACCTAACTATAGCCCCATAACCTAATACCCGGGTATTACCTTCAGGAAGCCCGAACACCCCAAATATTTTTTTTTCATTTTACTTTTTTTTTTGGTTTAACCAACTGCAAAAGATCTGAAACATGTTCCCAAAAAGGTTTTGGACAGTCATTTTAACCCTAACGCCAAAAACCTCAAACCTTACCCTAGCCCCAAAACCTAATACCCGGGTATTACCTTCAGGAAGCCGGAAAACCCCAAATATTTTTTTTTCTTTTTTCTTTTTTTTTTTGGTCTACCTAACTCCAAAAGGTTGGAAAAGAGTTCCTACAAAGGTTTTTGGACAGTGATTTTAACCCTAACGCCAAAAACCTTAAACCTTTCCTAAGCCCCATAACCTAATACCCAGGTATTACCTTCAGGAAGCCCGAAAACCCCAAATATTTTTTTTCATTTTTCTTTTTTTTTTGGTCTAACTAACTCCAAAAGGTTGGAAAAGAGTTCCTACAAAGGTTTTGGACAATAATTTTAACCCTAACGCCAAAAACCTTAAACCTTACCATAGCCCCATAACCTGATACCCGGGTTATTACCTTCAGGTAGCCCGAACACCCCAAATATTTTTTTTTCATTTTACATTTTTATTTTGGTGTACAAACTCCAAAAGGTCTGAAACATGTTCCTAAAAATGTTTTGGACAGTGATTTTAACCCTAATGCCAAAAACCTCAAACCTTACCCTAGCCCCAAAACCTAATACCCGGGTATTACCTTCAGGAAGCCCGAAAATCCCAAATATTTTTTATTCCTTTTTTCTTTTTTTTTTTGGTCTAACTAACTCCAAAAGGTTGGAAAAGAGTTCCTACAAAGGTTTTGGACAGTGTTTTTATCCCTAACGCCAAAAACCTTAAAACTTACCATAGCCCCATAACCTAATACCCGGGTATTACCTTCAGGAAGCCCGAACACCCCAAATATTTTTTTTTCATTTTACATTTTTTTTAGTGAAATCAGCTCCAAAAGCTTGGAAAAGAGTCCCTACAAAGGTCATACTAAGTATTACCTTCAGGAAGCCCGAACACCCCAAATATTTTTTTTTCATTTTACATTTTTTTTAGTGTAATCAGCTCCAAAAGATTGGAAAAGAGTTCTTACAAAGGTTTTGGACAGTGATTTTAACCTTAACACCAAAAACCTTAAACCTTACCATAGCCCCATAATTCAATACCCGGGTATTACCTTAAGGAAGCCCGAACACCCCAAATATATATATATATGTTTTTTCATCTTTTTTTTGGTCTAACGAACTCCGAAATGTTGGAAAAGAGTTCCTACAAAGGTTTTGGACAGTGATTTTAACCCTAATGCCAAAAACCCTAAAACTTTCAAAAGCCCCATAACCTAATACCCGGGTATTACCTTCAGGAAGCCCGAAAACCACAAATATTTTTTTTTCATTTTTCATTTTTGTTTGGTCTAACTAACTCCAAAAGGTTGGAAAAGAGTTCCTACAAAGGTTTTGGACAGTGATTTTAACCCTAACGCCAAAAACCTTAACCCTTACCATAGCCCCATAATCTAATACCGGTGTATTACCTTCAGGAAGCCCGAACACCCCAAATTATTTTTTTTTCATTTTACATTTTTATTTTGGTGTAACTGACTCCAAAAGGTTGGAAAAGAGTTCCTACAAAGGTTTTGGACAGTGATTTTAACCCTCACGCCAAAAACCTTAAACCTTACCTTAGCCCCAAAACCTAATACCCGGGTATTACCTTCAGGATGCCCGAACACCCCAAATATATATTTTTTAATTTTTCATGTTTTTTTGGTCTAACTAACTCCAAAAGCTTGGAAAAGAGTTCCTACAAAGGTTTTGGACAGTGATTTTAACCCTAACGCCAAAAACCTTAAAACTTACCATAGCCCCATAACCTAATACCGGTATTACCTTCAGGAAGCCCGAACACCCCAAATATTTTTTTTTCATTTTACATTTTTTTTAGTGTAACCAGCTCCAAAAGCTTGGAAAAGAGTTCCTACAAAGGTTTTGGACAGTGATTTTAACCTTAACACCAAAAACCTTAAACCTTACCATAGCCCCATAATTCAATACCCGGGTATTACCTTAAGAAAGCCCGAACACCCCAAATATATATATATATTTTTTCATCTTTTTTTTGGTCTAACGAACTCCGAAATGTTGGAAAAGAGTTCCTACAAAGGTTTTGGACAGTGATTTTAACCCTAATGCCAAAAACCCTAAAACTTTCAAAAGCCCCATAACCTAATACCCCGGGTATTACCTTCAGGAAGCCCGAACACCCCAAATATATATTTTTTTATTTTTCATGTTTTTTTGGTCTAACTAACTCCAAAAGCTTGGAAAAGAGTTCCCACAAAGGTTTTGGACAGTGATTTTAACCCTAACGCCAAAAAACTGAACGCTTACCATAGCCCCATAACCTAATACCTGGGTATTACCTTCAGGAAGCCCAAAAACAACAAATATTTTTTTTTCATTTTTCATTTTTGTTTGGTCTAACTAACTCCAAAAGGTTGGAAAAGAGTTCCTACAAAGGTTTTGGACAGTGATTTTAACCCTAACGCCAAAAACCTTAACCCTTACCATAGCCCCATAATCTAATACCGGGGTATTACCTTCAGGAAGCCCGAACACCCCAAATTATTTTTTTTTTCATTTTACATTTTTTTTTTGGTGTAACTGACTCCAAAAGGTTGGAAAAGAGTTCCTACAAAGGTTTTGGACAGTGATTTTAACCCTCACGCCAAAAACCTTAAACCTTACCTTAGCCACAAAACCTAATACCCTGCTATTACCTTCAGGATGCCCGAACACCCCAAATATATATTTTTTTATTTTTCATGTTTTTTTGGTCTAACTAACTCCAAAAGCCTGGAAAAGAGTTCCTACAAAGGTTTTGGACATTGATTTTAACCCTAACGCCAAAAACCTTAAACCTTACCTTAGCCCCATAACCTAATACCTGGGTATTACCTTCAGGAAGCCCGAACACCCCAAATATTTTTTTTTTCATTTTTCTTTTTTTTTTTTTGGTCTAACTAACTCCAAAAGGTTGGAAAAGAGTTCCCACAAAGGTTTTAGACAGTGATTTTAACCCTAACGCCAAAAAACTGAACCCTTACCATAGCCCCATTACCTAATACCTGGGTATTACCTTCAGGAAGCCCAAACACCCCAAATATTTTTTTTTCATTTTTCACTTTTTTTGTCGAACTAACTCCAAAAGGTTGGAAAACAGTTCCTACAAAGGTTTTGGCAAGTGATTTTAACCCTAATGCCAAAAACCTTAAAACTTACCATAGCCCCATAACCTAATACCCGGGTATTACCTTCAGGAAGCCCGAACACCCCAAATATTATTTTTTCATTTTACTTTTTTTTTGGTGTAAAAACTCCAAAAGGTCTGAAACATGTTCCTAAAAAGGTTTTGGACAGTGATTTTGACCCTAATGCCAAAAACCTCAAACCTTACCCTAGCCCCAAAACCTAATACCCGGGTATTACCTTCAGGAAGCCCGAAAACCCCAAATAATATTTTTTTCTTTTTTCTTTTTTTTTTGGTCTACCTAACTCCAAAAGGTTGGAAAAGAGTTCCTAAAAAGCTTTTTGGACAGTGATTTTAACCCTAGCGCCAAAAACCTAAAATTTTACCGTAGCCCCATAACCTAATACGGGTATTACCTTCAGGAAGCCCGAACACCCCAAATATATATTTTTTATTTTTTATCTTTTTTTTGTTCTGACTAACTCCAAAAGGTTGGAAAAGAGTTCCTACAAAGGTTATGGAAAGTGATTTTAACCCTAACGCAAAAAACCTTAAACCTTTCCAAAGCCCCATAACCTAATACCCGGGTATTACCTTCAGGAAGCCCGAACACCCCAAATATTTTTTTTTTCATTTTTTTTGGTCTACCTAACTCCAAAAGGTTGGAAAAGAGTTCCTACAAAGGTTTTGGACAGAGATTTTAACCCTAACGCCAAAAACCTTAAACCTTTCCCTAGCCCCAAAACCGAATACCCATGTATTACCTTCAGGAAGCCCGAACACCCCAAATATTTTTTTTCATTTTACATTTTTTTTTTTGGTTTAACCAACTGCAAAAGGTCTGAAACATGTTCCTAAAAAGGTTTTGGACAGTGATTTTAACCCTAACGCCAAAAACCTTAAATATTTCCTAAGCCCCATAACCTAATACCCGGGTATTACCTTCAGGAAGCCCGAACACCCCAAATATTTTTTTTTACATTTTTCATTTATTTTTGGTCTAATGAACTCCATAAGGTTGGAAAAGAGTTCCTACAAAGGTTTTGGACAGTTATTTTCACCCTTACGTCAAAAACCTTAAACCTTACCATAGCCCCATAACCTAATACCTTCAGGAAGCCCGAACACCCCAAATATTTTTTTCTCATTTTACATTTTTTTTTGGTGTAACCAACTCCAAAAGGTCTGAAACATGTTCCTAAAAAGGTTTTGGACAGTTAGTTTAACCCTATCGCCAAAAACCTTAAACCTTACCATAGCCCCTTGACCTAATATTAGGGTATTACCTCCAGGAAGCCTGAAAACCCCAAATAATTTTTTTTTTATTTTTCTTTTTTTTTGGTCTAACTGACTCCAAAAGTTTGGAAAAGAGTTCCTACAAAGGTTTTGGACAGTGATTTTAACCCTAATGCCAAAAACCCTAAAACTTTCCAAAGCCCCATAACCTAATACCCGGGTATTACCTTCAGGAAGCCCGAAAACCAAAAATATTTTTTTCTAATTTTTCTTTTTTTTTTTGTCTAACTACCTCCAAAAGCTTGGAAAAGAGTTCCTCCAAAGGTTTTGGACATTGATATTAACCCTAACGCCAAAAACCTAAAACCTAACCCTAGCCCCATAACCTAATACCTGGGTATTACCTTCAGGAAGCCCGAAAACCCCAAATATTTTCTTTTCATTTTTCATTCTTTTTTGGTCTAACTCCAAAAGGTTGGAAAAGAGTTCCTACAAAGGTTTTGGACAGTGATTTTAACCCTAACACCAAAAACCTTTAACCTTTTCCTAGCCCTGTAACATAATATATACATAATATTGCTCTACAAACACATAGTCTAAAAGATAGACAGCATAGCATACCAACTGAGCTGAGTCATTAAACTTTCTACCAACACATAATTTTTACACACAGATTGAGCTCGGAGACTCGACTGGAACATGTGACAGGTCGACATGCGCCGGCCAGTGCAAGCCCTTGATCAGCCTACCCCAAACCGCCAAGTCAACTGACAAAAGCGGGGGCTATCACTCTATCTCTTTCCCACACCTAACCAGCCACTTGCGTTCGGACAGACTTGTCACAATATCATTCAGAGAAAAGTCTGAGCCCATGCTCCTTCTGTGCACACCCCCCCCCCCCCCCCCTTTATAGAATCTAAGATCTTCCAGTTTCAAGGGTGAAAGTGAATTCCAAAGAATTCTCCACCTTGGAACCTATACTAACACTACATTCCTCAGATAACTAAACAAAAAACATCTAAACCCTAACAGCAATGACGAAAAGATAAATACTTTTCAAGACAAATTAACTACTGACCCCACCCTGCCTCCCTCCTTTTCTCCCTCTCTCCTGATCTGTACCTCTCTCTCCTATCAGAGGATGAAAACCAGCAGGTGAGGAGAGTCTCAATGGCGAGTCACGGTGGCAAGATCTATTCTCTTTCTATCACTCGAATCCCTGCATGAGCAGAATGGTGCCAGACGGACCACCTGCTCCCACCACAATCCTCTGTGACTTTTTGACTCTATCCACTTTTAGAACTTAAAATAGTAATCAATAATCAACTGACCAACTCAGCTCAAACCAAACCCAAAACTCTGCCTAGAGAACTCTCACTTCCACGTTTACATATCTCTTTGTATCTTGTGAGGACCGTGAGGAGAGCAGAGCCTAGACCTAGTCGGGTCGGGGGACTATGTCCCTTGCTCACTCTCCTCACATGGATGGTGAGAGCAGGGGAGCTATGGGATGTTTCATCCGCCACCAAATCCCCCTCACCAATCTTTATTTTCCACCATCTCCACCTCTCCCTTAAACCCCCCTCTCCCTCTTCCCTTCTCTCTCTCTCTCTCTCTCTCTCTCACACACACACACACACACACACACACACACCCCTCTCTCTCTCTCCCTCATCTCTCTCCCTCATCTCTCCCCCTCTCTCTAACACACCCCCTCTTTCTTATTCCCTCCCCTGCCCCTTTATTTTCACCTTCACAGAGGACAAATAGGTGATCTTCAGCCTAGGCCTACCCAGGCCGGGGGGTAACCCCTGTTGGGTCACCTATATGGAGGATTAAGAGAGACCTGAAGGGGAACCGCCGTGCCCCCTAAATCCTCCCCCTCTAACATCTTTTTTAACACTCTAAAATTAGCCAGCTAACCCCACTACAAACAACTTCATCAAAAATTTAAATAATAAATACTTATTAATAACTGACCATCAGTGACACCAGACTAAGCTTGCAAAAAAGAACACACATACACGTACAGATTTTCCCTTAGGACATTGATCAAATTTACATTTCTGTCTGTCTTTTAGGGAACTGTTCTCTGTTTTTAAGCTCACTTCTGATTTTTAGGGCCCGAGCCAGCTGCAGAGCAGCCGGGCGTAGAGCCCTATTATTCCTGTATAGGTTTTTCTTTCTTCTTTAGGGCCCGAGCGTAGCTGCTAAGCAGCTGCGAGAGCCCTCTTGTTCCTGCATGTTTCCTTCTTTAGGGCCCGAGCGTAGCTGCTAAGCAGCTGCGAGAGCCCTATTATTCCCCAAGTGGTTTTTCTTTGTTTCTTTCTTTCTTTCTTTCTTCTTTTTCCTCCCCTTTGAACTGGAAAATGGCCCACTTCCCACTGGCGAAAACTCAGGAAATTTGGCAGGATGACCGGGCCTGGTGAAAAATTTGATATTCCGAAGTCGCCCAATCAAGAAAATGCAAAATGGCTCCATAGCGCCCCCTAAGGTGAAAATTCACACTATTGACTGTCACGCCTTTACGCTTTGTCAAAATGACACAAAAATTGACACACATATGTATCTCAATAAGATCTACAAAAAAGTCAGTGCGGGCGTATCTGTCAAATGTACGGTTAAAGGGTTATTCCGCATTTTTTGCCGATCCACACACATTGGAGTTTCGCTAACTCCTCCGAAGGCTTTCTTTCCACCGGCACCACATTTGCTCAGGCCAATCTACACCCCATGGCCATTAAAAGTTATTCAAATCATGACGCTGCACCCCACGGTTTAGGTTCTAGGGGGCGCCAAAGATAACCCTAAAATCCACATATTTAAAAGTCTTATAACTTTTTACTTTTGCCCTCACTGGCCTCCAAGTTTTCTAGGATGATGCAATGTCCAGCCATCAACACATTTGTGAAGGAATTTTTACTCCCCAAAAGAGCGCCCCCCCATGGCCGGAGAAAAAAGTCCATTTTTTCTTGTCCCCTAAGGTGAAAATACACATTGTTGAGTGTGACACCTGTACGCTTTGTCATATTGACACAAAATTTGACACACACATGTATCTCAATAAGATGTACGAAAAAGTCAACGCGCGCGTATCTGTCAAATGTACGGTTAAAGGGCTATTCCGCATTTTTTGCTGATCCGCACACATTGGAATTTCGCTAACTCCTCCTAAGGCTGGCGTTCCACCGGCACCACATTTGCTCAGGCCAATCTACACCCCATGGCCATTAAAAGTTATTCAAATCATGACGCTGCACCCCACGGTTTAGGTTCTAGGGGGCGCCAAAGATAACCCTAAAATCCACATATTTCAAAGTCTTATAACTTTTTATTTTTGTCCTCACTGGCCTCCAAGTTTTCTAGGATGATGCAATGTCCAGCCATCAACACATTTGTGAAGGAATTTTTACTCCCCAAAAGAGCGCCCCCCCATGGCAGGAAAAAAAAATTCAATTTTTTCTTGTCCCGTAAGGTGAAAATTCACATTGTTGAGTGTGACACCTGTACGCTTTGTCATATTGACACAAAATTTGACAATCACGTGTATCTCAATAAGATCTACGAAAAAGTCAATGGGTGCGTATCTGTCAAATGTACAGTTAGAGGGCTATTTTGCATTTTTTGCCGATTCGCACACATTGGAATGTGGCTAACTCCTCCTAAGGCTTTCGTCCCACTGAAACCAAATTTGCTCAGGCCAATCTACACCCCATGGCCATTCAAAGTTGTAAAAATCATGACGCTGCACCCCACGGTTTACGTTCTAGGGGGCGCCAAAGATGACCAAAAAATCCACATTCTTAAAAGAATCCACATTCTCCTCCCCCCCATGGCAGGAGAAAAAGTCAAGTTTTTCCTGCACATCGCTCAATGGCTCAATCGCATCGCTCTCCAGGCAACACCGTAACGAGGAGCAACCTGCCATTTGGATATATCACAGCTGTGTTTGTGCCCTCACTCATGGTCCAGACTTTTTTCAAATAGGACATGAAGTTTGTCTGCAGCGAGTGTTTTGGTAGAAACTGCGCCTCCCATTCATTATAATGGGAAATGACCACAGACAAGTGCGCACACCATCTTTGGACCTTGAGTGTGACGCGATCGGGAGGGGGAGGCGGTCACGCTGGGGGCGGCACGACGCGGCTCGGGCCCGACAGTGCCCCACCGGGGCCCTAGTTTGTTATTATTATTATTTTTCCTCCCCTTTGAACTGGAAAATGGCCCACTTCCCACTGGCGAAAACTCATGAAATTTGGCAGGACGACCGGGCCTGGTGAAAAATTCGATATTCTGAAGTCGCCCAAACAATAAAATGCAAAATGGCTCCATAGCGCCCCCTAAGGTGAAAATTCACATGACGGCTGTACGCTTTGTCATATTGACACAAAAATTGACACACACATGTATCTCAATAAGATCTACAAAAAAGTCAGTGCGGGCGTATCTGTCAAATGTACGGTTAAAGGGTTATTTCGCATTTTTTGCCGATCCGCACACATTGGAATTTCGCTAACTCCTCCGAAGGCTTTCGTTCCACCGGCACCACATTTGCTCAGGCATATCTACACCCCATGGCCATTAAAATTTATTCAAATCATGACGCTGCACCCCACGGTTTAGGTTCTAGGGGGCGCCAAAGATAACCCTAAGATCCACATATTTAAAAGTCTTATAACTTTTTATTTTTGCCCTCACTGGCCTCCAAGTTTTCTAGGATGATGCAATGTCCAGCCATCAACACATTTGTGAAGGAATTTTTACTCCCCAAAAGAGCGCCCCCCCATGGCAGGAGAAAAAAGTCCATTTTTTCTAGTCCCCTAAGGTGAAAATACACATTGTTGAGTTTAACACCTGTACGCTTTGGCAAAATGACACAAAAATTGACACACACATGTATCTCAATAAGATCTACAAAAAAGTCAGTGCGCGCGTATCTGTCAAATGTACGGTTAAAGGGTTATTTCGCATTTTTTGCCGATCCGCACACATTGGAATTTCGCTAACTCCTCCGAAGGCTTTCGTTCCACCGGCACCACATTTGCTCAGGCCAATCTACACCCCATGGCCATTAAAAGTTATTCAAATCATGACGCTGCACCCCACGGTTTAGGTTCTAGGGGGTGCCAAAGATAACCCAAAAATCCACATTCTTAAAAGTCTTATAACTTTTTATTTTTGTCCTCACTGGCCTCCAAGTTCTCTAGGATGATGCAATGTCCAGCAATTAACACATTTGTGAAGGAATTTTTACTCGCCAAAAGAGCGCCCCCCCATGGCAGGAGAAAAAAGTCAATTTTTTTCTTGTCCCCTAACGCGAAAATACACATTGTTGAGTGTCACGCCTGTACGCTTTGTCATATTGACACAAAATTTGACAATCACGTGTATCTCAATAAGATCTACGAAAAAGTCAATGTGCACGTATCTGTAAAATGTACGGTTAAAGGGCTATTTCGCATTTTTTGCCGATTCGCACACATTGGAATGTGGCTAACTCCTCCTAAGGCTTTCGTTCCACTGACACCAAATTTGCTCAGGCCAATCTACACCCCATGGCCATTCAAAGTTGTAAAAATCATGACGCTGCACCCCACGGTTTACGTTCTAGGGGGCGCCAAAGAGGACCCAAATATCCACATTTTTAAAAGTCTTATAACTTTATTTTTGTCCTCACTGGCCTCCAAGTTTTCTAGGATGATGCAATGTTCAGTCATCAACACATTTGTGAAGGAATTTTTTCTCCCCAAAAGAGCGCCCTCCCATGGCAGGAGAAAAAGTCAAGTTTTTCCTGCCCATCGCTCAATGGCTCAAACGCATCGCTCTCTCGGCAAAACCGAAAGGAGGAGCACCTTGCCATTTGGATATATACTAGCTGTGTTTGTGCCCTCACTCATGGTCCAGACTTTTTTCAAAAAGGACATGGAGTTTGTCTGCAGCGAGCGTTTTGGTAGAAACTGCGCCTCCCATTCATTATAATGGTAAATGACCACAGACAAGTGCGCACACCATCTTTGGACCTTGAGTGTGATGCGATCGGGAGGGGTAGGCGGTCGCGCTGGGGGCGGCGCGACACGGCTCGGGCCCGCCAGTGCCCCAACGGGGCCCTAGTTATTATTTTTCCTCCGCTTTAAACTGGAAAATGGCCCACTTCCCACTGGCGAAAACTCAGGAAATTTGGCAGGACGACCGGGCCTGGTGAAAAATTCGATATTCTGAAGTCGCCCAAACAATAAAATGCAAAATGGCTCCATAGCGCCCCCTAAGGTGAAAATTCACACTATTGACTGTCACGCCTGTACGCTTTGTCATATTGACACAAAAATTGACACACACATGTATCTCAATAAGATCTACAAAAAAGTCAGTGCGGGCGTATCTGTCAAATGTACGGTTAAAGGGTTATTTTGCATTTTTTGCAGATCCGCACACATTGGAATTTCGCTAACTCCTCCGAAGGCTTTCGTTCCACCGGCACCACATTTGCTCAGGCCAATCTACACTCCATGGCCATTCAAAGTTGTACAAATCATAATGCTGCACCCCATGGTTTAGGTTCTAGGGGGCGCCAAAAATAACCCAAAAATCCACATTCTTAAAAGTTTTATAATTTTTTTTTTTTGTCCTCACTGGCCTCCAAGTTTTCTAGGATGATGCAATGTCCAGCCATCAACACATTTGTGAAGGAATTTTTACTCCCCAAAAGAGCGCCCCCCCATGGCAGGACAAAAAAGTCCATTTTTTCTTGTCCCCTAAGGTGAAAATACACATTGTTGAGTGTCACGCCTGTACGCTTTGTCGTATTGACAAAACATTTGACACACACGTGTATCTCAATAAGATCTACGAAAAAGTCAATGGGCGCGTATCTGTAAAATGTACGGCTAAAGGGCTATTTTGCATTTTTTGCCGATTCGCACACATTGGAATGTGGCTAACTCCTCCTAAGGCTTTCGTCCCACTGACACCAAATTTGCTCAGGCCAATCTACACCCCATGGCCATTCAAAGTTGTAAAAATCATGCCGCTGCACCCCATGGTTTACGTTCTAGGGGGCGCCAAAGATGACCCAAATATCCACATTCTTAAAAGTCGTTTTGGCCACTGCAGGAGTACAGAGTACTGCAGGATACACACACACAGACACACACACACACAGACACACACACACACACACACACACACACACACACACACACACACACACACTCAGAGTCTGTTTTTTAGCACCTGCAAAAACATGCTATTTACATATTTGACAACAATGCAGAGGCTTCCTTTTGCCCCTGAAAAAAATCAAATTTCTAACACAACTTGACTGCTCATTTCTCCAAAAGACAACCATGAAGCTCCATCCAAACCTGAAGCAGGCAGTTGGTGCATGTGTACAGTAACCTGAGGGGAGTGAGGTGACTGCTTCTGAGGAGAACATGAGCAGTGAAGATTCACCTTGGAGCGAGAACAGGGACGTGCACATGATTATACGGGGGCAGGGGCTCAAGTTTTTTCCAGTCGTTTATACAATATGGAAATTAATGTGAAATTAAAAAACAAAGTATTAATAGAAAGGTAATGACTGTCCTGTGTAGGTGACAGTGATATCCAATAGGCTAGGCACTCACAAGGCTGGCTGTGGCAAGTGTAAGTGAAAGCAACACGCACTGGCAGGAAGAACAGCAAACGCCGATGAAGGAAAAGGGTCTTTGCAGTGATGGGCGTTACCAGAGAGGACGATGGCCAGAGGACGCGAATGGGACGGGGAGGCAGCGCGTTGGGGGGGGGGGGGGCGACACAGCTCGGGCCCGCCAGTGCCCCAACGGGGCCCTAGTTTCTTTTTCCTCCCCTTTGAACTGGAAAATGGCCCACTTCCCACTGGCGAAAACTCATGAAATTTGGCAGGACGACCGGGCCTGGTGAAAAATTTGATATTCTGAAGTCGCCAAAACAATAAAATGCAAAATGGCTCCATAGCGCCCCCTAAGGTGGAAATTCACACTATTGACTGTCACGCCTGTACGCTTTGTCATATTGACACAAAAATTGACACACATATGTATCTCAATAAGATCTACAAAAAAGTCAGTGCGGCCGTATCTGTCAAAATTACGGTTAAAGGGTTATTCCGCATTTTTTGCCGATCCGCACACATTGGAATTTCGCTAACTCCTCCGAAGGCTTTCGTTCCACCGGCACCACATTTGCTCAGGCCAATCTACACCCCGTGGCCATTAAAAGTTATCAAAATCATGACGCTGCACCCCAAGGTTTAGGTTCTAGGGGGCGCCAAAGATAACACTAAAATCCACATATTTAAAAGTCTTATAACTTTTTATTTTTGTCCTCACTGGCCTCCAAGTTTTCTAGGATGGTGCAATGTCCAGCCATCAACACATTTGTGAAGGAATTTTTACTTCCCAAAAGAGCGCCCCCCCATGGCAGGAGAAAAAAGTCCATTTTTTCTTGTCCCCTAAGGTGAAAATACACATTGTTGAGTGTCACGCCTATACACTTTGTCAAAATGACACAAAAATTGACACACACATGTAACTCAATAAGATCTACGAAAAAGTCAATGCGCGCGTATCTGTCAAATGTGCGGTTAAAGGGTTATTCCGCATTTTTTGCCGATCCGCACACATTGGAATGTGGCTAACTCCTCCTAAGGCTTTCGTTCCACCGGCACCACATTTGCTCAGGCCAATCTACACCCCATGGCCATTAAAAGTTATCAAAATCATGACGCTGCACCCCACGGTTTAGGTTCTAGGGGGCGCCAAAGATAACCCTAAAATCCACATATTTAAAAGTCTTATAACTTTTTATTTTTGTCCTCACTGGCCTCCAAGTTTTCTAGGATGATGCAATGTCCAGCCATCAACACATTTGTGAAGGAATTTTTATTTCCCAAAAGAGCGCCCCCCCATGGCAGGAGAAAAAAGTCCATTTTTCCTTGTCCCTTAAGGTGAAAATACATATTGTTGAGATTCACGCCTATACGCTTTGTCATATTGACACAAAATTTGACAATCACGTGCCTTGCCTGGTATCATTTTTTTCAGCACAACCTCACCTGTGCGAATTTACAGTTATTTTATCATGTTGACATACTGAATTTACACAATGGACCCAAATTCACACACAAAACATAAAATCCGAGTGGAAAAAAGTAACATTTTTACTGTGAAAACCACAAATATGTGTGATGAACTGTTTTTAAAACTTAAACTTCAAATAAAAATTGTAAACTTCAAAACATATGCAAATTTTTAACAAAGAACATAGTGATTTACCTCTATTTACATCAAAATGCAGGCAATGGCCCAGGCGTTCTTTGTAAAATTATTTACAAAACACTGTATAGTCTCACAAATGTCACTTTTTATTTATGCCACTACAAAAAAACATGATGTAAATGATGCATGATGTAAAACATGATGTAAAAAACTTGTGTAGATCCTCCTCTATGTCAGTCCATGTGTAATTTTTCCATAATTCTTTGTTTTTTGCAGCATTTTTGTTAGTGTAACTGCAGATTGTGCTGACAGTGTCTATGGCACAAAAAAAAAAAAATTAAAATGCCTCAACATGAACCCCTGGTGGTCTCTGAGGGTGAAACCTGCTAACTGCTGCAGCTCTGTCAGCTTCAGTCTCCCATGCAGAGCTCTGAGCGCATGTGTGGCTCTGCACCCTTAGCAGCGTTGCTAACTCCTCAGTAAGGAAAGCCTGCTTCATGTCAGAGTCTCTAAACTCCAGAAGAAGTCGATAAAAGTCCCTTTCTTTCTAAAAAAAAGTCGTTAGGGGGTCTGAAAAGTCATTGAATCTAACAACAAAGTCGCTAGGTTTGCAACTACGTGTCCCAGACTGCATCCCTGCTGAGAGTCCCTCCCTCCCTTCTCATGTTGCAGGAAGAACGTAAGCGCCCGCCCCTTGTCAATCAGTCACCATATAATTTTGGATTGGTTGTTGTGGTGAAGTTTTCCACCAATAGGAGAGATGTTGTGGTGTGTTTTTTTTTTCTTTTGGCAAGCCTTTTCCGCCTGTAAGACCTGTCGCTAATGTCTGCATGCTATGTTTTCCTGTCTCATACAGCGCGATCGAGCGCCGAACGTGATCAAAATAAGCAGAAAAAAAGTATCGCGGACATAATTTATCATAACTCTGGTTTTATTTGGCCTATCAACACAATTTAAAAACTGGTATATAGGTTGAGGTCCTCACTTTTGAGATAAGTTGAAACGGAGAGTCAACGAGGCTCCGTCTTGCAGCTACATCCGATTAAATATGTCATGTGACTTGAACGCACACACAGACACACACACACGCACACACACACACACACACACACACACACACACACACACACACACACACACACACACACTCAGAGTCTGGCTTTTAGCACCTGCAAAAACATGCTATTTACATATTTGACAAGAATGCAGAGGCTCCTTTTGCCCCTGAAAAAAATCAAATTTCAAACACAACTTGACTGGTCATTTCTCCAAAAAAAACCATGAAGCTCCATCCAAACCTGAAGCAGGCAGTTGGTGCATGTGTACAGTAACCTGAGGGGAGTGAGGTGAGTGCTTCTGAGGAGAACATGAGCAGTGAAGATTCACCTTGGAGCTAGAACAGAGACATGCACATGATTATACAGGGGCAGGGGCTCAAGTTTTTTCCAGTCGTTTATACAATATGGAAATTAATGTGAAATTAAAACACAAAGTATTAATAGAAAGGTAATGACTGTCCTGTGTAGGTGACAGTGATATCGAATAGGCTAGGCACTCACGAGGCTGGCTGTGGCAAGTGTAAGTGAAAGCAACACGCACTGGCAGGAAGAACAGCAAACGCCGATGAAGGAAAAGGGTCTTTGCAGTGATGGGCGTTACCAGAGAGGGCGATGGCCAGAGGACACAAATGGGACGGGGAGGCAGCACGTTGGGGGGGGGACGCGACACGGCTCGGGCCCGCCAGTGCCCCAACGGGGTCCTAGTTAGGGCCCGAGCCAGCTGCAGAGCAGCCGGGCGTAGGCCCTATTATTCCCCAAGTGGTTTTTCTTTGTTTCTTTCTTTCTTTCTTTCTTTCTTTCTTCTTTTTCCTCCCCTTTGAACTGGAAAATGGCCCACTTCCCACTGGCGAAAACTCATGAAATTTGGCAGGACGACCGGGCCTGGTGAAAAATTCGATATTCTGAAGTCACCCAAACAATAAAATGCAAAATGGCTCCATAGCGCCCCCTAAGGTGGAAATTCACACTATTGACTGTCACGCCTGTACGCTTTGTCATATTGACACAAAAATTGACACACATATGTATCTCAATAAGATCTACAAAAAAGTCAGTGCGGCCGTATCTGTCAAAATTACGGTTAAAGGGTTATTTCGCATTTTTTGCCGATCCGCACACATTGGAATTTCGCTAACTCCTCCGAAGGCTTTCGTTCCATCGGCACCACATTTGCTCAGGCCAATCTACACCCCGTGGCCATTAAAAGTTATCAAAATCATGACTCTGCACCCCAAGGTTTAGGTTCTAGGGGGCGCCAAAGATAACACTAAAATCCACATATTTAAAAGTCTTATAACTTTTTATTTTTGTCCTCACTGGCCTCCAAGTTTTCTAGGATGATGCAATGTCCAGCCATCAACACATTTGTGAAGGAATTTTTACTCCCCAAAAGAGCGCCCCCCCATGGCAGGAGAAAAAAGTCCATTTTTTCTTGTCCCCTAAGGTGAAAATACACATTGTTGAGTGTCACGCCTATACGCTTTGTCAAAATGACACAAAAATTGACACACACATGTAACTCAATAAGATCTACAAAAAAGTCAATGCGCACGTATCTGTCAAATGTACAGTTAAAGGGTTATTCCGCATTTTTTGCCGATACGCACACATTGGAATTTCGCTAACTCCTCCGAAGGCTTTCGTTCCACCGGCACCACATTTGCTCAGGCCAATCTACACCCCATGGCCATTAAAAGTTATTCAAATCATGATGCTGCACCCCATGGTTTAGGTTCTAGGGGGCGCCAAAAATAACCCAAAAATCCACATTCTTAAATGTTTTATAACTTTTTATTTTTGTCCTCACTGGCCTCCAAGTTTTCTAGGATGATGCAATGTCCAGCCATCAACACATTTGTGAAGGAATTTTTACTCCCCAAAAGAGCGCCCCCCCATGGTAGGCGAAAAAAGTCAATTTTTTCTTGTCCCCTTATATAAAAATACACATTGTTGAGTGTCACGCCTGAACGCTTTGTCATATTGACACAAAAATTGACAATCATGTGTATCTCAATTAGATCTACGAAAAAGTCAAAGAGCGCGTATCTGTATAATGTACGGTTAAAGGGCTATTTTGCATTTTTTGCCGATTCGCACACATTGGAATGTGGCTATCTCCTCCTAAGGCTTTCGTCCCACCGATACGAAATTTGCTCAAGGCAATCTACACCCCATGCCCATTCAAAGTTGTAAAAATCATGACGCTGCACCCCACGGTTTACGTTCTAGGGGGCGCCAAAAATGACCCAAAAATCCACATTCTTAAAAGTCATTTTGGCCACTGCAGGAGTACAGAGTACTGCAGTTCTAGGGGGCGCCAAAGATGACCCAAAAATCCACATTCTTAAAAGTCTTTTTGGCCACTGCAGGAGTACAGAGTACTGCAGGATACACACACATATACACACACGCCAACATACACACACACACACACACACACACACACACACACACACACACACACACACACACAGACACACACACACACTCAGAGTCTGTTTTTTAGCACCTGCAAAAACATGCTGTTTACATATTTGACAAGAATGCAGAGGCTTCCTTTTGCCCCTGAAAAAAATCTAATTTCAAACACAACTTGACTGTTCATTTCTCCAAAAGACAACCATGAAGCTCCATTTCAAACCTGAAGCAGATAGTTGGTGCATGTGTACAGTAACCTGAGGGGAGTGAGGTGACTATTTCTGAGGAGAACATGAGCAGTGAAGATTCACCTTGGAGCTAGAACAGGGACGTGCACATGATTATACAGGGGCAGGGGCTCAAGTTTTTTCCAGTCATTTATACAATATGGAAATTAATGTGAAATTAAACCACAAATATGTGTGATGAACTGTTTTTAAAACTTAAACTTCAAATAAAAATTGTAAACTTCAAAACATATGCAAATTTTTAACAAAGAACATAGTAATTTACCTCTATTTACATCAAAATGCAGGCAACGGCCCAGGCGTTCTTTGTAAAATTATTTACAAAACACTGTATAGTCTCACAAATGTCACTTTTTATTTATGCCACTACAAAAAAACATGATGTAAATGATGCATGATGTAAAACATGATGTAAAAAACTTGTGTAGATCCTCCTCTATGTCAGTCCATGTGTAATTTTTCCATAATTCTTTGTTTTTTGCAGCATTTTTGTTAGTGTAACTGCAGATTGTGCTGACAGTGTCTATGGCACAAAAAAAAAAAAATTAAAATGCCTCAACATGAACCCCTGGTGGTCTCTGAGGGTGAAACCTGCTAACTGCTGCAGCTCTGTCAGCTTCAGTCTCCCATGCAGAGCTCTGAGCGCATGTGTGGCTCTGCACCCTTAGCCGCGTTGCTAACTCCTCAGTAAGGAAAGCCTGCTTCATGTCAGAGTCTCTAAACTCCAGAAGAAGTCGATAAAAGTCCCTTTCTTTCTAAAAAAAAGTCGTTAGGGTGTCTGAAAAGTCATTGAATCTAACAACAAAGTCGCTAGGTTTGCAACTACGTGTCCCAGACTGCATCCCTGCTGAGAGTCCCTCCCTCCCTTCTCATGTTGCAGGAAGAACGTAAGCGCCCGCCCCTTGTCAATCAGTCACCATATAATTTTGGATTGGTTGTTGTGGTGAAGTTTTCCACCAATAGGAGAGATGTTGTGGTGTGTTTTTTTTTTCTTTTGGCAAGCCTTTTCCGCCTGTAAGACCTGTCACTAATGTCTGCATGCTATGTTTTCCTGTCTCATACAGCGCGATCGAGCGCCGAACGTGATCAAAATAAGCAGAAAAAAAGTATCGCGGACATAATTTATCATAACTCTGGTTTTATTTGGCCTATCAACACAATTTAAAAACTGGTATATAGGTTGAGGTCCTCACTTTTGAGATAAGTTGAAACGGAGAGTCAACGAGGCTCCGTCTTGCAGCTACATCCGGTTAAATATGTCATGTGACTTGAACGCACACATAGACACACGCACACGCACACACACACACACACACACACACTCAGAGTCTGGTTTTAAGCACCTGTAAAAAACATGCTATTTACATATTTGACAAGAATGCAGAGGCTCCTTTTGCCCCTGAAAAAAATCAAATTTCAAACACAACTTGACTGGTCATTTCTCCAAAAGACAACCATGAAGCTCCATCCAAACCTGAAGCAGGCAGTTGGTGCATGTGTACAGTAACCTGAGGGGAGTGAGGTGAGTGCTTCTGAGGAGAACATGAGCAGTGAAGATTCACCTTGGAGCTAGAACAGAGACATGCACATGATTATACAGGGGCAGGGGCTCAAGTTTTTTCCAGTCGTTTATACAATATGGAAATTAATGTGAAATTAAAACACAAAGTATTAATAGAAAGGTAATGACTGTCCTGTGTAGGTGACAGTGATATCCAATAGGCTAGGCACTCACGAGGCTGGCTGTGGCAAGTGTAAGTGAAAGCAACACGCACTGGCAGGAAGAACAGCAAACGCCGATGAAGGAAAAGGGTCTTTGCAGTGATGGGCGTTAACAGAGAGGGCGATGGCCAGAGGACACAAATGGGACAGGGAGGCAGCACGTTGGGGGGGGGACGCGACACGGCTCGGGCCCGCCAGTGCCCCAACGGGGTCCTAGTTTGTATTTTTTGCTGATCCGCACACATTGGAATTTCGCTAACTCCTCCGAAGGCTTTTGTTCCACCGGCACCAAATTTGCTCAGGCCAATCTACACCCCATGGCCATTCAAAGTTGTACAAATCATGACGCTGCACCCCACGGTTTAGGTTCTAGGGGGCGCCAAAAATAACCCAAAAATCCACATTCTTAAAAGTCTTATAACTTTTTATTTTAGTCCTCACTGGCCTCCAAGTTTTCTAGGATGATGCAATGTCCAGCCATCAACATAATTTTGGAGGAATTTTTTCTCCCCAAAAGAGCGCCCCTCCATGGCAGGAGAAAAAAGTCAATTTTTTCTTGTCCCATGAGGTGAAAATACACATTGTTGAGTGTCATGCCTGTACGCTTTGTCATATTGACACAAAATTTGACAATCACGTGTATCTCTATAAGATCTACGAAAAACTCAATGCGCGCGTATCTGTCAAATGTACAATAAAAGGGCTTTTTCGCATTTTTTGCCGATCCGGACAAATTGGAATTTTGCTAACTCCTCCGAAGGCTTTCGTTCCACCGGCATTAAATTTGCTCAGGCCAATCTATACCCCATGGCCATTCAAAGTTGTACAAATCATGACGCTGCACCCCACGGTTTACATTCTAGGGGGTGCCAAAGATGACCCAAAAATCCACATTCTTCAAAGTCTTATAACTTTTTATTCTTGTCCTCACTGGCCTCCAAGTTTTCTAGGATGATGCAATGTCCAGCCATCAACACATGTGTGAAGGAATTTTTACTCCCTAAAAGAGCGCCCCCCCCCCCATGGCAGGAGAAAAAAGTCCATTTTTTCTTTACCCCTAAGGTAAAAATACACATTGTTGAGTGTCACGCCTGTACGCTTTGTCATATTGACACAAAATCTGACAATCATGTGTAGCTCAATAAGATCTACGAAAAAGTCAATGCGCACGTATCTGTAAAATGTACGGTTAAAGGGCTATTTCGCATTTTTTGCCGATTCGCACACATTGGAATGTGGCTAACTCCTCCTAAGGCTTTCGTCCCACCGACACCAAATTTGCTCAGGCCAATCTACACCCCATGGCCATTCAAAGTTGTACAAATCATGATGCTGCACCCCACGGTTTACGTTCTAGGGGGCGCCAAAGATGACCCAAATATCCACATGTTTAAAAGTCTTCTAACTTTTTATTTTTGTCCTCACTGGCCTCCAAGTTTTCTAGGATGATGCAATGTCCAGCCATCAACACATGTGTGAAGGAATTTTTACTCCCCAAAAGAGCGCCCCCCCATGGCAGGAGAAAAAAGTCCATTTTTTCTTGTCCACTAAGGTGAAAATACACATTGTTGAGTGTCACGCCTATACACTTTGTCATATTGACACAAAATTTGACACACACGTGTATCTCAATAAGATCTACGAAAAAGTCAATGCGCACGTATCTGTGAAATGTACGGTTAAAGGGCTATTTTGCATTTTTTGCCGATTCGCACACATTGGAATGTTGCTAACTCCTCCTAAGGCTTTCGTCCCACCGACACCAAATTTGCTCAGGCCAATCTACAACCCATGGCCATTCAAAGTTCAAAATCATGACGCTGCACCCCACGGTTTACGTTCTAGGGGGCGCCAAAGATGACCCAAATATACATTACAGCAGACAAAGTAGTCATGGCCACTGAGAGGCGCCAAAGGGATTTGTTTATTAAATCTGATGCTACAGAAAAAGCTAAAAGGCTCAAATTTTTGCTATATTAGTGACTTTATGTCTTGAATGGGCTCTTAAAGGGTTAAAAAAATATTTTCAATGAAACATTTGCTAGTTTTGAACAGGGCAGAAGTAAAATAAGAGATGTAAAAAAGAAAAATCTGGAAAAAATATGAATACAATTTGATTTTACAGCAGACAAAGTACTTTTGGCCACTGAGTGGCGCCAAAGGGAGTTGTCTATTAACAGCAGACAAGGTAGTTATGGCCACTGAGGGGCGCCAAAGGGAGCTTTCTATTAAATCTGATGCTACAGAAAAAGTTAAAAGGCATCAAAGTCAATCATATTACTTATCTTTCACATATTCAAGACTTTGATGCCCTGCAAGAGATAACCAGTTTTTATAATGTTTGATAAAAAAAAATTGGTCATTTTCCTTACCCCCCATGGCAGGAGAAAAAGTCAAGTTTTTCCTGCCCATCGCTCAATGGCTCAAACGTATTGCTCTCCCGCTAAAACCGAGAGGAGGAGCAACTTGCCATTTGGATATATCCTAGCTGTGTTTGTCCCCTCACTCATGGTCCAGACTTTTTTCAAATAGGACATGTAGTTTGTCTGCAGCGAGCGTTTTGATAGAAACTGCACCTTCCGTTCATTATAATGGTAAATGACCACAGACAGGTGCGCACACCATCTTTGGACCTTGAGTGTGATGCGATCGGGAGGGGGATGCGTTCGCGTTGGGGGCGGCGCAACAGGGCTCGGGCCCGCCAGTGCCCCAACGGGGCCCTAGTTAGGGCCCGAGCCCACTAGTGGGCGTAGGCCCTCTTGTCATTGATGGGGTTTTTCTTTCTTCATTCTTTAGGGCCCAAGCCAGCTGCAGAGCAGCCGGGCGTAGAGCCCTATTATTCCTGTATGGGTTCTTCTTTCTTTAGGGCCCGAGCGTAGCTCCTAAGCAGCTGCGAGAGCCCTATTATTCCTGATGGATTCTTCTTTGTTTCTTTCTTTCTTATTTTTCCTCCCCTTTGAAGGGAAAAATGGCCCACTTCCCACCGTCGAAAACTCATGAAATTTGGCAGGAAGACCGGGCCTGGTGAAAAATTTGATAATCTGAAGTCACCCAAACAATAAAATGCGAAATGGCTCCATAGCGCCCCCTAAGGTGAAAATTCACACTATAGAGTGTCACGTTTGTACGCTTTGTCATATTGACACAAAAATTGACACACACGTGTATCTCAATAAGATCTACAAAAAAGTCAGTGTGGGCGTACCTGTCAAATGTACGGTTAAAGGGCTATTTTGTATTTTTTGCTGATCCGCACACATTGGAATTTCGCTAACTCCTCCGAAGGCTTTTGTTCCACCGGCACCAAATTTGCTCAGGCCAATCTACACCCCATGGCCATTCAAAGTTGTACAAATCATGACGCTGCACCCCACGGTTTAGGTTCTAGGGGGCGCCAAAAATAACCCAAAAATCCACATTCTTAAAAGTCTTATAACTTTTTATTTTAGTCCTCACTGGCCTCCAAGTTTTCTAGGATGATGCAATGTCCAGCCATCAACATAATTTTGGAGGAATTTTTTCTCCCCAAAAGAGCGCCCCTCCATGGCAGGAGAAAAAAGTCAATTTTTTCTTGTCCCATGAGGTGAAAATACACATTGTTGAGTGTCATGCCTGTACGCTTTGTCATATTGACACAAAATTTGACAATCACGTGTATCTCTATAAGATCTACGAAAAACTCAATGCGCGCGTATCTGTCAAATGTACAATAAAAGGGCTTTTTCGCATTTTTTGCCGATCCGGACAAATTGGAATTTTGCTAACTCCTCCGAAGGCTTTCGTTCCACCGGCATCAAATTTGCTCAGGCCAATCTATACCCCATGGCCATTCAAAGTTGTACAAATCATGACGCTGCACCCCACGGTTTACATTCTAGGGGGTGCCAAAGATGACCCAAAAATCCACATGTTTAAAAGTCTTCTAACGCTCAATGGCTCAAACGTATTGCTCTCCCGCTAAAACCGAAAGGAGGAGCAACTTGCCATTTGGATATATCCTAGCTGTGTTTGTCCCCTCACTCATGGTCCAGACTTTTTTCAAATAGGACATGTAGTTTGTCTGCAGCGAGCGTTTTGATAGAAACTGCACCTTCCGTTCATTATAATGGTAAATGACCACAGACAGGTGCGCACACCATCTTTGGACCTTGAGTGTGATGCGATCGGGAGGGGGATGCGTTCGCGTTGGGGGCGGCGCAACAGGGCTCGGGCCCGCCAGTGCCCCAACGGGGCCCTAGTTAGGGCCCGAGCCCACTAGTGGGCGTAGGCCCTCTTGTCATTGATGGGGTTTTTCTTTCTTCATTCTTTAGGGCCCAAGCCAGCTGCAGAGCAGCCGGGCGTAGAGCCCTATTATTCCTGTATGGGTTCTTCTTTCTTTAGGGCCCGAGCGTAGCTCCTAAGCAGCTGCGAGAGCCCTATTATTCCTGATGGATTCTTCTTTGTTTCTTTCTTTCTTATTTTTCCTCCCCTTTGAAGGGAAAAATGGCCCACTTCCCACCGTCGAAAACTCATGAAATTTGGCAGGAAGACCGGGCCTGGTGAAAAATTTGATAATCTGAAGTCACCCAAACAATAAAATGCGAAATGGCTCCATAGCGCCCCCTAAGGTGAAAATTCACACTATAGAGTGTCACGTTTGTACGCAAAGATGACCCAAAAATCCACATTCTTCAAAGTCTTATAACTTTTTATTTTTGTCCTCACTGGCCTCCAAGTTTTCTAGGATGATGCAATGTCCAGCCATCAACACATGTTGGAAGGAAATTTTACTCCCTAAAAGAGCGCCCCCCCCCCCCCCCCCCCCCATGGCAGGAGAAAAAAGTCCATTTTTTCTTTACCCCTAAGGTAAAAATACACATTGTTGAGTGTCACGCCTGTACGCTTTGTCATATTGACACAAAATTTGACACACACGTGTAACTCAATAAGATCTACAAAAAAGTCAGTGTAGGCGTACCTGTCAAATGTACGGTTAAAGGGCTATTTTGTATTTTTTGCTGATCCGCACACATTGGAATTTCGCTAACTCCTCCGAAGGCTTTTGTTCCACCGGCACCAAATTTGCTCAGGCCAATCTACACCCCATGGCCATTCAAAGTTGTACAAATCATGACGCTGCACCCCACGGTTTAGGTTCTAGGGGGCGCCAAAAATAACCCAAAAATCCACAGTCTTAAAAGTCTTATAACTTTTTATTTTAGTCCTCACTGGCCTCCAAGTTTTCTAGGATGATGCAATGTCCAGCCATCAACATAATTTTGGAGGAATTTTTTCTCCCCAAAAGAGCGCCCCTCCATGGCAGGAGAAAAAAGTCAATTTTTTCTTGTCCCATGAGGTGAAAATACACATTGTTAAGTGTCACGCCTGTACGCTTTGTCATATTGACACAAAATTTGACAATCATGTGTAGCTCAATAAGATCTACGAAAAAGTCAATGCGCACGTATCTGTAAAATGTACGGTTAAAGGGCTATTTCGCATTTTTTGCCGATTCGCACACATTGGAATGTGGCTAACTCCTCCTAAGGCTTTCGTCCCACCGACACCAAATTTGCTCAGGCCAATCTACACCCCATGGCCATTCAAAGTTGTACAAATCATGATGCTGCACCCCACGGTTTACGTTCTAGGGGGCGCCAAAGATGACCCAAATATCCACATGTTTAAAAGTCTTCTAACTTTTTATTTTTGTCCTCACTGGCCTCCAAGTTTTCTAGGATGATGCAATGTCCAGCCATCAACACATGTGTGAAGGAATTTTTACTCCCCAAAAGAGCGCCCCCCCATGGCAGGAGAAAAAAGTCCATTTTTTCTTGTCCACTAAGGTGAAAATACACTTTGTTGAGTGTCACGCCTATACACTTTGTCATATTGACACAAAATTTGACACACACGTGTATCTCAATAAGATCTACGAAAAAGTCAATGCGCACGTATCTGTGAAATGTACGGTTAAAGGGCTATTTTGCATTTTTTGCCGATTCGCACACATTGGAATGTTGCTAACTCCTCCTAAGGCTTTCGTCCCACCGACACCAAATTTGCTCAGGCCAATCTACAACCCATGGCCATTCAAAGTTCAAAATCATGACGCTGCACCCCACGGTTTACGTTCTAGGGGGCGCCAAAGATGACCCAAATATACATTACAGCAGACAAAGTAGTTTTGGCCACTGAGTGGCGCCAAAGGGAGTTTTCTATTAACAGCAGACAAAGTAGTCATGGCCACTGAGAGGCGCCAAAGGGATTTGTTTATTAAATCTGATGCTACAGAAAAAGCTAAAAGGCTCAAATTTTTGCTATATTAGTGACTTTATGTCTTGAATGGGCTCTTAAAGGGTTAAAAAAATATTTTCAATGAAACATTTGCTAGTTTTGAACAGGGCAGAAGTAAAATAAGAGATGTAAAAAAGAAAAATCTGGAAAAAATATGAATACAATTTGATTTTACAGCAGACAAAGTACTTTTGGCCACTGAGTGGCGCCAAAGGGAGTTGTCTATTAACAGCAGACAAGGTAGTTATGGCCACTGAGGGGCGCCAAAGGGAGCTTTCTATTAAATCTGATGCTACAGAAAAAGTTAAAAGGCATCAAAGTCAATCATATTACTTATCTTTCACATATTCAAGACTTTGATGCCCTGCAAGAGATAACCAGTTTTTATAATGTTTGATAAAAAAAATTGGTCATTTTCCTTACCCCCCATGGCAGGAGAAAAAGTCAAGTTTTTCCTGCCCATCGCTCAATGGCTCAAACGTATTGCTCTCCCGCTAAAACCGAAAGGAGGAGCAACTTGCCATTTGGATATATCCTAGCTGTGTTTGTCCCCTCACTCATGGTCCAGACTTTTTTCAAATAGGACATGTAGTTTGTCTGCAGCGAGCGTTTTGATAGAAACTGCACCTTCCGTTCATTATAATGGTAAATGACCACAGACAGGTGCGCACACCATCTTTGGACCTTGAGTGTGATGCGATCGGGAGGGGGATGCGTTCGCGTTGGGGGCGGCGCAACAGGGCTCGGGCCCGCCAGTGCCCCAACGGGGCCCTAGTTAGGGCCCGAGCCCACTAGTGGGCGTAGGCCCTCTTGTCATTGATGGGGTTTTTCTTTCTTCATTCTTTAGGGCCCAAGCCAGCTGCAGAGCAGCCGGGCGTAGAGCCCTATTATTCCTGTATGGGTTCTTCTTTCTTTAGGGCCCGAGCGTAGCTCCTAAGCAGCTGCGAGAGCCCTATTATTCCTGATGGATTCTTCTTTGTTTCTTTCTTTCTTATTTTTCCTCCCCTTTGAAGGGAAAAATGGCCCACTTCCCACCGTCGAAAACTCATGAAATTTGGCAGGAAGACCGGGCCTGGTGAAAAATTTGATAATCTGAAGTCACCCAAACAATAAAATGTGAAATGGCTCCATAGCGCCCCCTAAGGTGAAAATTCACACTATAGAGTGTCACGTTTGTACGCTTTGTCATATTGACACAAAAATTGACACACACGTGTATCTCAATAAGATCTACAAAAAAGTCAGTGTGGGCGTACCTGTCAAATGTACGGTTAAAGGGCTATTTTGTATTTTTTGCTGATCCGCACACATTGGAATTTCGCTAACTCCTCCGAAGGCTTTTGTTCCACCGGCACCAAATTTGCTCAGGCCAATCTACACCCCATGGCCATTCAAAGTTGTACAAATCATGACGCTGCACCCCACGGTTTAGGTTCTAGGGGGCGCCAAAAATAACCCAAAAATCCACATTCTTAAAAGTCTTATAACTTTTTATTTTAGTCCTCACTGGCCTCCAAGTTTTCTAGGATGATGCAATGTCCAGCCATCAACATAATTTTGGAGGAATTTTTTCTCCCCAAAAGAGCGCCCCTCCATGGCAGGAGAAAAAAGTCAATTTTTTCTTGTCCCATGAGGTGAAAATACACATTGTTGAGTGTCATGCCTGTACGCTTTGTCATATTGACACAAAATTTGACAATCACGTGTATCTCTATAAGATCTACGAAAAACTCAATGCGCGCGTATCTGTCAAATGTACAATAAAAGGGCTTTTTCGCATTTTTTGCCGATCCGGACAAATTGGAATTTTGCTAACTCCTCCGAAGGCTTTCGTTCCACCGGCATCAAATTTGCTCAGGCCAATCTATACCCCATGGCCATTCAAAGTTGTACAAATCATGACGCTGCACCCCACGGTTTACATTCTAGGGGGTGCCAAAGATGACCCAAAAATCCACATTCTTCAAAGTCTTATAACTTTTTATTTTTGTCCTCACTGGCCTCCAAGTTTTCTAGGATGATGCAATGTCCAGCCATCAACACATGTGTGAAGGAATTTTTACTCCCTAAAAGAGCGCCTCCCCCCCCCCCCCCATGGCAGGAGAAAAAAGGCAATTTTTTTCTTTACCCCTAAGGTAAAAATACACATTGTTGAGTGTCACGCCTGTACGCTTTGTCATATTGACACAAAATTTGACACACACGTGTAACTCAATAAGATCTACAAAAAAGTCAGTGTGGGCGTACCTGTCAAATGTACGGTTAAAGGGCTATTTTGTATTTTTTGCTGATCCGCACACATTGGAATTTCGCTAACTCCTCCGAAGGCTTTTGTTCCACCGGCACCAAATTTGCTCAGGCCAATCTACACCCCATGGCCATTCAAAGTTGTACAAATCATGACGCTGCACCCCACGGTTTAGGTTCTAGGGGGCGCCAAAAATAACCCAAAAATCCACATTCTTAAAAGTCTTATAACTTTTTATTTTAGTCCTCACTGGCCTCCAAGTTTTCTAGGATGATGCAATGTCCAGCCATCAACATAATTTTGGAGGAATTTTTTCTCCCCAAAAGAGCGCCCCTCCATGGCAGGAGAAAAAAGTCAATTTTTTCTTGTCCCATGAGGTGAAAATACACATTGTTAAGTGTCACGCCTGTACGCTTTGTCATATTGACACAAAATTTGACAATCATGTGTAGCTCAATAAGATCTACGAAAAAGTCAATGCGCACGTATCTGTAAAATGTACGGTTAAAGGGCTATTTCGCATTTTTTGCCGATTCGCACACATTGGAATGTGGCTAACTCCTCCTAAGGCTTTCGTCCCACCGACACCAAATTTGCTCAGGCCAATCTACACCCCATGGCCATTCAAAGTTGTACAAATCATGATGCTGCACCCCACGGTTTACGTTCTAGGGGGCGCCAAAGATGACCCAAATATCCACATGTTTAAAAGTCTTCTAACTTTTTATTTTTGTCCTCACTGGCCTCCAAGTTTTCTAGGATGATGCAATGTCCAGCCATCAACACATGTGTGAAGGAATTTTTACTCCCCAAAAGAGCGCCCCCCCATGGCAGGAGAAAAAAGTCCATTTTTTCTTGTCCACTAAGGTGAAAATACACTTTGTTGAGTGTCACGCCTATACACTTTGTCATATTGACACAAAATTTGACACACACGTGTATCTCAATAAGATCTACGAAAAAGTCAATGCGCACGTATCTGTGAAATGTACGGTTAAAGGGCTATTTTGCATTTTTTGCCGATTCGCACACATTGGAATGTTGCTAACTCCTCCTAAGGCTTTCGTCCCACCGACACCAAATTTGCTCAGGCCAATCTACAACCCATGGCCATTCAAAGTTCAAAATCATGACGCTGCACCCCACGGTTTACGTTCTAGGGGGCGCCAAAGATGACCCAAATATACATTACAGCAGACAAAGTAGTTTTGGCCACTGAGTGGCGCCAAAGGGAGTTTTCTATTAACAGCAGACAAAGTAGTCATGGCCACTGAGAGGCGCCAAAGGGATTCGTTTATTAAATCTGATGCTACAGAAAAAGCTAAAAGGCTCAAATTTTTGCTATATTAGTGACTTTATGTCTTGAATGGGCTCTTAAAGGGTTAAAAAAATATTTTCAATGAAACATTTGCTAGTTTTGAACAGGGCAGAAGTAAAATAAGAGATGTAAAAAAGAAAAATCTGGAAAAAATATGAATACAATTTGATTTTACAGCAGACAAAGTACTTTTGGCCACTGAGTGGCGCCAAAGGGAGTTGTCTATTAACAGCAGACAAGGTAGTTATGGCCACTGAGGGGCGCCAAAGGGAGCTTTCTATTAAATCTGATGCTACAGAAAAAGTTAAAAGGCATCAAAGTCAATCATATTACTTATCTTTCACATATTCAAGACTTTGATGCCCTGCAAGAGATAACCAGTTTTTATAATGTTTGATAAAAAAAAATTGGTCATTTTCCTTACCCCCCATGGCAGGAGAAAAAGTCAAGTTTTTCCTGCCCATCGCTCAATGGCTCAAACGTATTGCTCTCCCGCTAAAACCGAAAGGAGGAGCAACTTGCCATTTGGATATATCCTAGCTGTGTTTGTCCCCTCACTCATGGTCCAGACTTTTTTCAAATAGGACATGTAGTTTGTCTGCAGCGAGCGTTTTGATAGAAACTGCACCTTCCGTTCATTATAATGGTAAATGACCACAGACAGGTGCGCACACCATCTTTGGACCTTGAGTGTGATGCGATCGGGAGGGGGATGCGTTCGCGTTGGGGGCGGCGCAACAGGGCTCGGGCCCGCCAGTGCCCCAACGGGGCCCTAGTTAGGGCCCGAGCCCACTAGTGGGCGTAGGCCCTCTTGTCATTGATGGGGTTTTTCTTTCTTCATTCTTTAGGGCCCAAGCCAGCTGCAGAGCAGCCGGGCGTAGAGCCCTATTATTCCTGTATGGGTTCTTCTTTCTTTAGGGCCCGAGCGTAGCTCCTAAGCAGCTGCGAGAGCCCTATTATTCCTGATGGATTCTTCTTTGTTTCTTTCTTAGGGCCCGAGCGTAGCTGCTAAGCAGCTGCGAGAGCCCTATTATTCCCCAAGGGGTTTTTCTTTGTTTCTTTCTTTCTTTCTTTCTTCTTTTTCCTCCCCTTTGAACTGGAAAATGGCCCACTTCCCACTGGCGAAAACTCAGGAAATTTGGCAGGACGACCGGGCCTGGTGAAAAATTTGATATTCCGAAGTCGCCCAAACAAGAAAATGCAAAATGGCTCCATAGCGCCCCCTAAGGTGAAAATTCACACTATTGACTGTCACGCCTGTACGCTTTGTCAAAATGACACAAAAATTGACACACACATGTATCTCAATAAGATCTACAAAAAAGTCAGTGCGGGCGTATCTGTCAAATGTACGGTTAAAGGGTTATTTCGCATTTTTTGCCGATCCGCACACATTGGAATTTCGCTAACTCCTCCGAAGGCTTTCGTTCCACCGGCACCACATTTGCTCAGGCCAATCTACACCCCATGGCCATTAAAAGTTATTCAAATCATGACGCTGCACCCCACGGTTTAGGTTCTAGGGGGCGCCAAAGATAACCCTAAGATCCACATATTTAAAAGTCTTATAACTTTTTATTTTTGCCCTCACTGGCCTCCAAGTTTTCTAGGATGATGCAATGTCCAGCCATCAACACATTTGTGAAGGAATTTTTACTCCCCAAAAGAGCGCCCCCCCATGGCAGGAGAAAAAAGTCCATTTTTTCTTGTCCCCTAAGGTGAAAATACACATTGTTGAGTGTAACACCTGTACGCTTTGGCAAAATGACACCAAAATTGACACACACATGTATCTCAATAAGATCTACAAAAAAGTCAGTGCGCACGTATCTGTCAAATGTACGGTTAAAGGGTTATTTTGCATTTTTTGCCGATTCGCACACATTGGAATTTCGCTAACTCCTCCGAAGGCTTTCGTTCCACCGGCACCACATTTGCTCAGGCCAATCTACACCCCATGGCCATTAAAAGTTATTCAAATCATGACGCTGCACCCCACGGTTTAGGTTCTAGGGGGCGCCAAAGATAACCCTAAAATCCACATATTTAAAAGTCTTATAACTTTTTATTTTTGTCCTCACTGGCCTCCATGTTTTCTAGGATGATGCAATGTCCAGCCATCAACACATTTGTGAAGGAGTTTTTTCTCGTTAAAAGAGCGCCCCCCCATGGCAGGAGAATAAAGTCAAGTTTTTCCTGTTCATCATTCAATGGCTCAAACGCACTGCTCTCTCGGCAAAAGCGAAAGGAGGAGCAACTTGCCATTTGGATATATCTTAGCTGTGTTTGTGCCCTCACTCATGGTCCAGACTTTTTTCAAATAGGACATGGAGTTTTTCTGCAGCGAGCGTTTTGGTAGAAACTGCGCCTCCCGTTCATTATAATGGTAAATGACCACAAACAAGTGCGCACACCATCTTTGGACCTTGAGTGTGACGCGATCGGGTGGGGGAGGCGGTCGTGCTGGGGGCGGCTTGACACGGCTCGGGCCCGCCAGTGCCCCAACGGGGCCCTAGTTAGGGCCCGAGCGTAGCTGCTAAGCAGCTGCGAGAGCCCTCTTGTTCCTGCATGTTTCCTTCTTTCGTTATTATTTTTCCTCCGCTTTAAACTGGAAAATGGCCCACTTCCCACTGGCGAAAACTCAGGAAATTTGGCAGGACGACCGGGCCTGGTGAAAAATTCGATATTCTGAAGTCGCCCAAACAATAAAATGCAAAATGGCTCCATAGCGCCCCCTAAGGTGAAAATTCACATGACGGCTGTACGCTTTGTCATATTGACACAAAAATTGACACACACATGTATCTCAATAAGATCTACAAAAAAGTCAGTGCGGGCGTATCTGTCAAATGTACGGTTAATGGGTTATTTTGCATTTTTTGCAGATCTGCACACATTGGAATTTCGCTAACTCCTCCGAAGGCTTTCGTTCGACCGGCACCACATTTGCGCAGGCCAATCTACCCCCCATGGCCATTAAAAGTTGTACAAATCATGACGCTGCACCCCACGGTTTACGTTCTAGGGGGCGCCAAAGATAACCCAAAATCCACATTCTTAAAAGTCTTATAACTTTTTATTTTTGTCCTCACTGCCCTCCAAGTTTTCTAGGATGATGCAATGTCCAGCCATCAACACATTTGTGAAGGAATTTTTACTCCCCAAAAGAGCGCCCCCCCATGGCAGGAGAAAAAAGTCAATTTTTTCTTGTCCCCTTACATGAAAATACACATTGTTGAGTGTCACGCCTGAACGCTTTGTCATATTGACACAAAAATTGACAATCATGTGTATCTCAATTAGATCTACGAAAAAGTCAAAAAGCGCGTATCTGTATAATGTACGGTTAAAGGGCTATTTCGCATTTTTGCGGATTCGCACACATTGGAATGTGGCTATCTCCTCCTAAGGCTTTCGTCCCACCGATACCAAATTTGCTCAGGGCAATCTACACCCCATGGCCATTCAAAGTTGTAAAAATCATGACGCTGCACCCCACGGTTTACGTTCTAGGGGGCGCCAAAGATGACCCAAAAATCCACATTCTTAAAAGTCATTTTGGCCACTGCAGGAGTACAGAGTACTGCAGTTCTAGGGGGCGCCAAAGATGACCCAAAAATCCACATTCTTAAAAGTCTTTTTGGCCACTGCAGGAGTACAGAGTACTGCAGGATACACACACATATACACACACACACACACACAGACACACACACACACACACTCAGAGTCTGTTTTTTAGCACCTGCAAAAACATGCTGTTTACATATTTGACAAGAATGCAGAGGCTTCCTTTTGCCCCTGAAAAAAATCAGATTTCAAACACAACTTGACTGTTCATTTCTCCAAAAGACAACCATGAAGCTCCATCCAAACCTGAAGCAGATAGTTGGTGCATGTGTACAGTAACCTGAGGGGAGTGAGGTGACTATTTCTGAGGAGAACATGAGCAGTGAAGATTCACCTTGGAGCTAGAACAGGGACGTGCACATGATTATACAGGGGCAGGGGCTCAAGTCATTTATACAATATGGAAATTAATGTGAAATTAAACCACAAATATGTGTGATGAACTGTTTTTAAAACTTAAACTTCAAATAAAAATTGTAAACTTCAAAACATATGCAAATTTTTAACAAAGAACATAGTAATTTACCTCTATTTACATCAAAATGCAGGCAATGGCCCAGGCGTTCTTTGTAAAATTATTTACAAAACACTGTATAGTCTCACAAATGTCACTTTTTATTTATGCCACTACAAAAAAACATGATGTAAATGATGCATGATGTAAAACATGATGTAAAAAACTTGTGTAGATCCTCCTCTATGTCAGTCCATGTGTAATTTTTCCATAATTCTTTGTTTTTTGCAGCATTTTTGTTAGTGTAACTGCAGATTGTGCTGACAATCTATGGCAAAAAAAAAACAAAAACTGAAAATGCCTCAACATGAACCCCTGGTGGTCTCTGAGGGTGAAACCTGCTAACTGCTGCAGCTCTGTCAGCTTCAGTCTCCCATGCAGAGCTCGGAGCGCATGTGTGGCTCTGCACCCTTAGCAGCGTTGCTAACTCCTCAGTAAGGAAAGCCTGCTTCATGTCAGAGTCTCTAAACTCCAGAAGAAGTCGATAAAAGTCCCTTTCTTTCTAAAAAAGTCGTTAGGGGGTCTGAAAAGTCATTGAATCTAACAACAAAGTCGCTAGGTTTGCAACTACGTGTCCCAGACTGCATCCCTGCTGAGAGTCCCTCCCTCCCTTCTCATATTGCAGGAAGAACGTAAGCGCCCGCCCCTTGTCAATCAGTCACCATATAATTTTGGATTGGTTGTTGTGGTGAAGTTTTCCACCAATAGGAGAGATGTTGTGGTGTGTTTTTTTTTTCTTTTAGCAAGCCTTTTCCGCCTGTAAGACCTGTCGCTAATGTGTGCATGCTATGTTTTCCTGTCTCATACAGCGCGATCGAGCGCCGAACGTGATCAAAATAAGCAGAAAAAAAGTATCGCGGACATAATTTATCATAACTCTGGTTTTATTTGGCCTATCAACGCAATTTAAAAACTGGTATATAGGTTGAGGTCCTCACTTTTGAGATAAGTTGAAACGGAGAGTTAACGAGGCTCCGTCTTGCAGCTACATCCGGTTAAATATGTCATGTGACTTGAACGCTGGGGAGCGTCAATCGAATCGAATCAAACCTAACTCTCAGATGAATCTTCAAAATTCACCTCAGAAATATGCTTATTATTCTTCTCAGAGTACTGCAGGATACACACACACACACACACACACACAGACACACACACACACACACACGCACACACACACACACACACACACACACACACTCAGAGTCTGTTTTTTAGCACCTGCAAAAACATGCTATTTACATATTTGACAAGAATGCAGAGGCTTCCTTTTGCCCCTGAAAAAAATCAAATTTCAAACACAACTTGACTGCTCATTTCTCCAAAAGACAACCATGAAGCTCCATCCAAACCTGAAGCAGGCAGTTGGTGCATGTGTACAGTAACCTGAGGGGAGTGAGGTGACTGCTTCTGAGGAGAACATGAGCAGTGAAGATTCACCTTGGAGCTAGAACAGGGACGTGCACATGATAATACAGGGGCAGGGGCTCAAGATTTTTCCAGTCGTTTATACAATAAGGAAATTAATGTGAAATTAAAAAACAAAGTATGACTGTCCTGTGTAGGTGACAGTGATATCCAATAGGCTAGGCACTCACGAGGCTGGCTGTGGCAAGTGTAAGTGAAAGCAACACGCACTGGCAGGAAGAACAGCAAACGCCGATGAAGGAAAAGGGTCTTTGCAGTGATGGGCGTTACCAGAGAGGGCGATGGCCAGAGGACGCGAATGGGACGGGGAGGCAGCGCGTTGGGGGGGGGGGGGGGGGCGACACGGCTCGGGCCCGCCAGTGCCCCAACGGGGCCCTAGTTATTTTTGTTCTCACTGGCCTCCAAGTTTTGTAGGATGATGCAATGTCCAGCCATCAACACATTTGTGAAGGAATTTTTACTCCCCAAAAGAGCGCCCCCCCCCCATGGCAGGAGAAAAAAGTCCATTTTTTCTTGTCCCCTAAGGTGAAAATACACATTGTTGAGATTCACGCCTGTACGCTTTGTCATATTGACAAAAAATTTGACACACACGTGTATCTCAATAAGATCTACGAAAAAGTCAATGGGCGCGTATCTGAAAAATGTACGGCTAAAGGGCTATTTTGCATTTTTTGCCGATTCGCACACATTGGAATGTGGCTAACTCCTCCTAAGGCTTTCGTCCAACTGACACCAAATTTGCTCAGGCCAATCTACACCCCATGGCCATTCAAAGTTGTAAAAATCATGCCGCTGCACCCCATGGTTTACGTTCTAGGGGGCGCCAAAGATGACCCAAATATCCACATTCTTAAAAGTCGTTTTGGCCACTGCAGGAGTACAGAGTACTGCAGGAAACACACACACAGACACACACACACACAGACACACACACACACACACACACACACACACACACACACACACACACACACACACACACACACACACACACACACACACACTCAGAGTCTGTTTTTTAGCACCTGCAAAAACATGCTATTTACATATTTGACAACAATGCAGAGGCTTCCTTTTGCCCCTGAAAAAAATCAAATTTCTAACACAACTTGACTGCTCATTTCTCCAAAAGACAACCATGAAGCTCCATCCAAACCTGAAGCAGGCAGTTGGTGCATGTGTACAGTAACCTGAGGGGAGTGAGGTGACTGCTTCTGAGGAGAACATGAGCAGTGAAGATTCACCTTGGAGCGAGAACAGGGACGTGCACATGATTATACAGGGGCAGGGGCTCAAGTTTTTTCCAGTCGTTTATACGATATGGAAATTAATGTGAAATTAAAAAACAAAGTATTAATAGAAAGGTAATGACTGTCCTGTGTAGGTGACAGTGATATCCAATAGGCTAGGCACTCACGAGGCTGGCTGTGGCAAGTGTAAGTGAAAGCAACACGCACTGGCAGGAAGAAAAGCAAACGCCGATGAAGGAAAAGGGTCTTTGCAGTGATGGGCGTTACCAGAGAGGACGATGGCCAGAGGACGCGAATGGGATGGGGAGGCAGCGCGTTGGGGGGGCGACACAGCTCGGGCCCGCCAGTGCCCCAACGGGGCCCTAGTTTCTTATTTTTCCTCCCCTTTGAAGGGGAAAATGGCCCACTTCCCACCGTCGAAAACTCATGAAATTTGGCAGGAAGACCGGGCCTGGTGAAAAATTTGATAATCTGAAGTCACCCAAACAATAAAATGCGAAATGGCTCCATAGCGCCCCCTAAGGTGAAAATTCACACTATAGAGTGTCACGTTTGTACGCTTTGTCATATTGACACAAAAATTGACACACACGTGTATCTCAATAAGATCTACAAAAAAGTCAGTGTGGGCGTATCTGTCAAATGTACGGTTAAAGGGCTATTTTGTATTTTTTGCTGATCCGCACACATTGGAATTTCGCTAACTCCTCCGAAGGCTTTTGTTCCACCGGCACCAAATTTGCTCAGGCCAATCTACACCCCATGGCCATTCAAAGTTGTACAAATCATGACGCTGCACCCCACGGTTTAGGTTCTAGGGGGCGCCAAAAATAACCCAAAAATCCACATTCTTAAAAGTCTTATAACTTTTTATTTTAGTCCTCACTGGCCTCCAAGTTTTCTAGGATGATGCAATGTCCAGCCATCAACATAATTTTGGAGGAATTTTTTCTCCCCAAAAGAGCGCCCCTCCATGGCAGGAGAAAAAAGTCAATTTTTTCTTGTCCCATGAGGTGAAAATACACATTGTTGAGTGTCATGCCTGTACGCTTTGTCATATTGACACAAAATTTGACAATCACGTGTATCTCTATAAGATCTACGAAAAACTCAATGCGCGCGTATCTGTCAAATGTACAATAAAAGGGCTTTTTCGCATTTTTTGCCGATCCGGACAAATTGGAATTTTGCTAACTCCTCCTAAGGCTTTCGTTCCACCGGCATCAAATTTGCTCAGGCCAATCTATACCCCATGGCCATTCAAAGTTGTACAAATCATGACGCTGCACCCCACGGTTTACATTCTAGGGGGCGCCAAAGATGACCCAAAAATCCACATTCTTCAAAGTCTTATAACTTTTTATTTTTGTCCTCACTGGCCTCCAAGTTTTCTAGGATGATGCAATGTCCAGCCATCAACACATGTGTGAAGGAATTTTTACTCCCTAAAAAGCGCCCCCCCCCCCCTGGCAGGAGAAAAAAGTCCATTTTTTCTTTACCCCTAAGGTAAAAATACACATTGTTGAGTGTCACGCCTGTACGCTTTGTCATATTGACACAAAATTTGACAATCATGTGTAGCTCAATAAGATCTACGAAAAAGTCAATGCGCATGTATCTGTAAAATGTACGGTTAAAGGGCTATTTCGCATTTTTTGCCGATTCGCACACATTGGAATGTGGCTAACTCCTCCTAAGGCTTTCGTCCCACCGACACCAAATTTGCTCAGGCCAATCTACACCCCATGGCCATTCAAAGTTGTACAAATCATGATGCTGCACCCCACGGTTTACGTTCTAGGGGGCGCCAAAGATGACCCAAATATCCACATGTTTAAAAGTCTTCTAACTTTTTATTTTTGTCCTCACTGGCCTCCAAGTTTTCTAGGATGATTCAATGTCCAGCCATCAACACATGTGTGAAGGAATTTTTCTCCCTAAAAGATGAGTGTGTCATTGTGTTAGAAAAGAAAGTGGTTTACTTACACATCCATAGAAAATAGGTGGTTGAGCACAGCACGCAAACAAAGCTTTGCCACGACGGTGGAACTTCCCAAGTAGCCGATACCAAGGTCACACAATCATGGTGAGCAAAGGTCAAACCAGGCCAGGCACTCATGAGGCTGGCTGTGGCAAGTGTAAGTGAAAGCAACACGCAATGGCAGGAAGAATAGCAAACGCCGATGAAGTAAAAGGGTCTTTGCAGTGATGGGCGTTACCAGAGAGGGCGATGGCCAGAGGACGCGAATGGGACGGGGAGGCGATCGCGTTGGGGGGGGGTGCGCGACACGGCTCGGGCCCGCCAGTGCCCCAACGGGGCCCTAGTCTTTCTTTCTTTCTTTCTTTTTCTTATTTTTCCTCCCCTTTGAAGGGGAAAATGGCCCACTTCCCACTGGCGAAAACTCATGAAATTTGGCAGGACGACCGGGCCTGGTAAAAAATTCGATATTCTGAAGTCGCTGAAAAAATTATTTGCAAAATGGCTCCAAAGCGCCCCCTAAGGTGAAAATTCACACTATCGAGTGTCACGCCTGTACGCTTTGTCATATTGACACAAAAATTGACACACACGTGTATCTCAATAAGGTCTACAAAAAAGTCAGTGTAGGCGTATCAGTGAAATGTACGGTTAAAGGGCTATTTTGCATTTTTTGCCGATCCGCACACATTGGAATGTGGCTAACTCCTCCGAAGGCCTTCGTTCCACCGGCACCAAATTTGCTCAGGCCAATCTACTCCCCATGGCCATTCAAAGTTGTACAAATCATGACGCTGCACCCCACGGTTTAGGTTCTAGGGGGCGCCAAAGATAACCCAAAAATCCACATTCTTAAAAGTCTTATAACTTTTTATTTTTGTCCTCACTGGCCTCCAAGTTTTCTAGGATGATGCAATGTCCAGCCATCAACACATTTTTGAAGGAATTTTTTCTCCCCAAAAGAGCGCCCCCCCATGGCAGGAGAAAAAAGGCAATTTTTTCTTGTCCCCTAAGGTGAAAATACACATTGTTGAGTGTCACGCCTGTGCGCTTTGTCATATTGACACAAAATTTGACAATCACGTGTATCTCAATAAGATCTACAAAAAAGTCAAAGCGCACTAGCTGTAAAATGTACGGTTAAAGGACTATTTCGCATTTTTTGCCGATTCACACACATTGGAATGTGGCTAACTCCTAAGGCTTTTGTCCCACCGACACCAAATTTGCTCAGGCCAATCTACATCCCATGGCCATTCAAAGTTGTACAAATCATGATGCTGAACCCCACGGTTTACGTTCTAGGGGGCGCCAAAGATAACCCAAAAATCCACATGATTACAAATTGTTTTGGCCACTGAGTGGCGCCAAAGGGAGTTGTCTATTAACAGCAGACAAAGTAGTTATGGCCACTGAGTGGCGCCAAAGTTTCAATGAAACATTTGCTAGTTTTGAACAGGGCAGAAGTAAAATAAGAGATGTACAAAAAAAAATCTGGAAAAAATATTAATCCAATTTGATTTTACAGCAGACAAAGAAGTTTTGGCCACTCATCCAAGTTTTCTAGGATGATGCAATGTTCAGCCATCAAAACATTTGTGAAGTCATTTTTTTCTCACCAAAAGAGCGCCCCCCCCAAGGCAGGAGAAAAAGTCAAGTTTTTCCTGCCCATCGCTCAATGGCTCAAACACACCGCTCTCTCTGCAAAACCGAAAGGAGGAGCAACTTGCCATTTGGATATATACTAGCTGTGTTTGTGCCCTCACTCATGGTCCAGACTTTTTTCATATGGATCATGAAGTTTGTCTGCAGCAAGTGTTTTGGTAGAAACTGCGCCTCCCATTCATTATAATGGTAAATGACCACAGACAAGTGCGCACACCACCTTTGGACCTTGATATATTTTTGCAATCAATATATTTTTTATTTCATTTTTCATTTTTTTTGGTCTAACTAACTCAAAAAGCTTGGAAAAGAGTTCCTACAAAGGTTTTGGACAGTGATTTTAACCCTAACGCCAAAAACCTTAAACCTTTCCAAAGCCCCAGAAACTGATTCCCGGGTATTGCCTTCAGGAAGCCCGAAAACCCAAAATATATTTTTTTCATTTTGCTTTTTTTTTTGGTCTAACTAACTCCAAAAAGTTGGAAAAGAGTTCCTACAAAGGTTTTGGACAATAATTTTAACCCTAATGCCAAAAAACTGAACCCTTACCATAGCCCCATAACCTAATACCCGGGTATTACCTTCAGGAAGCCTGAACACCCCAAATATTTTTTTTTTCATTTTACATTTTTTTTGTATGTAACCAACTCCAAAAGGTCTGAAACATGTTCCTAAAAAGGTTTTGGACAGTGATTTTAACCCTAATGCCAAAAACCTCAAACCTTACCCTAGCCCCAAAACCTAATACCCGGGTATTACCTTCAGGAAGCCTGAACACCCCAAATATTTTTTATTTCATTTTTCATTTTTTTTTGGTCTAACTGACTCCAAAAGTTTGGAAAAGAGTTCCTACAAAGGTTTTGGACAGTGATTTTAACCCTAACGCCAAAAACCTTAAACCTTACCATAGCCCCATAACCTGATACCCGGGTATTACCTTCAGGAAGCCCGAACACCCCAAATATTTTTTTTTCATTTTACATTTTTTTTTTGGTGTAAAACTCCAAAATGTCTTAAAGGTGTTCCTAAAAAGGTTTTGGACAGTGATTTTAACCCTAATGCCAAAAACCTCAAACCTTACCCTAGCACCAAAACCTAATACCCGGGTATTACCTTCAGGAAGCCCGAACACCCCAAATATTTTTTTTTCTTTTTTCTTTTTTTTTTTGGTCAACCTAACTCCAAAAGGTTGGAAAAGAGTTCCTACAAAGGTTTTTGGACAGTGATTTTAACCCTAACGCCAAAAACCTTAAACATTTCCTAAGCCCCATAACCTAATACCCGGGTATTACCTTCAGGAAGCCCGAACACCCCAAATATTTTTTTTTCATTTTTCTTTTTTTTTGGTCTAACGAACTCCATAAGGTTGGAAAAGAGTTCCTACAAAGGTTTTGGAAAGTTATTTTCACCCTAACGTCAAAAAACTTAAACCTTACCATAGCCCCATAACCTAATACCCGGGTATTACCTTCAGGAAGCCCGAACACCCCAAATATTTTTTTTTTTCATTTTTTTTTTTTTTTGGTCTAACTAACTCCAAAAGGTTGGAAAAGAGTTCCTACAAAGGTTTTGGACAATAATTTTAACCCTAATGCCAAAAAACTGAACCCTTACCATAGCCCCATAACCTAATACCCGGGTATTACCTTCAGGAAGCCCGAACACCCCAAATATATTTTTTTTCATTTTACATTTTTTTTGTATGTAACCAACTCCAAAAGGTCTGAAACATGTTCCTACAAAGGTTTTGGACATTGATATTAACCCTAACGCCAAAAACCTCAAACCTTACCCTAGCCCCAAAACCTAATATTAGGGTATTACCTCCAGGAAGCCTGAAAACCCCAAATATTTTTTTCATTTCTCTTTTTTTTGGGTCTAACTGACTCCAAAAGGTTGGAAAAGAGTTCCTACAAAGGTTTTGGACAGTGATTTTAACCGTAACGCCAAAAACCTTAAACCTTAGCCCGAACACCCCAAATATTTTTTTTTAATTTTACATTTTTTTTTCGGTGTACAAACTCCAAAAGGTCTGAAACGTGTTCCTAAAAAGGTTTTGGACAGTGATTTTAACCCTAATGCCAAAAACCTCAAACCTTAACCTAGCCCCAAAACCTAATACCCGGGTATTACCTTCAGGAAGCCCGAACACCCCAAATATTTTTTTTTCTTTTTTCTTTTTTTTTTTGGTCAACCTAACTCCAACAGGTTGGAAAAGAGTTCCTACAAAGGTTTTTGGACAGTGATTTTAACCCTAACGCCAAAAACCTTAAACATTTCCTAAGCCCCATAACCTAATACCCGGGTATTACCTTCAGGAAGCCTGAACACCCCAAATATTTTTTATTTCATTTTCATTTTTTTTGGTCTAACTGACTCCAAAAGGTTGGAAAAGAGTTCCTACAAAGGCTTTGGACAGTTATTTTCACCCTAACGTCAAAAACCTTAAACCTTACCATAGCCCCATAACCTAATACCCGGGTATTACCTTCAGGAAGCCCGAACACCCCAAATATTTTTTTTTCATTTTTCTTTTTTTTTTGGTCAACCTAACTCCAAAAGGTTGGAAAAGAGTTCCTACAAAGGTTTTTGGACAGTGATTTTAACCCTAACGCCAAAAACCTTAAACATTTCCTAAGCCCCATAACCTAATACCCGGGTATTACCTTCAGGAAGCCCGAACACCCCAAATATTTTTTTTTCATTTTTCTTTTTTTTTTGGTCTAACGAACTCCATAAGGTTGGAAAAGAGTTCCTACAAAGGTTTTGGAAAGTTATTTTCACCCTAACGTCAAAAACCTTAAACCTTACCATAGCCCCATAACCTATTACCTTCAGGAAGCCCGAACACCCCAAATATTTTTTTTTCATTTTTTTTTTTTTTTTGGTCTAACTAACTCCAAAAGGTTGGAAAAGAGTTCCTACAAAGGTTTTGGACAATAATTTTAACCCTAATGCTAAAAAACTGAACCCTTACCATAGCCCCATAACCTAATACCCGGGTATTACCTTCAGGAAGCCCGAACACCCCAAATATTTTTTTTTTCATTTTACATTTTTTTTTATATGTAACCAACTCAAAAAGGTCTGAAACATGTTCCTAAAAAGGTTTTGGACAGTGATTTTAACCCTAACGCCAAAAACCTCAAACCTTACCCTAGCCCCAAAACCTAATATTAGGGTATTACCTCCAGGAAGCCTGAAAACCCCAAATATTTTTTTCATTTCCCTTTTTTTTGGTCTAACTGACTCCAAAAGGTTGGAAAAGAGTTCCTACAAAGGTTTTGGACAGTGATTTTAACCGTAACGCCAAAAACCTTAAACCTTACCATAGCCCCATAACCTGATACCCGGGTATTACCTTCAGGAAGCCCGAACACCCCAAATATTTTTTTTTAATTTTACATTTTTTTTTCGGTGTACAAACTCCAAAAGGTCTGAAACGTGTTCCTAAAAAGGTTTTGGACAGTGATTTTAACCCTAATGCCAAAAACCTCAAACCTTACCCTAGCCCAAAAACCTAATACCCGGGTATTACCTTCAGGAAGCCCGAACACCCCAAATATTTTTTTTTCTTTTTTCTTTTTTTTTTTGGTCAACCTAACTCCAAAAGGTTGGAAAAGAGTTCCTACAAAGGTTTTTGGACAGTGATTTTAACCCTAACGCCAAAAACCTTAAACATTTCCTAAGCCCCATAACCTAATACCCGGGTATTACCTTCAGGAAGCCTGAACACCCCAAATATTTTTTATTTCATTTTTCATTTTTTTTTGGTCTAACTGACTCCAAAAGTTTGGAAAAGAGTTCCTACAAAGGTTTTGGACAGTGATTTTAACCCTAACGCCAAAAACCTTAAACCTTACCATAGCCCCATAACCTGATACCCGGGTATTACCTTCAGGAAGCCCGAACACCCCAAATATTTTTTTTTCATTTTACATTTTTTTTTGGTGTACAAACTCCAAAAGGTCTGAAAGGTGTTCCTAAAAAGGTTTTGGACAGTGATTTTAACCCTAATGCCAAAAACCTCAAACCTTACCCTAGCACCAAAACCTAATACCCGGGTATTACCTTCAGGAAGCCCGAACACCCCAAATATTTTTTTTTTTTTTTTTTTTTTTTTTTTTTGGTCAACCTAACTCCAAAAGGTTGGAAAAGAGTTCCTACAAAGGTTTTTGGACAGTGATTTTAACCCTAACGCCAAAAACCTTAAACATTTCCTAAGCCCCATAACCTAATACCCGGGTATTACCTTCAGGAAGCCCGAACACCCCAAATATTTTTTTTTCATTTTTCTTTTTTTTTTGGTCTAACTAACTCCAAAAGGTTGGAAAGAGTTCCTACAAAGGTTTTGGACAATGATTTTAACCCTAATGCCAAAAAACTGAACCCTTACCATAGCCCCATAACCTAATACCCGGGTATTACCTTCAGGAAGCCCGAACACCCCAAATATTTTTTTTTTCATTTTACATTTTTTTTGTATGTAACCAACTCCAAAAGGTCTGAAACATGTTCCTAAAAAGGTTTTGGACAGTGATTTTAACCCTAACGCCAAAAACCTCAAACCTTACCCTAGCCCCAAAACCTAATATTAGGGTATTACCTCCAGGAAGCCTGAAAACCCCAAATATTTTTTTTTCATTTCTCTTTTTTTTGGGTCTAACTGACTCCAAAAGGTTGGAAAAGAGTTCCTACAAAGGTTTTGGACAGTGATTTTAACCGTACCGCCAAAAACCTTAAACCTTACCATAGCCCCATAACCTGATACCCGGGTATTACCTTCAGGAAGCCCGAACACCCCAAATTTTTTTTTTTAATTTTACATTTTTTTTTCGGTGTACAAACTCCAAAAGGTCTGAAACGTGTTCCTCAAAAGGTTTTGGACAGTGATTTTAACCCTAATGCCAAAAACCTCAAACCTTACCCTAGCCCCAAGACCTAATACCCAGGTATTACCTTCAGTAAGCCCGAACACCCCAAATATTTTTTTTCCTTTTTTTTTTTTTTTTGGTCTAACGAACTCCATAAGGTTGGAAAAGAGTTCCTACAAAGGTTTTGGACAGTTATTTTCACCCTAACGTCAAAAACCTTAAACCTTACCATAGCCCCATAACCTCATACCCGGGTATTACCTTCAGGAAGCCTGAACACCCCAAATATATTTTTTTCATTTTACATTTTTTTTTGGTTTAACCAACTCCAAAAGGTCTGAAACATGTTCCTAAAAAGGTTTTGGACAGTTATTTTAACCCTATCACCAAAAACCTTAAACCTTTCCTAAGCCCCATAACCTAATACCCGGGTATTACCTCCAGGAAGCCTGAAAACCGCAAATATATTTTTTTCTTTTTTCTTTTATTTTGGTCTAACTGACTCAAAAAGGTTGGAAAAGAGTTCCTACAAAGGTTTTGGACAGTGATTTTAACCCTAACGCCAAAAACCTTAAACCTTTCCTAAGCCCCATAACCTAATATCCGGGTATTACCTTCAGGAAGCCCGAACAACCCAAATACATTTTTTTTTTTTTTTTTTTTTTTTTTTGGTCATACTGACTCCATAAGGTTGGAAAAGAGTTCCTACAAAGGTTTTAGACAGCGATTTTAACCCTCACGCCAAAAACCTTAAACCTTACCTTAGCCCCAAAACCTAATACCCGGGTATTACCTTCAGGATGCCCGAACACCCCAAATATATATATTTTTATTTTTCATGTTTTTTTGGTCTAACTAACTCCAAAAGCTTGGAAAAGAGTTCCTCCAAAGGTTTTGGACATTGATTTTAACCCTAACGCCAAAAACCTAAAACCTTACCCTAGCCCCATAACCTAATACCTGGGTATTACCTTATGGAAGCCCGAACACCCCAAATATTTTTTTTTTCATTTTTCATTTTTTTTTGGTGTAACTAACTCCAAAAGCTTGGTAAAGAGTTCCTACAAAGGTTTTGGACAGTGATTTTATCCCTAATGCCAAAAACCTTAAACCTTTCCAAAGCCCCAGAAACTGATTCCCGGTTATTGCCTTCAGGAAGCCCGAAAACCCCAAATATTTTTTTTTTCATTTTTCTTTTTTTTTTGGTCTAACTAACTCCAAAAGGTTGGAAAAGAGTTCCTACAAAGGTTTTGGACAATAATTTTAACCCTAATGCCAAAAAACTGAACCCTTACCATAGCCCCATAACCTAATACCCGGGTATTACCTTCAGGAAGCCCGAACACCCCAAATATATTTATTTCCTTTTTTCATTTTTTTTGGTCTAACTAACTCCAAAAGGTATGAAAAGAGTTCCTACAAAGGTTTTGGACAGTGATTTTAACCCTAATGCCAAAAACCCTAAAACTTTCAAAAGCCCCATAACCTAATACCCGGGTATTACCTTCAGGAAGCCCAAAAACCACAAATATTTTTTTTTTTATTTTTCATGTTTTTTTGGTCTAACTAACTCCAAAAGGTTGGAAAAGAGTTCCTACAAAGGTTTTGGACAATAATTTTAACCCTAATGCCAAAAAACTGAACCCTTACCATAGCCCCATAACCTAATACCTGAAGACCCCAAATATTTTTTTTTCATTTTTCTTGTTTTTTTGGTCTAACGAACTCCATAAGGTTGGAAAAGAGTTCCTACAAAGGTTTTGGACAGTTAGTTTAACCCTATCGCCAAAAACCTTAAACCTTACCATAGCCCCATAACCTAATACCGGGTATTACCTTCAGGAAGCCTGAACACCCCAAATATTTTTTATTTCATTTTTCATTTTTTTTGTCTAACTGACTCCAAAAGGTTGGAAAAGGGTTCTACAAAGGTTTTGGACAGTGATTTTAACCCTAATGCCAAAAACCTAAAACCTTACCCTAGCCCCATAACCTAATACCTGGGTATTACCTTCAGGAAGCCTGAACACCCCAAATATTTTTTATTTCATTTTTCATTTTTTTTGTCTAACTGACTCCAAAAGGTTGGAAAAGAGTTCCTACAAAGGTTTTGGACAGTGATTTTAACCCTAACGCCAAAAACCTTAAACCTTACCATAGCCCCATAACCTGATACCCGGGTATTACCTTCAGGAAGCCCGAAAACCCAAATATTTTCTTTTCATTTTTCATTCTTTTTTGGTCTAACTCCAAAAGGTTGGAAAAGAGTTCCTACAAAGGTTTTGGACAGTGATTTTAACCCTAATGCCAAAAACCTCAAACCTTACCCTAGCCCCATAACCTAATACCCGGGTATTACCTTCAGGAAGCCTGAACACCCCAAATATTTTTTATTTAATTTTTCATTTTTTTTTGGTCTAACTAACTCCGAACTGTTGGAAAAGAGTTCCTACAAAGGTTTCGGATAGTGATTTTAACCCTAATGCAAAAAACCTAAAACTTTCCAAAGCCCCATAACCTAATACCTGGGTATTACCTTCAAGAAGCCCGAACAACCCAAATATTTTTTTTTTCATTTTTCATTTTTTTTTGGTCTAACTAACTCCAAACGCTTGGAAAAGAGTTCCTACAAAGGTTTTGGACAGTGATTTTAACCCTAAAGCCAAAAACCTTAAACCTTTCCTAAGCCCCATAACCTAATACCGGGTATTACCTTCAGGAAGCCCGAACACCCCAAATATTTTTTTTTCATTTTACTTTTTTTTTTTGGTTTAACCAACTGCAAAAGGTCTGAAACATGTTCCTAAAAAGGTTTTGGACAGTGATTTTAACCCTAACGCCTAAACCTCAAACCTTACCCTAGCCCAAAAACCTAATACCCGGGTATTACCTTCAGGAAGCCCGAACACCCCAAATATTTTTTTTTCTTTTTTCTTTTTTTTTTGGTCTACCTAACTCCAAAAGGTTGGAAAAGAGTTCCTACAAAGGTTTTGGACAGTGATTTTAACCCTAACGCCAAAAACCTTAAACCTTTCCTAAGCCCCATAACCTAATACCCGGGTATTACCTTCAGGAAGCCCGAACACCCCAAATACATTTTTTTTTTTTTTTTTTTTTTTTTTTTGGTCATACTGACTCCAAAAGGTTGGAAAAGAGTTCCTACAAAGGTTTTTGACAGTGATTTTAACCCTCACGCCAAAAACCTTAAACCTTACCTTAGCCCCAAAACCTAATACCCGGGTATTACCTTCAGGATGCCTGAACACCCCAAATATATATTTTTTTATTTTTCATGTTTTTTTGGTCTAACTAACTGCAGAAGCTTGGAAAAGAGTTCCTCCAAAGGTTTTGGACATTGATTTTAACCCTAACGCCAAAAACCTAAAACCTTACCCTAGCCCCATAACCTAATACCTGGGTATTACCTTCAGGAAGCATGAACACCCCAAATATTTTTTTTTTCATTTTTCATTTTTTTTGGTCTAACTAACTCCAAAAGCTTGGAAAAGAGTTCCTACAAAGGTTTTGGACAGTGATTTTAACCCTAACGCCAAAAACCTTAAACCTTTCCAAAGCCCCAGAAACTGATTCCCGGGTATTGCCTTCAGGAAGCCCAAAAACCCCAAATATTTTTTTTTCATTTTTCTTTTTTTTTTTGGTCTAACTAACTCCAAAAGGTTGGAAAAGAGTTCCTACAAAGGTTTTGGACAATAATTTTAACCCTAATGCCAAAAAACTGAACCCTTACCATAGCCCCATAACCTAATACCCGGGTATTACCTTCAGGAAGCCCGAACACCCCAAATATATTTATTTCCTTTTTTCATTTTTTTTGGTCTAACTAACTCCAAAAGGTATGAAAAGAGTTCCTACAAAGGTTTTGGACAGTGGTTTTAACCCTAACGCCAAAAACCTTAAACCTTACCATAGTCCCATAACCTAATAGGTCCTTCAGGAAGCCCGAACACCCCAAATATATTTTTTTCATTTTACATTTTTTTTTGGTTTAACCAACTGCAAAAGGTCTGAAACATGTTCCTAAAAAGGTTTTGGACAGTGATTTTAACCCCTAATCCAAAAACCTTAACCCTTACCATAGCCCCATAACCTAATACCGGGGTATTACCTTCAGGAAGCCCGAACACCCCAAATATTTTTTTTTCATTTTACATTTTTTTTTTGGTGTAACTGACTCCAAAAGGTTGGAAAAGAGTTCATACAAAGGCCTTGGACAGTTATTTTAACCCTCACACCAAAAACCTTAAACCTTACCTTAGCCCCAAAACCTAATACCCGGGTATTACCTTCAGGAAGCCCGAACACCCCAAATATTTTTTTTTCATTTTACATTTTTATTTTGGTGTACAAACTCCAAAAGGTCTGAAACATGTTCCTAAAAATGTTTTGGACAGTGATTTTAACCCTAATGCCAAAAACCTCAAACCTTACCCTAGCCCCAAAACCTAATACCCGGGTATTACCTTCAGGAAGCCCGAAAACCCCAAATATTTTTTATTCCTTTTTTCTTTTTTTTTTGGTCTAACTAACTCCAAAAGGTTGGAAAAGAGTTCCTACAAAGGTTTTGGACAGTGATTTTAACCCTAACACCAAAAACCTTAAAACTTACCATAGCCCCATAACCTAATACCCGGGTATTACCTTCAGGAAGCCCGAACACCCCAAATATTTTTTTTTCATTTTACATTTTTTTTAGTGTAACCAGCTCCAAAAGCTTGGAAAAGAGTTCCTACAAAGGTTTTGGACAGTGATTTTAACCTTAACACCAAAAACCTTAAACCTTACCATAGCCCCATAATTCAATACCCGGGTATTACCTTAAGAAAGCCCGAACACCCCAAATATATATATATATTTTTTCATCTTTTTTTTGGTCTAACGAACTCCGAAATGTTGGAAAAGAGTTCCTACAAAGGTTTTGGACAGTGATTTTAACCCTAATGCCAAAAACCCTAAAACTTTCAAAAGCCCCATAACCTAATACCCGGGTATTACCTTCAGGAAGCCCAAAAACCACAAATATTTTTTTTTTATTTTTCATGTTTTTTTGGTCTAACTAACTCCAAAAGCTTGGAAAAGAGTTCCTCCAAAGGTTTTGGACATTGATTTTAACCCTAACGCCAAAAACCTAAAACCTTACCCTAGCCCCATAACCTAATACCTGGGTATTACCTTCAGGAAGCCCGAACACCCCAAATATATTTTTTTTCATTTTTCTTTTTTTTTTTTGGTCTAACTAACTCCAAAAGCTTGGAAAAGAGTTCCTACAAAGGTTTTGGACAGTGATTTTATCCCTAACGCCAAAAACCTTAAACCTTTCCAAAGCCCCAGAAACTGATTCCCGGGTATTGCCTTCAGGAAGCCCGAAAACCCCAAATATTTTTTTTTCATTTTTCTTTTTTTTTTTGGTCTAACTAACTCCAAAAGGTTGGAAAAGAGTTCCTACAAAGGTTTTGGACAATAATTTTAACCCTAATGCCAAAAAACTGAACCCTTACCATAGCCCCATAACCTAATACCTGAAGACCCCAAATATTTTTTTTTCATTTTACATTTTTTTTTGGTGTAACCAACTCCAAAAGGTCTGAAACATGTTCATAAAAAGGTTTTGGACAGTTAGTTTAACCCTATCGCCAAAAACCTTAAACCTTACCATAGCCCCATAACCTAATACCGGGTATTACCTTCAGGAAGCCTGAACACCCCAAATATTTTTTATTTCATTTTTCATTTTTTTTGTCTTACTGACTCCAAAAGGTTGGAAAAGAGTTCCTACAAAGGTTTTGGACAGTGATTTTAACCCTAACGCCAAAAACCTTAAACCTTACCATAGCCCCATAACCTAATACCCGGGTATTACCTTCAGGAAGCCCGAAAACCCCAAATATTTTCTTTTCATTTTTCATTCTTTTTTGGTCTAACTCCAAAAGGTTGGAAAAGAGTTCCTACAAAGGTTTTGGACAGTGATTTTAACCCTAATGCCAAAAACCTTAAACCTTACCCTAGCCCCATAACCTAATACCCGGGTATTACCTTCAGGAAGCCTGAACACCCCAAATATTTTTCATTTCATTTTTCATTTTTTTTTGGTCTAACTAACTCCGAACTGTTGGAACAGAGTTCCTACAAAGGTTTCGGATAGTGATTTTAACCCTAATGCAAAAAACCTAAAACTTTCCAAAGCCCCATAACCTAATACCTGGGTATTACCTTCAGGAAGCCCGAACAACCCAAATATTTTTTTTTTCATTTTTCATTTTTTTTTGGTCTAACTAACTCCAAACGCTTGGAAAAGAGTTCCTACAAAGGTTTTGGACAGTGATTTTAACCCTCATGCCAAAAACCTTAAACCTTTCCTAAGCCCCATAACCGAATACCGGGTATTACCTTCAGGAAGCCCGAAGACCCCAAATATTTTTTTTTCATTTTACTTTTTTTTTTGGTTTAACCAACTGCAAAAGGTCTGAAACATGTTCCTAAAAAAGGTTTTGGACAGTGATTTTAACCCTAACGCCTAAACCTCAAACCTTACCATAGCCCCATAACCTAATACCCGGGTATTACCTTCAGGAAGCCCGAACACCCCAAATATTTTTTTTTCATTTTACATTTTTTTTAGTGTAACCAGCTCCAAAAGCTTGGAAAAGAGTTCCTACAAAGGTTTTGGACAGTGATTTTAACCCTAACGCCAAAAACCTTAAACCTTACCATAGCCCCATAACCTGATACCCGGGTATTACCTTCAGGAAGCCCGAAAACCCCAAATATTTTCTTTTCATTTTTCATTCTTTTTTGGTCTAACTCCAAAAGGTTGGAAAAGAGTTCCTACAAAGGTTTTGGACAGTGATTTTAACCCTAATGCCAAAAACCTCAAACCTTACCCTAGCCCCATAACCTAATACCCGGGTATTACCTTCAGGAAGCCTGAACACCCCAAATATTTTTTATTTCATTTTTCATTTTTTTTTGGTCTAACTAACTCCGAACTGTTGGAAAAGAGTTCCTACAAAGGTTTCGGATAGTGATTTTAACCCTAATGCAAAAAACCTAAAACTTTCCAAAGCCCCATAACCTAATACCTGGGTATTACCTTCAGGAAGCCCGAACAACCCAAATATTTTTTTTTTCATTTTTCATTTTTTTTTGGTCTAACTAACTCCAAACGCTTGGAAAAGAGTTCCTACAAAGGTTTTGGACAGTGATTTTAACCCTAAAGCCAAAAACCTTAAACCTTTCCTAAGCCCCATAACCTAATACCGGGTATTACCTTCAGGAAGCCCGAACACCCCAAATATTTTTTTTTCATTTTACTTTTTTTTTTTGGTTTAACCAACTGCAAAAGGTCTGAAACATGTTCCTAAAAAAGGTTTTGGACAGTGATTTTAACCCTAACGCCTAAACCTCAAACCTTACCATAGCCCCATAACCTAATACCCGGGTATTACCTTCAGGAAGCCCGAACACCCCAAATATTTTTTTTCATTTTACATTTTTTTTAGTGTAACCAGCTCCAAAAGCTTGGAAAAGAGTTCCTACAAAGGTTTTGGACAGTGATTTTAACCTTAACACCAAAAACCTTAAACCTTACCATAGCCCCATAATTCAATACCCGGGTATTACCTTAAGAAAGCCCGAACACCCCAAATATATATATATATTTTTTCATCTTTTTTTTGGTCTAACGAACTCCGAAATGTTGGAAAAGAGTTCCTACAAAGGTTTTGGACAGTGATTTTAACCCTAATGCCAAAAACCCTAAAACTTTCAAAAGCCCCATAACCTAATACCCGGGTATTACCTTCAGGAAGCCCAAAAACCACAAATATTTTTTTTTTATTTTTCATGTTTTTTTGGTCTAACTAACTCCAAAAGCTTGGAAAAGAGTTCCTCCAAAGGTTTTGGACATTGATTTTAACCCTAACGCCAAAAACCTAAAACCTTACCCTAGCCCCATAACCTAATACCCGGGGATTACCTTCAGGAAGCCCGAACACCCCAAATATTTTTTTTTCATTTTTCATTTTTTTTTGGTCTAACTAACTCCAAAAGCTTGGAAAAGAGTTCCTACAAAGGTTTTGGACAGTGATTTTAACCCTAACGCCAAAAACCTTAAACCTTTCCAAAGCCCCATAACCTAATACCCGGGTATTACCTTCAGGAAGCCCGAAAACCCCAAATATTTTTTTTTTCATTTTTCATTTTTTTTTGGTCTAACTAACTCCAAAAGGTTGGAAAAGAGTTCCTACAAAGGTTTTGGACAATAATTTTAACCCTAATGCCAAAAAACTGAACCCTTACCATAGCCCCATAACCTAATACCCGGGTATTACCTTCAGGAAGCCCGAACACCCCAAATATTTTTATTTCATTTTTCATTTTTTTTGGTCTAACTAACTCCAAAAGGTATGAAAAGAGTTCCTACAAAGGTTTTGGACAGTGGTTTTAACCCTAACGCCAAAAACCTTAAACCTTACCATAGTCCCATAACCTAATAGGTCCTTCAGGAAGCCCGAACACCCCAAATATATTTTTTTCATTTTACATTTTTTTTTGGTTTAACCAACTGCAAAAGGTCTGAAACATGTTCCTAAAAAGGTTTTGGACAGTGATTTTAACCCTAATCCAAAAACCTTAACCCTTACCATAGCCCCATAACCTAATACCGGGGTATTACCTTCAGGAAGCCCGAACACCCCAAATATTTTTTTTTCATTTTACATTTTTTTTGGTCTAACTGACTCCAAAAGGTTGGAAAAGAGTTCCTACAAAGGTTTTGGACAGTGATTTTAACCCTAACACCAAAAACCTTAAACCTTACCTTAGCCCCATAACCTAATACCCGGGTATTACCTTCAGGAAGCCCGAACACCCCAAATATTTTTTTTTCATTTTACATTTTTATTTTGGTGTACAAACTCCAAAAGGTCTGAAACATGTTCCTAAAAATGTTTTGGACAGTGATTTTAACCCTAATGCCAAAAACCTCAAACCTTACCCTAGCCCCAAAACCTAATACCGGGTATTACCTTCAGGAAGCCTGAACACCCCAAATATTTTTTATTTCATTTTTCTTTTTTTTGGTCTAACTGACTCCAAAAGGTTGGAAAAGAGTTCCTACAAAGGTTTTGGACAGTGATTTTAACCCTAACGCCAAAAACCTTAAACCTTACCATAGCCCCATAACCTAATACCCGGGTATTACCTTCAGGAAGCCCGAACACCCCAAATATTTTCTTTTCATTTTTCATTCTTTTTTGGTCTAACTCCAAAAGGTTGGAAAAGAGTTCCTACAAAGGTTTTGGACAGTGATTTTAACCCTAATGCCAAAAACCTCAAACCTTACCCTAGCCCCATAACCTAATACCCGGGTATTACCTTCAGGAAGCCTGAACACCCCAAATATTTTTTATTTCATTTTTCATTTTTTTTTGGTCTAACTAACTCCGAACTGTTGGAAAAGAGTTCCTACAAAGGTTTTGGACAGTGATTTTAACCCTAATGCAAAAAACCTAAAACTTTCCAAAGCCCCATAACCTAATACCCGGGTATTACCTTCAGGAAGCCCGAACACCCCAAATATTTTTTTTTTCATTTTTCATTTTTTTTTGGTCTAACTAACTCCAAAAGCTTGGAAAAGAGTTCCTACAAAGGTTTTGGACAGTGATTTTAACCCTAAAGCCAAAAACCTTAAACCTTTCCTAAGCCCCATAACCTAATACCCGGGTATTACCTTCAGGAAGCCCGAACACCCCAAATATTTTTTTTTCATTTTACTTTTTTTTTTTGGTTTAACCAACTGCAAAAGGTCTGAAACATGTTCCTAAAAAAGGTTTTGGACAGTGATTTTAACCCTAACGCCAAAAACCTCAAACCTTACCATAGCCCCATAACCTAATACCCGGGTATTACCTTCAGGAAGCCCGAACACCCCAAATATTTTTTTTTCATTTTACATTTTTTTTAGTGTAACAACTCCAAAAGCTTGGAAAAGAGTTCCTACAAAGGTTTTGGACAGTGATTTTAACCCTAACGCCAAAAACCTTAAACCTTACCATAGCCCCATAACCTAATACCCGGGTATTACCTTCAGGAAGCCCGAACACCCCAAATATATATTTTTTTTTTCATTTTTTTTTGGTCTAACTAACTCCAAAAGCTTGGAAAAGAGTTCTTACAAAGGTTTTGGACAGTGATTTTAACCCTAATGCCAAAAACCCTAAAACTTTCAAAAGCCCCATAACCTAATACCCGGGTATTACCTTCAGGAAGCCCAAAAACCACAAATATTTTTTTTTATTTTTCATGTTTTTTTGGTCTAACTAACTCCAAAAGCTTGGAAAAGAGTTCCTCCAAAGGTTTTGGACATTGATTTTAACCCTAACGCCAAAAACCTAAAACCTTACCCTAGCCCCATAACCTAATACCTGGGTATTACCTTCAGGAAGCCCGAACACCCCAAATATATTTTTTTTCATTTTTCTTTTTTTTTTTTGGTCTAACTAACTCCAAAAGCTTGGAAAAGAGTTCCTACAAAGGTTTTGGACAGTGATTTTATCCCTAACGCCAAAAACCTTAAACCTTTCCAAAGCCCCAGAAACTGATTCCCGGGTATTGCCTTCAGGAAGCCCGAAAACCCCAAATATTTTTTTTTCATTTTTCTTTTTTTTTTTGGTCTAACTAACTCCAAAAGGTTGGAAAAGAGTTCCTACAAAGGTTTTGGACAATAATTTTAACCCTAATGCCAAAAAACTGAACCCTTACCATAGCCCCATAACCTAATACCTGAAGACCCCAAATATTTTTTTTTCATTTTAGATTTTTTTTTGGTGTAACCAACTCCAAAAGGTCTGAAACATGTTCATAAAAAGGTTTTGGACAGTTATTTTAACCCTAACGCCAAAAACCTTAAACCTTACCATAGCCCCATAACCTGATACCCGGGTATTACCTTCAGGAAGCCCGAACACCCCAAATATTTTTTATTTCATTTTTCATTTTTTTTGGTCTAACTGACTCCAAAAGTTTGGAAAAGAGTTCCTACAAAGGTTTTGGACAGTGATTTTAACCCTAATGCCAAAAACCTAAAACCTTACCCTAGCCCCATAACCTAATACCCGGGTATTACCTTCAGGAAGCCTGAACACCCCAAATATTTTTTATTTCATTTTTCATTTTTTTTGGTCTAACTGACTCCAAAAGGTTGGAAAAGAGTTCCTACAAAGGTTTTGGACAGTGATTTTAACCCTAACGCCAAAAACCTTAAACCTTACCATAGCCCCATAACCTGATACCCGGGTATTACCTTCAGGAAGCCCGAAAACCCCAAATATTTTTTTTTCATTTTTCATTTTTTTTTGGTCTAACTGACTCCAAAAGGTTGGAAAAGAGTTCCTACAAAGGTTTTGGACAGTGATTTTAACCCTAATGCCAAAAACCTCAAACCTTACCCTAGCCCCATAACCTAATACCCGGGTATTACCTTCAGGAAGCCCGAACACCCCAAATATTTTTTATTTCATTTTTCATTTTTTTTTGGTCTAACTAACTCCGAACTGTTGGAAAAGAGTTCCTACAATGGTTTCGGATAGTGATTTTAACCCTAATGCAAAAAACCTAAAACTTTCCAAAGCCCCATAACCTAATACCTGGGTATTACCTTCAGGAAGCCCGAACAACCCAAATATTTTTTTTTTCATTTTTCATTTTTTTTTGGTCTAACTAACGCCAAAAGGTTGGAAACGAGTTTCTACAAAGGTTTTGGACAGTGATTTTAACCCTAAAGCCAAAAACCTTTAACCTTACCATAGCCCCATAACCTAATACCCGGGTATTACCTTCAGGAAGCCCGAACACCCCAAATATTTTTTTTTCATTTTACTTTTTTTTTTTGGTTTAACCAACTGCAAAAGGTCTGAAACATGTTCCTAAAAAAGGTTTTGGACAGTGATTTTAACCCTTACGCCTAAACCTCAAACCTTACCCTAGCCCAAAAACCTAATACCCGGGTATTACCTTCAGGAAGCCCGAAAACCCCAAATATTTTTTTTTCATTTTTCTTTTTTTTTTGGTCTAACTAACTCCAAAAGGTTGGAAAAGAGTTCCTACAAAGGTTTTGGACAGTGATTTTAACCCTAATGCCAAAAACCTTAAACCTTACCATAGCCCCATAACCTAATACCCGGGTATTACCTTCAGGAAGCCCGAACACCCCAAATATTTTTTTTTCATTTTTCATTTTTTTTTGGTCTAACTAACTCCAAAAGGTCTGAAACATGTTCCTAAAAAGGTTTTGGAAAGTTAGTTTAACCCTATCGCCAAAAACCTTAAACCTTACCATAGCCCCATAACCTAATACCCGGGTATTACCTTCAGGAAGCCTGAACACCCCAAATATTTTTTTTTCATTTTTCTTTTTTTTTTTGGTCTAATTGACTCCAAAAGGTTGGAAAAGAGTTCCTACAAAGGTTTTGGACAGTGATTTTAACCCTAACGCCAAAAACCTTAAACTTTACCTAAGCCCCATAACCTAATACCCGGGTATTACCTTCAGGAAGCCCGAACACCCCAAATATTTTTTTTTAATTTTTCATTTTTTTTTTGGTCTAACTAACTCCAAAAGGTTGGAAAAGAGTTCCTACAAAGGTTTTGGACAGGGATTTTAACCCTTACGCCAAAAACCTTAAACCTTACCCTAGCCCCAAAACCTAATACCCGGGGATGACCTTCAGGAAGCCCGAACACCCCAAATATTTTTATTTCATTTTTCATTTTTTTTGGTCTAACTAACTCCAAAAGGTATGAAAAGAGTTCCTACAAAGGTTTTGGACAGTGGTTTTAACCCTTACGCCAAAAACCTTAAACCTTACCATAGTCCCATAACCTAATAGGTCCTTCAGGAAGCCCGAACACCCCAAATATTTTTTTTTTCATTTTACATTTTTTTTTGGTTTAACCAACTGCAAAAGGTCTGAAACATGTTCCTAAAAAGGTTTTGGACAGTGATTTTAACCCTAATCCAAAAACCTTAACCCTTACCATAGCCCCATAACCTAATACCGGGGTATTACCTTCAGGAAGCCCGAACACCCCAAATATTTTTTTTTCATTTTACATTTTTTTTTTGGTGTAACTGACTCCAAAAGGTTGGAAAAGAGTTCCTACAAAGGCCTTGGACAGTGATTTTAACCCTCACACCAAAAACCTTAAACCTTACCTTAGCCCCAAAACCTAATACCCGGGTATTACCTTCAGGAAGCCCGAACACCCCAAATATTTTTTTTTCATTTTACTTTTTTTTTTTGGTGTACAAACTCCAAAAGGTCTGAAAGGTGTTCCTAAAAAGGTTTTGGACAGTGATTTTAACCCTAATGCCAAAAACCTCAAACCTTACCCTAGCACCAAAACCTAATACCCGGGTATTACCTTCAGGAAGCCCGAACACCCCAAATATCTTTTTTTCTTTTTTCTTTTTTCTTTTTTCTTTGGTCTACCTAACTCCAAAAGTGTTACGGCCACCGCCTTAGAGTGGCGAGTCTTGGGTCTTCCTCTCTCTCTCTCTCTGTGTGTGTGTGTGTGTGCGGGTGTGAGAGTGCCTGTGTGTGCATGCTGCCTGCAGTTCACAGGTTGCCGTGGCTGCGGATCAATTAAGTGCCTGATCACCTCCACCTGGAAACTGACTGCAAACACTGACTGGCTGAGGGCTTCTGCCAATTGAGAGGAGCCACTTGGGGGGAGTGGATAAAACTCCAGCGGACCTGCAGATCAGGGAGCACGCTGTAACCAGTGGAGCTCCCATGCCTCTTCCTCAGACTGATTGTCTTAGTAATTGTGAATAAGGACTTTTTCATTGCTTGTGAGGCATTTTGGTTTGCACACGCCTACCTGCTTTCTTTTGTATCCAGCATTAGGGCTGAGAGTTGTGTTTTAGTTTGTTTCTTGCCGATTGTGAGCAGATCTGTTTATTTTACTGGTAACTAACTCTAGGTTAGAGTCTCCCTGTGTTTTTGGCAACCTGTTAAGTTTCCTTTAAGGCCTTTGTTGCCTCTCTTTTTGTTGTTACTGCCAATTTTACTTTTGTTAATAAATAACTTGATTTGATCATTTAACATCTGGTCGGTTTTATGTTGCTTCCCTTCTCCCTTAAACGAGCTGGTCGTAACATAAATGGGGGCTCGTCCGGGATCCTAATCCGTTAAAGGAGACCCGGAAATCCGAAAAGTTATTGTTACTAAAGGTAAGATTATTGTGTGTGTGCTTAGGTAGGTAAAATGGCATCTTTCAATCTTGACAGCTTCTTGTTAAATCCGACACTTGACCAAATTAATAAGTGCAGAAAGGATAATTTGGTCGAGATAGCTGTGCACTTCAATGTCCTGTTTGCCAAATCAATCCTGAAAAAAGAATTAAAATCTCTAGTCATAGGTAAGTTGGTGGAATTAGGTGTAATTGTTTTGCCGGTGCTCCCTGAGTCACCTGTGTGTGCACCTGGCTCTGAGACTGCGGCTGATTACACTGCACAAAGGGAGTTCAGTAAAGTGTCTGCTCAGCCCAAAACTCCCTTTACCTTGCCTCGCTATGATCCTCCTTTCTCAGGCAGCACTGATTCTCTGGGTGAGGCCAGACTGAAAGTCAGGCTGGCACGAATCCAGATGGAGGCTCAGGAGAGAGCCGAGAACCGGCAAGCAAAGCTGAGGCTTGAGATCCGTAAAATGGAGATCGAGGCTGATAAAGCAGTCCGACTACGTCAGCTGGAGCTAGAAGCTCAGCTGAAAGCAACCCCGGCACTGGATGCATCTGCAGATGCAATAATGTCACCTCCTTCCACCAGCTCTACCCGAGAGTCCTTTGACATTGGTAAGCATATTTCTCTTGTTCCACCATTCAGAGACTCTGAAGTTGACAGTTATTTTCCGGCATTTGAGCGCATTGCGACTGCACTTCAGTGGCCTTATGAAGAGTGGCCACTACTTCTCCAATGTAAGATCCATGGTAAAGCACAAGAAGCTGTAGCTGCTCTACCTTTAGCGGAGAGCCTGAACTATGAAAAGGTAAAGATGTCTATTTAACGTGCCTATGAATTAGTCCCTGAAGCTTACAGGCAAAAATTTCGGAACCACACAAGGGGCCCTGAACAGACGTATGTGGAGTTCGCAAGGGAAAAGGGAACTCTTTTTGATAAATGGTGTAACGCTAGTAAAACTGCTGATTTCAGTTCACTCCGTGAACTAATTCTTCTGGAAGAATTTAAGAAATGTCTACCAGAGCGCATTGTTGTGTACCTAAATGAACAGAAAGTTTCATCTCTCTCTGCAGCCTCTGTACTGGCTGATGAATTTGTGCTAACCCACAAACCTGTGTTTTTGTCTACTTATGAAAAGCCTCGTGCTCCGGCACCACAGAGAGGACAAGCCAGAGTGTTCCACAGAAGGGATGAAAGAAGCTGTAACTATTGTCATGAATCTGGACACCTCATTGCAAACTGTCCCTCCTTAAACAGGAAAAAACAGAATGGCAACGGATCGCCCCCTAAAGGCGTTGGGCTCATTAAATCTGAGAAACGTGTAGTATCTAATGCTGTTTCTTCTGTTTGCCCAGATCCATGTTTTGAGCCGTTCATATTCGACGGGTATGTATCTCTGACAGGTAAGACTGCTGATCAGTGCCCAGTACGCATTTTGAGGGACACCGGTGGCTCTCAATCTGTTATACTGGCTAGTGCATTGCCATTTTCTGAAAAGTCTTTTTGTGGTTATACTGTTGCCTTGCAAGGTATTGAGATGGGTTATGTCCCACAACCGGTGCATACAGTCCACATTAAGTCCCGGTTGATAAGTGGTGTTTTTCCTGTGGCTGTTTGTCCCGCTCTGCCTATAAAAGGAGTAGTTCTACTTATGTGCAACGACATCGCTGGTGGCCAGGTAACCCCTGCACTAGAAGTGTCTGACTCTCCGCAGAGCCCTGATATAGAAAATGAAACAGAAACTGCTCAGAAACCGTTTCCATCTTGTGCTGTAACTCGTGCGCAATCTCGTAAACTGGATGAATTCTCACTGTCGGATTCTGTGCTAATGTCTGCTTTTTCAGATGTGGAAGTTGTGAAGGAGAAAGCTCTCACATCTCTGCGGTCAGAAAGTGCCGAGCCCGTGCGTTCTGCGAATCTGAGTTCGGCGCCGTCGGACAGTCCGACGCTGCCGGTGGGCAGTGAACGTCTCGCCGCTGCGCAGAGGGCTGACCCGACTCTGGCACGTTGCTTCAAAAGTGTGGTGAGTGCCGACAAAGCAAGTGGTGAAACAGTATCTTACCTAATGAATAAAGACATCCTGGTGCGTAAATGGACTCTTGCAGTGTCTGATTGCGAATATAGTGCTTTACAAGTTGTAGTGCCTTTTGTATACCGGCAGCATGTATTGTCAGTTGCCCACGAGAGCAAATGGTCAGGTCATTTGGGGGTGAATAAGACCTACAACCTCATCCTCAAGCATTTCTTCTGGCCTGGGTTAAAATCTGATGTAGCCAAATTCTGTCGCTCTTGTCATGTGTGTCAACTAGCGGGTAAACCAAACCAAACCATCCCACCTGCTCCACTCCATCCTTTTCCTACCATAGGTGAGCCCTTTGAGCGTGTAATCTTAGACTGTGTAGGCCCATTGCCCCGCTCTAAAACAGGTAATCAGTACCTACTCACCATTATGTGTGCTGCCACCCGCTATCCGGAAGCCGTCCCGCTGCGTAAAATTACGTCCAGCTCTGTTGTCAAAGCCCTGACAAAGTTTTTCTCCACGTTTGGCCTCCCTCGTGTTATCCAGACCGATCAAGGTACAAACTTCCAGTCTCGGTTGTTCAGACAAGTCCTTAAAACGCTCAATGTCCAACACTCCGTGTCCAGCGCGTATCATCCTGAATCCCAGGGAGCGTTAGAACGTTGGCATCAGACATTAAAATCCATGCTGCGTAAATACTCCCTCGAGACAGGTAAAAGTTGGGATGAAGGGGTTCCTTTCGTGTTGTTCGCCGCTCGTGACGCTGTCCAGGAATCCTTAGGTTTGAGCCCCGCAGAGCTCGTATTTGGCCACACACTCCGCGGTCCGCTTAAATCTCTGCAAGAAAAATTCCTGTCCTCTGAAGTCTCACGTGAAGAGAACGTACTTGATTTTGTGAGTAAATTCCGCGAGCGTTTACACCGTGCAAACTCGCTCGCTAAAGAGTGTCTTTTGTCCTCCCAGGCTGTGATGAAGCGTCGTTATGACCGATCTGCCGGCCCCCCGCCGATTTGATGTTGGTGACAAAGTGCTGGCCTTTCTGCCGATCCCTGGTTCTTCTCTCTCTGCTAAATTTACCGGTCCCTATGAGGTCCGTGAATGCCTCAGTGACCTCAACTATGTTATTGCTACCCCGGAGAGAAGGCGTAAAAGTCGTGTTTGTCACATAAACATGCTCAAACCTTACTTCACACGTGAACCGAACCCAGCTGTCACTCCACCAGTGGTTCCCCCAAAAGCTAATACTATCGCTGTCAATGCGCTGATTGTCACTGAGTCTCCTACCATTGCTGATGAGGATGATTTACAGACGTGTACCTCATCGCATCAAACAGCGCGACTGCTGAATTCGGAGTCACTGAAAACATTATCGTCCCAGCTAAGTCATTTGACCCGCGCGCAACAAAGTGACCTAATTGCTTTGATCGATAATTTTAAGTGTCTTTTCGGCGACGTTCCAACTCGCACTACTGTTCTGCAACATGACATAGATGTCAACGGAGCAAAGCCCATCCGACAGCATCCGTACAGACTCAACCCCGTGAAGCGCCAGCTCATGAAAAAAGAAACAGATTATTTGTTAAAACACGGTTTAGCTGTGCCAAGCTCCAGCGCTTGGAGCTCTCCATGTTTGTTGGAGAAAAAATCAGACGGTACCCCTCGTTTTATCACAGATCTGCGAAAGGTAAATTCAGTAACTGTCAAAGACTCGTTCCTCTTCCTAGAATGGAAGATTGTGTCGACACGCTTGGCAGCGCTAAGTACGTCAGCAAGCTGGACCTATTGAAAGGATACTGGCAAGTCCCGTTAACGGAGCGCGCATCTGAGATCTCCGCGTTTGTGACTCCTGACTGTTTCTTGCAGTACACCGTCATGGCGTTTGGCATGTGTAACGCCCCGGCCACCTTCCAGCGGCTCGTTAATACCGTCTTGGCCGGGCTGCCAAACTGTAACGCGTACTTGGATGACTTAATTGTTTACACAGTGACGTGGCAGGAGCACCTCCGCATCCTCGAACAGGTGTTCACTCGTCTTGCGCACGCGACCCTAACGCTAAATCTCGCCAAGTGTGATTTCGGTAAGGCCACCGTCACCTATTTAGGACGACAGGTTGGGCAGGGTCAAGTTAAGCCTCTCGACGCCAAGGTAACTGCCATAGCAGAGTTTCCGGTCCCAACCACCCGCAAGGCGCTCCGTCGTTTTCTGGGCATGGCGGGCTACTACCGTAGCTTCTGCCGCAACTTCTCCTCCGTTGTTCAGCCGTTGACTTCTCTAACTAGTCCCAAAGTCGACTTTGATTGGTCCCCTGCCTGTCAGCATGCGTTTGACAGCGCAAAGTCCCTCCTTAGCCACGCCCCTGTCCTTGCAGCTCCTGACTTCTCCCAGCCGTTCAAACTTGAGGTAGATGCCTCTGCAGTAGGTGTCGGGGCTGTCCTGTTGCAGGAGGATAGTGATGGAGTTGACCACCCAGTAGGATATTTTTCCCGCAAATTTAACAAGCATCAGGTGAACTACTCAATCATAGAAAAAGAAACCCTTGCTTTGTTATGGTCACTTCAACACTTTGAAGTATACGTAGGTTCCAGTCCTCTGCCAGTGGTGGTCTTCACTGACCACAACCCACTCGTCTTTCTGCATCGTATGTATAACCACAACCAAAGGCTTATGCGGTGGGCACTGGTCATGCAGGATTACAATGTGGAGATCCAGCACAAAAAGGGGTCCGACAATGTGGTAGCAGATGCGTTGTCCAGAATGTAATGTTGACTGTGTGGTTTTTTTTTTTTTGCTCATGACAAACCTCCTTAGGAGGGTTTGCCTCTTAAGGGGAGGGGTGTTACGGCCGCCGCCTTAGAGTGGCGAGTCTTGGGTCTTCCTCTCTCTCTCTGTGTGTGTGTGTGTGTGTGCGGGTGTGAGAGTGCCTGTGTGTGCATGCTGCCTGCAGTTCACAGGTTGCCGTGGCTGCGGATCAATTAAGTGCCTGATCACCTCCACCTGGAAACTGCAAACACTGACTGGCTGAGGGCTTCTGCCAATTGAGAGGAGCCACTTGGGGGGAGTGGATAAAACTCCAGCGGACCTGCAGATCAGGGAGCACGCTGTAACCAGTGGAGCTCCCATGCCTCTTCCTCAGACTGATTGTCTTAGTAATTGTGAATAAGGACTTTTTCATAGCTTGTGAGGCATTTTGGTTTGCACACGCCTACCTGCTTTCTTTTGTATCCAGCATTAGGGCTGAGAGTTGTGTTTTAGTTTGTTTCTTGCCGATTGTGAGCAGATCTGTTTATTTTACTGGTAACTAACTCTAGGTTAGAGTCTCCCTGTGTTTTTGGCAACCTGTTAAGTTTCCTTTAAGGCCTTTGTTGCCTCTCTTTTTGTTGTTACTGCCAATTTTACTTTTGTTAATAAATAACTTGATTTGATCATTTAACATCTGGTCGGTTTTATGTTGCTTCCCTTCTCCCTTAAACGAGCTGGTCGTAACAAAAAGGTTGGAAAAGAGTTCCTACAAAGGTTTTGGACAGTTATTTTCACCCTAACGTCAAAAACCTTAAACCTTACCATAGCCCCATAACCTAATACCCGGTTATTACCTTCAGGAAGCCCGAACACCCCAAATATTTTTTTTTCATTTTACATTTTTTTGTGTGTAACCAACTCCAAAAGGTCTGAAACATGTTCCTAAAAAGGTTTTGGACAGTTAGTTTAACCCTATCGCCAAAAACCTTAAACCTTACCATAGCCCCTTAACCTAATATTACGGTATTACCTCCAGGAAGCCTGAAAACCCCAAATATTTTTTTTTTCATTTTTCTTTTTTTTTGGTCGAACTGACTCCAAAAGGTTGGAAAAGAGTTCCTACAAAGGTTTTGGACAGTGATTTTAACCCTAACGCCAAAAACCTTAAACCTTACCATAGCCCCATAACCTGATACCCGGGTATTACCTTCAGGAAGCCTGAACACCCCAAATATTTTTTTTTAATTTTACATTTTTTTTTTGGTGTACAAACTCCAAAAGGTCTGAAACGTGTTCCTAAAAAGGTATTGGACAGTGATTTTAACCCTAATGCCAAAAACCTCAAACCTTACCCTAGCCCCAAAACCTAATGCCTGGGTATTACCTTCAGGAAGCCCGAACACCCCAAATTTTTTTTTTTCATTTTTCTTTTTTTTTTGGTCTAACGAACTCCATAAGGTTGGAAAAGAGTTCCTACAAAGGTTTTGGAAAGTTATTTTCACCCTAACGTCAAAAACCTTAAACCTTACCATAGCCCCATAACCTAATACCCGGGTATTACCTTCAGGAAGTCCGAACACCCCAAATATTTTTTTTTCATTTTTCTTGTTTTTTTGGTCTAACGAACTCCATAAGGTTGGAAAAGAGTTCCTACAAAGGTTTTGGACAGATATTTTCACCCTTACGTCAAAAACCTTAAACCTTACCATAGCCCCATAACCTAATACCCGGGTATTACCTTCAGGAAGCCTGAACACCCCAAATATTTTTTTTTCATTTTACATTTTTTTTTGGTGTAACCAACTCCAAAAGGTCTGAAACATGTTCCTAAAAAGGTTTTGGACAGTTATTTTAACCCTATCACCAAAAACCTTAAACCTTTCCTAAGCCCCATAACCTAATACCCGGGTATTACCTCCAGGAAGCCTGAAAACCGCAAATATATTTTTTTCTTTTTTCTTTTTTTTTGGTCTAACTGACTCAAAAAGGTTGGAAAAGAGTTCCTACAAAGGTTTTGGACAGTGATTTTAACCCTAACGCCAAAAACCTTAAACCTTTCCTAAGCCCCATAACCTAATACCCGGGTACTACCTTCAGGAAGCCCGAACACCCCAAATACATTTTTTTTATTTTTTTTTGGTCATACTGACTCCAAAAGGTTGGAAAAGAGTTCCTACAAAGGTTTTTGACAGTGATTTTAACCCTCACGCCAAAAACCTTAAACCTTACCTTAGCCCCAAAACCTAATACCCGGGTATTACCTTCAGGATGCCCGAACACCCCAAATATATATTTTTTCATTTTTCATGTTTTTTTGGTCTAACTAACTCCAAAAGCTTGGAAAAGAGTTCCTACAAAGGTTTTGGACATTGATTTTAACCCTAACGCCAAAAACCTAAAACCTTACCCTAGCCCCATAACCTAATACCTGGGTATTACCTTCAGGAAGCCCGAACACCCCAAATATTTTTTCATTTTTCTTTTTTTTTTGGTGTAACTAACTCCAAAAGCTTGGAAAAGAGTTCCTACAAAGGTTTTGGACAGTGATTTTAACCCTAACGCCAAAAACCTTAAACCTTTCCAAAGCCCCAGAAACTGATTCCCGGGTATTGCCATCAGGAAGCCCGAAAACCCCAAATATTTTTTTTTCATTTTTCTTTTTTTTGGTCTAACTAACTCCAAAAGGTTGGAAAAGAGTTCCTCCAAAGGTTTTGGACAGTGATTTTAACCCTAACGCCAAAAACCTTAAACCTTACCATAGCCCCATAACCTGATACCCGGGTATTACCTTCAGGAAGCCCGAAAACCCCAAATATTTTCTTTTCATTTTTCATTCTTTTTGGTCTAACTGACCATTCAAAGTTGTACAAATCATGACGCTGAACCCCACGTTTTACGTTCTAGGGGGCGCCAAAGATAACCCAAAAATCCATATGATTACAAATTGTTTTGGCCACTGAGTGGCGCCAAAGGGAGTTGTCTATTAACAGCAGACAAAGTAGTTATGGCCACTGAGTGGCGCCAAAGGAGTTGTCTATTAAATCTGATACTACAGAAAAATTTAAAAGGCTCTTAAAGGGTTAAAAAAATATCTTTAATGAAACATTTGCTAGTTTTGAACAGGGCAGAAGTAAAATAAGAGATGTACAAAAAAAAATCTGGAAAAAATATTAATCCAATTTGATTTTACAGCAGACAAAGAAGTTTTGGCCACTCATCCAAGTTTTCTAGGATGATGCAATGTTCAGCCATCAAAACATTTGTGAAGTAATTTTTTTCTCACCAAAAGAGCGCCCCCCCAAGGCAGGAGAAAAAGTCAAGTTTTTCCTGCCCATCGCTCAATGGCTCAAACACACCGCTCTCTCTGCAAAACCGAAAGGAGGAGCAACTTGCCATTTGGATATATACTAGCTGTGTTTGTGCCCTCACTCATGGTCCAGACTTTTTTCATATAGGTCATGAAGTTTGTCTGCAGCAAGTGTTTTGGTAGAAACTGCGCCTCCCATTCATTATAATGGTAAATGACCACAGACAAGTGCGCACACCATCTTTGGATCTTGATATATTTTTGCAATCCAAATATTTTTTATTTCATTTTTAATTTTTTTTTGGTCTAACTAACTCAAAAGCTTGGAAAAGAGTTCCTACAAAGGTTTTGGACAGTGATTTTAACCCTAACGCCAAAAACCTTAAACCTTTCCAAAGCCCCAGAAACTGATTCCCGGGTATTGCCTTCAGGAAGCCCGAAAACCCAAAATATATTTTTTTCATTTTTCTTTTTTTTTGGTCTAACTAACTCCAAAAGGTTGGAAAAGAGTTCCTACAAAGGTTTTGGACAGTGATTTTAACCCTAATGCCAAAAACCTCAAACCTTACCCTAGCCCCAAAACCTAATACCCGGGTATTACCTTCAGGAAGCCCGAACACCCCAAATATTTTTTTTTCTTTTTTCTTTTTTTTTTTGGTCTACCTAACTCCAAAAGGTTGGAAAAGAGTTCCTACAAAGGTTTTTGGACAGTGATTTTAACCCTAACGCCAAAAACCTTAAACCTTTCCAAAGCCCCATAACCTAATGCCCGGGTATTACCTCCAGGAAGCCTGAAAACCCCAAATATTTTTTTTTTTCATTTTTCTTTTTTTTGGTCTAACTGACTCCAAAAGGTTGGAAAAGAGTTCCTACAAAGGTTTTGGACAGTGATTTTAACCTTAACGCCAAAAACCTTAAACCTTTCCTAAGCCCCATAACCTAATACCGGGTATTACCTTCAGGAAGCCTGAACACCCCAAATATTTTTTATTTCATTTTTCATTTTTTTTGTCTAACTGACTCCAAAAGGTTGGAAAAGAGTTCCTACAAAGGTTTTGGACAGTGATTTTAACCCTAACGCCAAAAACCTTAAACCTTACCATAGCCCCATAACCTGATACCCGGGTATTACCTTCAGGAAGCCCGAAAACCCCAAATATTTTCTTTTCATTTTTCATTCTTTTTTGGTCTAACTCCAAAAGGTTGGAAAAGAGTTCCTACAAAGGTTTTGGACAGTGATTTTAACCCTAATGCCAAAAACCTCAAACCTTACCCTAGCCCCATAACCTAATACCCGGGTATTACCTTCAGGAAGCCCGAACACCCCAAATTTTTTTTTTTCATTTGTCTTTTTTTTTTTGGTCTCACGAACTCCATAAGGTTGGAAAAGAGTTCCTACAAAGGTTTTTGACAGTGATTTTAACCCTAACGTCAAAAACCTTAAACCTTACCATAGCCCCATAACCTAATACCCCGGTATTACCTTCAGGAAGCCCGAAAACCCCAAATATTTTTCTTTCTTTTTTCTTTTTTTTTTGGTCTACCTAACTCCAAAAGGTTGGAAAAGAGTTCCTACAAAGGTTTTGGACAGTGATTTTAACCCTAATGCCAAAAACCTTAAACCTTTCCTAAGCCCCATAACCTAATACCCGGGTATTACCTTCAGGAAGCCCGAACACCCCAAATACATTTTTTTTATTTTTTTTATTTATTTTTTGGTCATACTGACTCCAAAAGGTTGGAAAAGAGTTCCTACAAAGGTTTTTGACAGTGATTTTAACCCTCACGCCAAAAACCTTAAACCTTACCTTAGCCCCAAAACCTAATACCTTCAGGATGCCCGAACACCCCAAATATATTTTTTTTTCATTTTTCCTTTTTTTTTGGTCTACGTAACTCCAAAAGGTTGGAAAAGAGTTTCTACAAAGGTTTTGGACAGTGGTTTTAACCCTAACGCCAAAAACCTTAAACCTTACCATAGTCCCATAACCTAATAGGTCCTTCAGGAAGCCCGAAAACCCCAAATATATTTTTTTCATTTTACATTTTTTTTTGGTTTAACCAACTGCAAAAGGTCTGAAACATGTTCCTAAAAAGGTTTTGGACAGTGATTTTAACCCTAATCCAAAAACCTTAACCCTTACCATAGCCCCATAACCTAATACCGGGGTATTACCTTCAGGAAGCCCGAACACCCCAAATATTTTTTTTTCATTTTACATTTTTTTTGGTGTAACTGACTCCAAAAGCTTGGAAAAGAGTTCCTCCAAAGGTTTTGGACATTGATTTTAACCCTGACGCCAAAAACCTCAAACCTTACCCTAGCCCAAAAACCTGATACCCGGGTATTACCTTCAGGAAGCCCGAACACCCCAAATATTTCTTTTTCATTTTACATTTTTTTTTTGTTGTACAAACTCCAAAAGGTCTGAAAGGTGTTCCTAAAAAGGTTTTGGACAGTGATTTTAACCCTAATGCCAAAAACCTCAAACCTTACCCTAGCACCAAAACCTAATACCCGGGTATTACCTTCAGGAAGCCCGAACACCCCAAATATTTTTTTTTCTTTTTTCTTTTTTTTTTGGTCTACCTAACTCCAAAAGGTCGGAAAAGAGTTCCTACAAAGGTTTTGTACAGTTATTTTCACCCTAACGTCAAAAAACCTTAAACCTTACCATAGCCCCATAACCTAATACCCGGTTATTACCTTCAGGAAGCCCGAACACCCCAAATATTTTTTTTTCATTTTACTTTTTTTTTTTGGTTTAACCAACTGCAAAATGCCTGAAACATGTTCCTAAAAAGGTTTTGGACAGTGATTTTAACCCTAATGCCAAAAACCTCAAACCTTACCCTAGCCCCAAAACCTAATACCCGGGTATTACCTTCAGGAAGCCCGAAAACCCCAAATATTTTTTTTTCTTTTTTCTTTTCTTTTTGGTCTACCTAACTCCAAAAGGTTGGAAAAGAGTTCCTACAAAGGTTTTGGACAATAATTTTAACCCTAACGCCAAAAAACTGAACCCTTACCATAGCCCCATAACCTAATACCTTCAGGAAGCCCGAACACCCCAAATATTTTTTTTTCATTTTACATTTTTTTTGTGTGTAACCAACTCCAAAAGGTCTGAAACATGTTCCTAAAAAGGTTTTGGACAGTTAGTTTAACCCTAACGCCAAAAACCTTAAACCTTACCATAGCCCCTTAACCTAATATTAGGGTATTACCTCCAGGAAGCCTGAAAACCCCAAATATTTTTTTTTTTTTTTCTTTTTTTTTTTGGTCTACCTAACTCCAAAAGGTTGGAAAAGAGTTCCTACAAAGGTTTTGGACAGTGATTTTAACCCTAATGCCAAAAACCTCAAACCTTACCCTAGCCCCAAAACCTAATACCCGGTATTACCTTCAGGAAGCCCGAACACCCCAAATATATTTTTTTTCTTTTTTCTTTTCTTTTTGGTCTAACTGACTCCAAAAGGTTGGAAAAGAGTTCCTACAAAGGTTTTGGACAATAATTTTAACCCTAACGCCAAAAAACTGAACCCTTACCATAGCCCCATAACCTAATACCTTCAGGAAGCCCGAACACCCCAAATATATTTTTTTCATTTTACATTTTTTTTGTGTGTAACCAACTCCAAAAGGTCTGAAACATGTTCCTAAAAAGGTTTTGGACAGTTAGTTTAACCCTATCGCCAAAAACCTTAAACCTTACCATAGCCCCTTAACCTAATATTAGGGTATTACCTCCAGGAAGCCTGAAAACCCCAAATATTTTTTTTTCATTTTTCTTTTTTTTTGGTCGAACTGACTCCAAAAGGTTGGAAAAGAGTTCCTACAAAGGTTTTGGACAGTGATTTTAACCCTAACGCCAAAAACCTTAAACCTTTCCAAAGCCCCAGAAACTGATTCCCGGGTATTGCCTTCAGGCACCCCAAAACCCCAAATATTTTTTTTTCATTTTTCTTTTTTTTTTGGTCTAACTAACTCCAAAAGGTTGGAAAAGAGTTCCTACAAAGGTTTTGGACAGTGATTTTAACCCTAACGCCAAAAACCTTAAACCTTTCCTAAGCCCCATAACCTAATACCCGGGTATTACCTTCAGGAAGCCCGAACACCCCAAATACATTTTTTTTATTTTTTTTATTTTATTTTGGTCATACTGACTCCAAAAGGTTGGAAAAGAGTTCCTCCAAAGGTTTTGGACATTGATTTTAACCCTAACGCCAAAAACCTAAAACCTTACCCTAGCCCCATAACCTAATACCTGGATATTGCCTTCAGGAAGCCCGAAAACCCCAAATATTTTTTTTTCATTTTTCTTTTTTTTTTGGTCTAACTAACTCCAAAAGGTTGGAAAAGAGTTCCTACAAAGGTTTTGGACAATAATTTTAACCCTAATGCCAAAAAACTGAACCCTTACCATAGCCCCATAACCTAATACTAAGTATTACCTTCAGGAAGCCCGAACACCCCAAATATTTTTTTTTCATTTTACATTTTTTTTTGGTTTAACCAACTCCAAAGGGTCTGAAACATGTTCCTAAAAAGGTTTTGGAAAGTTAGTTTAACCCTATCGCCAAAAACCTTAAACCTTACCATAGCCCCATAACCTAATACCCGGGTATTACCTTCAGGAAGCCCGAAAACCACAAATATTTTTTTTAATTTTTCTCTTTTTTTTTGTCTAACTACCTCCAAAAGCTTGGAAAAGAGTTCCTCCAAAGGTTTTGGACATTGATATTAACCCTAACGCCAAAAACCTAAAACCTAACCCTAGCCCCATAACCTAATACCTGGGTATTACCTTCAGGAAGCCTGAAAACCCAAAATATTTTTTTTTCATTTTTCATTTTTTTTTGGTCTAACTAACTCCAAAAGGTTGGAAAAGAGTTCCTACAAAGGTTTTGGACAATAATTTTAACCCTAACGCCAAATAACTGAACCCTTACCATAGCCCCATAACCTAATACCTTCAGGAAGCCCGAACACCCCAAATATTTTTTTTTTCATTTTTTTTTTGGTGCAACCAACTCCAAAAGGTCTGAAACATGTTCCTAAAAAGGTTTTGGACAGTTAGTTTAACCCTATCGCCAAAAACCTTAAACCTTACCATAGCCCTATAACCTAATATTAGGGTATTACCTTCAGGAAGCCCAAACACCCCAAATATTTTTTTTTCTTTTTACATTTTTTTTTTGGTGTAACTGACTCCAAAAGGTTGGAAAAGAGTTCCTACGAAGGCTTTGGACAGTGATTTTAACCCTCACGCCAAAAACCTTAAACCTTACCTAAGCCCCATAACCTAATACCCGGGTATTACCTCCAGGAAGCCTGAAAACCCCAAATATTTTTTTTTTCATTTTTCTTTTTTTTTGGTCTAACTGACTCCAAAAGGTTGGAAAAGAGTTCCTACAAAGGTTTTGGACAGTGATTTTAACCCTATCGCCAAAAACCCTAAACCTTTCCTAAGCCCCATAACCTAATACCCGGGTATTACCTTCAGGAAGCCTGAACACCCCAAATACGTTTTTAGGGCCCGAGCGTAGCTGCTAAGCAGCTGCGAGAGCCCTATTATTCCCCAAGTGGTTTTTCTTTGTTTCTTTAGGGCCCGAGCGTAGCTGCTAAGCAGCTGCGAGAGCCCTCTTGTTCCTGATGGATTCTTCTTTTGTTATTATTATTATTTTTCCTCCGCTTTAAACTGGAAAATGGCCCACTTCCCACTGGCGAAAACTCATGAAATTTGGCAGGACGACCGGGCCTGGTGAAAAATTCGATATTCTGAAGTCGCCCAAACAATAAAATGCAAAATGGCTCCATCGCGCCCCCTAAGGGAAAATTCACACTATTGACTGTCACGCCTGTACGCTTTGTCATATTGACACAAAAATTGACACACACGTGTATCTCAATACGTTCTACGAAAAAGTCAGCGCGGGCGCATCTGTGAAATGTACAGTTAGAGGGTTATTTCGCATTTTTTGCCGATCTGCACACATTGGAATTTCGCTAACTCCTCCGAAGGCATTCGTTCCACCGGCACCACATTTGCTCAGGCCAATCTACACCCCATGGCCATTAAAAGTTGTACAAATCATGACGCTGCACCCCACAGTTTACGTTCTAGGGGGCGCCAAAGATAACCCAAAAATCCACAGTCTTAAAAGTCTTATAACTTTTTATTTTTGTCCTCACTGGCCTCCAAGTTCTCTAGGATGATGCAATGTCCAGCCATCAACACATTTGTGAAGGAATTTTTACTCCCCAAAAGAGCGCCCCCACATGGCAGGAGAAAAAAGTCAATTTTTTCTTGTCCCCTAAGGTGAAAATACACATTGTTGAGTGTCACGCCTATACGCTTTGTCATATTGACCCAAAATTTGACAATCACGTGTATCTCAATAAGATCTACGAAAAAGTCAATGGGCACGTATCTGTAAAATGTACGGTTAAAGGGCTATTTCGCATTTTTTGCAGATTCGCACACATTGGAATGTGGCTAACTCCTCCTAAGGCTTTCTTCCCACCGACACCAAATTTGCTCAAGCCGATCTACATCCCATGGCCATTCAAAGTTGTAAAAATCATGCCGCTGCACCCCATGGTTTACGTTCTAGGGGGCGCCAAAGATGACCCAAATATCCACATTCTTAAAAGTCGTTTTGGCCACTGCAGGAGTACAGAGTACTGCAGGATACACACACACAGACACACACACACACACACACACACACACACACACACACACACACACACACACACACACACACACACACACACACACACACACACACACACACTCAGAGTCTGTTTTTTAGCACCTGCAAAAACATGCTATTTACATATTTGACAACAATGCAGAGGCTCCTTTTGCCCCTGAAAAAAATCAAATTTCAAACACAACTTGACTGGTCATTTCTCCAAAAGACAACCATGAAGCTCCATCCAAACCTGAAGCAGGCAGTTGGTGCATGTGTACAGTTACCTGAGGGGAGTGAGGTGAGTGCTTCTGAGGAGAACATGAGCAGTGAAGATTCACCTTGGAGCGAGAACAGGGACGTGCACATGATTATACAGGGGCAGGGGCTCAAGTTTTTTCCAGTCGTTTATACAATATGGAAATTAATGTGAAATTAAAAAACAAAGTATTAATAGAAAGGTAATGACTGTCCTGTGTAGGTGACAGTGATATCCAATAGGCTAGGCACTCACGAGGCTGGCTGTGGCAAGTGTAAGTGAAAGCAACACGCACTGGCAGGAAGAACAGCAAACGCCGATGAAGGAAAAGGGTCTTTGCAGTGATGGGCGTTACCAGAGAGGACGATGGCCAGAGGACGCGAATGGGACGGGGAGGCAGCGCATTGGTGGGGGGGGGGGGGGGGGCGACACAGCTCGGGCCCGCCAGTGCCCCAACGGGGCCCTAGTTATTATTTTTCCTCCGCTTTAAACTGGAAAATGGCCCACTGCCCACTGGCGAAAACTCATGAAAATTGGCAGGACGACCGGGCCTGGTGAAAAATTCGATATTCTGAAGTCGCCCAAACAAGAAAATGCAAAATGGCTCAATAGCGCCCCCAAAGGTGAAAATTCACACTATTGACTGTCACGCCTATACGCTTTGTCATATTGACACAAAAATTGACACACACATGTATCTCAATAAGATCTACAAAAAAGTCAGTGCGGGCGTATCTGTCAAATGTACGGTTAAAGGGTTATTTCGCATTTTTTGCCGTTCCGCACACATTGGAATTTCGCTTACTCCTCCGAAGGCTTTCGTTCCACCGGCACTACATTTGCTCAGGCCAATCTACACCCCATGGCCATTGAAAGTTGTACAAATCATGACGCTGCACCCCACGGTTTACGTTCTAGGGGGCGCCAAAGATGACCCAAATATCCACATTTTTAAAAGTCTTATAACTTTTTATTTTTGTCCTCACTGGCCTCCAAGTTTTCTAGGATGATGCAATGTGCAGCCATCAACACATCTGTGAAGGAATTTTTTCTCCCCAAAAGAGCGCCCCCCCCCCCCATGGCAGGAGAAAAAGTCAAGTTTTTCCAGCCCATCGCTTAATGGCTCAAACGCATTGCTCTCCCGCTAAAACTAAAAGGAGGAGCAACTTGCCATTTGGATATGTCCTAGCTGTGTTTGTGCCCTCACTCATGGTCCAGAGTTTTTTCAAATAGGACATGTAGTTTGTCTGCAGCGAGCGTTTTGGTAGAAACTGTGCCTCCCATTCATTATAATGGGAAATGACCAAAGACAGGTGCGCACACCATCTTTGGACCTTGACTTTGACGTCACAGTTTGAGATACAAATGTTATTTGACCTCTGACCTTTGGTGGACACCCTAACCTTTCAACCCGCGAAAACGGCGTTTCAATAGCTCTTACGGCTTTTCTACAAATACACTTTGTTCAGCTACTCCTACTGTCCTTTAAGCTCTGCTTCTCAGATCATCAAAGAGTGTGCACGTGTGTAATGAGCGCATATTGAATGTTAATTATGTTAAATATGTTAATTATTAGAAGAAAAAACAACAACAGTCCTTTTGGACAAAATTTCTTTTTATTACAGAATTAGAATAATGGAAGCAAAGTCCAAGGAAACCATTCAAGTGATGTCATACCTCATAATTTATTGAGATGTTGGCTAGTCTGGGCATTTCTTCATTCATCAGGTTTCCTGCATGCATACTAACAGAGCACATCAGTAGCAGTGAGTGATAAGTATGAGTGTGTCATTGTGTAAGAAAGAAAGTGGTTTACTTACACATCCATAGAAAATAGGTGGTTGAGCACAGCACGCAAACAAAGCTTTGCCACAACGGTTGAACTTCCCAAGTAGCTGATACCAAGGTCACACAATCATGGTGAGCAAAGGTCAAACCAGGCCAGGCACTCACGAGGCTGGCTGTGGCAAGTGTAAGTGAAAGCAACACGCAATGGCAGGAAGAACAGCAAACACCGATGAAGGAAAAGGGTCTTTGCAGTGATGGGCGTCACCAGAGAGGGCGATGGCCAGAGGGCACGAATGGGACGGGGAGGCGGTCGCGCTGGGGGCGGCGCGACGCGGCTCGGGCCCGCCAGTGCCCCAACGGGGCCCTAGTTCTTTCTTTCTTTCTTCTTTTTCCTCCCCTTTGAACTGGAAAATGGCCCACTTCCCACTGGCGAAAACTCATGAAATTTGGCAGGATGACCGGGCCTGGTGAAAAATTTGATATTCCGAAGTCGCCCAAACAAGAAAATGCAAAATGGCTCCATAGCGCCCCCTAAGGTGAAAATTCACACTATTGACTGTCACGCCTTTACGCTTTGTCATATTGACACAAAAATTGACACACACATGTATCTCAATAAGATCTACAAAAAAGTCCGTGTGGGCGTATCTGTCAAATGTACGGTTAAAGGGTTATTTCACATTTTTTGCCGATCCGCACACATTGGAATTTCGCTAACTCCTCCGAAGGCTTTCATTCCACCGGCACCACATTTGCTCAGGCCAATCTACACCCCATGGCCATTAAAAGTTATTCAAATCATGACGCTGCACCCCACGGTTTAGGTTCTAGGGGGCGCCAAAGATAACCCTAAAATCCACATATTTAAAAGTCTTTTAACTTTTTATTTTTGCCCTCACTGGCCTCCAAGTTTTCTAGGATGATGCAATGTCCAGCCATCAACACATTTGTGAAGGAATTTTTAATCCCCAAAAGAGCGCCCCCCCATGGCAGGAGAAAAAAGTCCATTTTTTCTTGTCCCCTAAGGTGAAAATACACATTGTTGAGTGTCACGCCTGTACGCTTTGTCATATTGACACAAAATTTGACACACACATGTATCTCAATAAGATCTACGAAAAAGTCAATGCGCGCGTATCTGTCAAATGTACGGTTAAAGGGTTATTCCGCATTTTTTGCTGATCCGCACACATTGGAATGTGGCTAACTCCTCCTAAGGCTGGCGTTCCACCGGCACCACATTTGCTCAGGCCAATCTACACCCCATGGCCATTAAAAGTTATTCAAATCATGACGCTGCACCCCACGGTTTAGGTTCTAGGGGGCGCCAAAGATAACCCTAAAATCCACATATTTCAAAGTCTTATAACTTTTTATTTTTGTCCTCACTGGCCTCCAAGTTTTCTAGGATGATGCAATGTCCAGCCATCAACACATTTGTGAAGGAATTTTTACTCCCCAAAAGAGCGCCCCCCCATGGCAGGAGAAAAAAGTCCATTTTTTCTTGTCCCATAAGGTGAAAAAACACATTGTTGACTGTCATACCTGTACGCTTTGTCATATTGACACAAAAATTGACACACACATGTATCTCAATAAGATCTACGAAAAAGTCAATGCGCGCGTATCTGTAAAATGTACGGTTAAAGGGCTATTTTGCATTTTTTGCCGATTCGCACACATTGGAATGTGGCTAACTCCTCCTAAGGCTTTCGTCCCACTGACACCAAATTTGCTCAGGCCAATCTACACCCCATGGCCATTCAAAGTTGTAAAAATCATGACGCTGCACCCCACGGTTTACGTTCTAGGGGGCGCCAAAGATGACCCAAATATCCACATTCTTAAAAGAATCCACATCCCCCCCCATCCCCCATCCCCCATGGCAGGAGAAACAGTCAAGTTTTTCCTGCCCATCACTCAATGGCTCAATCGCATCACTCTCCCGGCAACACCGTAACGAGGAGCAACTTGCCGTTTGGATATATCCTAGCTGTGTTTGTGCCCTCACTCATGGTCCAGACTTTTTTCAAATAGGACATGTAGTTTGTCTGCAGCGAGTGTTTTGGTAGAAACTGCGCCTCCCATTCATTATAATGGGAAATGACCACAGACAAGTGCGCACACCATCTTTGGACCTTGAGTGTGACGCGATCGGGAGGGGGAGGCGGTCGCGCTGGGGGCGGCGCGACGCGGCTCGGGCCCGACAGTGCCCAAACGGGGCCCTAGTATTTCCTTTTTCCTTTTTTTTTTTTTTGGTCTAACTAACTCCGAAATGTTGGAAAAGAGTTCCTACAAAGGTTTTGGATAGTGATTTTAACCCTAATGCCAAAAACCCTAAAACTTTCCAAAGCCCCATAACCTAATACCCGGGTATTACCTTCAGGAAGCCCGAACACCCCAAATACATTTTTTTTATTTTTTTTTATTTTTTTTTTGGTCTAACTGACTCCAAAAGGTTGGAAAAGAGTTCCTACAAAGGTTTTGGACAGTGATTTTAACCCTAACGCCAAAAACCTTAAACCTTACCATAGCCCCATAACCTGATACCCGGGTATTACCTTCAGGAAGCCCGAACACCCCAAATATTTTTTTTTCATTTTACATTTTTTTTTTGGTGTACAAACTCCAAAAGGTCTGAAACGTGTTCCTAAAAAGGTTTTGGACAGTGATTTTAACCCTAACGCCAAAAACCTTAAACCTTTCCTAAGCCCCATAACCTAATACCCGGGTATTACCTTCAGGAAGCCCGAACACCCCAAATACATTTTTTAAATTTTTTTTAATTTTTTTTGGTCATACTGACTCCAAAAGGTTGGAAAAGAGTTCCTACAAAGGTTTTGGACAGTGATTTTAACCCTAACGCCAAAAACCTTAAACCTTACCATAGCCCCATAACCTGATACCCGGGTATTACCTTCAGGAAGCCCGAACACCCCCAATATTTTTTTTTCGTTTTACTTTTTTTTTTTGGTGTACAAACTCCAAAAGGTCTGAAACATGTTCCTAAAAGGTTTTGGACAGTGATTTTAACCCTAATGCCAAAAACCTCAAACCTTACCCTAGCCCCAAAACCTAATACCCGGGTATCACCTTCAGGAAGCCCGAACACCCCAAATATTTTTTTTTCGTTTTTCTTTTTTTTTCTGGTTTACCTAACTCCAAAAGGTTGGAAAAGAGTTCCTACAAAGGTTTTTGGACAGTAATTTTAACCCTAACGCCAAAAACCTTAAACCTTTCCTATTCCTATTACCTTCAGGAAGCCCGAACACCCCAAATATTTTTTTTTTCATTTTTCTTGGAAAAGAGTTCCTACAAAGGTTTTTGGACAGTGATTTTAACCCTAACGCCAAAAACCTTAAACCTTTCCTATTTCCTATTAACTGCACCCAGACAGCACCCAGACGGCCGGGGGCCCCCGTCTGGCTTATGGGGTGCAGCTGTGCTCTGCTCTCTCCCACGCTCCTATAAATAACACACGCACACACAGCTTTGTTTCTCTCATTCCTCATATGTCTCCTGACGAGAAATCATCTCACAAACACACTCAGACAAGTCCAGACATATTCCCTTTTGTGCCCATAGCCTGAAGAAGACCCAAGCGGGTCGAAACGTCGCGACTGGGCACTCTTTATTACACCTTTTCTTTATTTCTTCATCTTCATAGACATTTTATTCAGTTTTCTTTCTTTTATTTCATTTTATTTCATTTTGATTTCAGAAAAAAACAAAAAAGCATAAAAAAATCAGAACAATTCATTTATTTGGTTATACTGTTTTAGTTTTAAATACCTTCATTTCAATAAATAAATAAATTAGATAGAAAGATACACCAATAAATAAATAAATAGTTTAATAAATACACCACATTAATAAATAGTAATTAATAATTAAAAAGATTAAAAACAATCATGAATTACAATGAGCAAGAATGGACTGAAGTGCGAAACGGGAGAAGGCGTGGTCGACGCCCGTACCGCACTAATCAGCAGTACCAAACGGGGATGTGGGGGATGGGGAACAGGGGGATGGACCGTAAACCTCCTGTCTCCTATTCTAGGAGACAGTCCCCCTTTTCCCGTAATCCTAACCCTAATCCCTTGTGTTAAGCTGTTGTTTTTGTTTTTTTCTTTTGATGAGTTTGGCTTGTTGTTATGAACATTGTTCGTTTTAGCGAGTTTTAAGGTTTTTGAGCATGTGTAATGACATGAATGTGTTGAATTAGTAATCCCTTGTGTTAAGCTGTTGTTTTAGTGTTCTTTTGATGAGTTTGGCTTGTTGTTATGAGCATTGTTTGTTTTGGCGAGTTTGGAGGTTTTTGAGCATGTGTAATGGCATGAATGTGTTGAATTAGTAATCCCTTGTGTTAAGCTGTTGTTTTAGTGTTCTTTTGATGAGTTTGGCTTGTTGTTATGAGCATTGTTTGTTTTGGCGAGTTTGGAGGTTTTTGAGCATGTGTAATGGCATGAATGTGTTAAGCTGTTGTTTTAGTTTTCTTTTGATGAGTTTGGCTTGTTGTTATGAACATTGTTCGTTTTGGCGAGTTTGAAGGTTTTTGAGCATGTGTAATGCATGAATGCGTTAAGCTGTTGTGTTAGTGTTCTTTTGATGAGTTTGGCTTGTTGTTATGAACATTGTTTTTTTTGGCGAGTTTGAAGGTTTTTGAGCATGTGTAATGGCATGAATGTGTTGAATTAGTAATCCCTTGTGTAAAGCTGTTGTTTTAGTGTTCTTTTGATGAGTTTGGCTTGTTGTTATGAGCATTGTTTGTTTTGGCGAGTTTGGAGGTTTTTGAGCATGTGTAATAGCATGAATGTGTTGAATTAGTAATCCCTTGTTTTAAGCTGTTGTTTTAGTTTTCTTTTGATGAGTTTGGCTTGTTGTTATGAACATTGTTCGTTTTAGTGAGTTTTAAGGTTTTTGAGCATGTGTAATGGCATGAATGTGTTGAATTAGTAATCCCTTGTGTTAAGCTGTTGTTTAGTGTTCTTTTGATGAGTTTGCCTTGTTGTTGTGAGCATTGTTTGTTTTAGCGAGTTTGGAGGTTTTTGAGCATGTGTAATGGCATGAATGTGTTAAGCTGTTGTTTTAGTTTTCTTTTGATGAGTTTGGCTTGTTGTTATGAACATTGTTCGTTTTGGCGAGTTTGAAGGTTTTTGAGCATGTGTAATGGCATGAATGTGTTGAATTAGTAATCCGTTGTGTTAAGCTGTTGTTTTAGTGTTCTTTTGATGAGTTTGGCTTGTTGTTATGAACAGTGTTTGTTTTGGCGAGTTTGAAGGTTTTTGAGCATGTGTAATGGCATGAATGTGTTGAATTAGTAATCCCTTGTGTAAAGCTGTTGTTTTAGTGTTCTGTTGATGAGTTTGGCTTGTTGTTATGAACATTGTTCGTTTTAGCGAGTTTGAAGGTTTTTGAGCATGCGTAATGGCACGAATGTGTTGAATTAGTAATCCCTTGTGTTAAGCTGTTGTTTTAGTGTTCTTTTGATGAGTTTGGCTTGTTGTTATGAACATTGTTTGTTTTGGAAAGTTTGAAGGTTTTTGAGCACGTGTAATGGCATGAATGCGTTAAGCTGTTGTTTTAGTGTTCTTTTGATGAGTTTGGCTTGTTGTTATGAACAGTGTTTGTTTTAGCGAGTTTGAAGGTTTTTGAGCATGTGTAATGGCATGAATGTGTTGAATTAGTAATCCCTTGTGTTAAGCTGTTGTTTTAGTGTTCTTTTGATGAGTTTTGCTTGTTGTTATGAATATTGTCCGTTTTTTCGAATTTGAAGGTTTTTGAGCATGTGTAATGGCATGAATGCGTTAAGCTGTTGTTTTAGTGTTCTTTTGATGGGTTTGGCTTGTTGTTATGAACATTGTTTGTTTTGGCGAGTTTGAAGGTTTTTGAGCATGTGTAATGGCATGAATGCGTTAAGCTGTTGTGTTAGTGTTCTTTTGATGAGTTTGGCTTGTTGTTATGAACATTGTTTTTTTTGGCGAGTTTGAAGGTTTTTGAGCATGTGTAATGGCATGAATGCGTGAAGCTGTTGTTTGAGTGTTCTTTTGATGAGTTTGGTTTGTTGTTATGAACAGTGTTTGTTTTGGCGAGTTTGAAGGTTTTTGAGCATGTGTAATGGCATGAATGTGTTGAATTAGTAATCCCTTGTGTTAAGCTGTTGTTTTAGTGTTTTTTTGATGAGTTTGGCTTGTTGTTTTGAACATTGTTTTTTTTTGGCGAGTTTGAAGGTTTTTGAGCATGTGTAATGGCATGAATGTGTGAAGCGGTTGTTTTAGTGTTCTTTTGATGAGTTTGGCTTGTTGTTATGAACATTGTTCGTTTTGGTGAGTTTGAAGGTTTTTGAGCATGTGTAATGGCATGAATGCGTGAAGCTGTTGTTTTAGTGTTTTTTTGATGAGTTTGGCTTGTTGTTATGAACATTGTTTGTTTTTGGCTAGTTTGAAGGTTTTTGAGCATGTGTAATGGCATGAATGTGTTAAGCTGTTGTTTTAGTGTTCTTTTGATGAGTTTGGCTTGCTGTTATGAACATTGTTCGTTTTGGCGAGTTTGAAGGTTTTTGAGCATGTGTAATGGCATGAATGTGTTGAAATAGTAATCCCTTGTGTTAAGCTGTTGTTTTAGTGTTCTTTTGATGAGTTTGGCTTCTTGTTATGAACATTGTTCGTTTTGGCGAGTTTGAAGGTTTTTGAGCATGTGTAATGGCATGAATGTGTTGAATTAGTAATCCCTTGTGTAAAGCTGTTGTTTTAGTGTTTTTTTGATGAGTTTGGCTTGTTGTTATGAACATTGTTTGTTTTGGCGAGTTTGGAGGTTTTTGAGCATGTGTAATAGCATGAATGTGTTGAATTAGTAATCCCTTGTGTTAAGCTGTTGTTTTAGTTTTCTTTTGATGAGTTTGGCTTGTTGTTATGAACATTGTTCGTTTTAGCGAGTTTTAAGGTTTTTGAGCATGTGTAATGGCATGAATGTGTTGAATTAGTAATCCCTTGTGTTAAGATGTTGTTTAGTGTTCTTTTGATGAGTTTGGCTTGTTGTTGTGAGCATTGTTTGTTTTGGCGAGTTTGGAGGTTTTTGAGGATGTGTAATGGCATGAATGTGTTAAGCTGTTGTTTTAGTTTTCTTTTGATGAGTTTGGCTTGTTGTTATGAACATTGTTCGTTTTGGCGAGTTTGAAGGTTTTTGAGCATGTGTAATGGCATGAATGTGTTGAATTAGTAATCCGTTGTGTTAAGCTGTTGTTTTAGTGTTCTTTTGATGAGTTTGGCTTGTTGTTATGAACAGTGTTTGTTTTGGCGAGTTTGAAGGTTTTTGAGCATGTGTAATGGCATGAATGTGTTGAATTAGTAATCCCTTGTGTAAAGCTGTTGTTTTAGTGTTCTGTTGATGAGTTTGGCTTGTTGTTATGAACATTGTTCGTTTTGGCCAGTTTGAAGGTTTTTTAGCATGTGTAATGGCATGAATGTGTTGAATTAGTAATCCCTTGTGTTAAGCTGTTGTTTTAGTGTTCTTTTGATGAGTTTGGCTTGTTGTTATGAAAAGTGTTTGTTTTGGCGAGTTTGAACATTTTTGAGCATGTGTAATGGCATGAATGCGTTAAGCCTTTGTTTTAGTGTTCTTTTGATGAGTTTTGCTTGTTGTTATGAACATTGTTCGTTTTGGCCAGTTTGAACGTTTTTGAGCATGTGTAATGGCATGAATGCGTTAAGCTGTTGTTTTAGTGTTCTTTTGATGAGTTTGGCTTGTTGTTATGAACATTGTTCGTTTTGGCTAGTTTGAAGGTTTTTTAGCATGTGTAATGGCATGAATGTGTTGAATTAGTAATCCCTTGTGTTAAGCTGTTGTTTTAGTGTTCTTTTGATGAGTTTGGCTTGTTGTTATGAACATTGTTCGTTTTGGCCAGTTTGAAGGTTTTTGAGCATGTGTAATGGCATGAATGCGTTAAGCTGTTGTTTTAATGTTCTTATGATGAGTTTGGCTTGTTGTTATGAACATTGTTCGTTTTGGCCTGTTTGAAGGTTTTTTAGCATGTGTAATGGCATGAATGTGTTGAATTAGTAATCCCTTGTGTTAAGCTGTTGTTTTAGTGTTCTTTTGATGAGTTTGGCTTGTTGTTATGAAAAGTGTTTGTTTTGGCGAGTTTGAACATTTTTGAGCATGTGTAATGGCATGAATGCGTTAAGCCTTTGTTTTAGTGTTCTTTTGATGAGTTTGGCTTGTTGTTATGAAAAGTGTTTGTTTTGGCCAGTTTGAACGTTTTTGAGCATGTGTAATGGCATGAATGCGTTAAGCTGTTGTTTTAGTGTTCTTATGATGAGTTTGGCCTGTTGTTATGAACATTGTTCGTTTTGGCCAGTTTGAACGTTTTTGAGCATGTGTAATGGCATGAATGCGTTAAGCTGTTGTTTTAGTGTTCTTTTGATGAGTTTGGCTTGTTGTTATGAACATTGTTCGTTTTGGCCAGTTTGAACGTTTTTGAGCATGTGTAATGGCATGAATGCGTTAAGCTGTTGTTTTAGTGTTCTTTTGATGAGTTTGGCTTGTTGTTATGAACATTGTTCGTTTTGGCTAGTTTGAAGGTTTTTTAGCATGTGTAATGGCATGAATGTGTTGAATTAGTAATCCCTTGTGTTAAGCTGTTGTTTTAGTGTTCTTTTGATGAGTTTGGCTTGTTGTTATGAACATTGTTCGTTTTGGCCAGTTTGAAGGTTTTTTAGCATGTGTAATGGCATGAATGTGTTGAATTAGTAATCCCTTGTGTTAAGCTGTTGTTTTAGTGTTCTTTTGATGAGTTTGGCTTGTTGTTATGAACATTGTTCGTTTTGGCCAGTTTGAAGGTTTTTGAGCATGTGTAATGGCATGAATGCGTTAAGCTGTTGTTTTAGTGTTCTTTTGATGAGTTTGGCTTGTTGTTATGAACATTGTTTGTTTTGGCGAGTTTGAAGGTTTTTGAGCATGTGTAATGCATGAATGCGTTAAGCTGTTGTGTTAGTGTTCTTTTGATGAGTTTGGCTTGTTGTTATGAACATTGTTTTTTTTGGCGAGTTTGAAGGTTTTTGAGCATGTGTAATGG